CCAACGTTCACTTTCTCGTATGTGACGATTTCGTAACGCCTCCTCGCGAGCTGCTAAAGTCTCCAGCCAAGTGTTGTGTGGAATGTACCGACCGGGTGGTATAGGAATAAAGTCTCGTATAGGACGACCGAACACGCACATAGCAGGGGATAGTTTTGTGTCTCTGCCAGGTGTGTTACGATACTGCAAAATAGCGCGTTGGAATGCGTCGGTGTTTAAGTCGCCATTGGGACAGGTGTTGCCAGTGATCAGACGCTTCACTGTTTTGACTCCCACTTCAACACGGCATTTACTATGGGGAAAAGCTACAGATGACAGTCTATGGTGAACGCCCCAGTTCCTGAGAAATCGACGTGTGGCCGCAGAAGTGAACTCGGGTCCACCATCTGATGCTAGTTAAACAGGGATACCAAAGGTAACAAATGTCCTTCGGAGACAGTCTATTGGAAGCATCAGAGGCTTTCTCCACCACTGGCCAGTTGGAATAACGATCAACTACCACTAGGTAATTACAGCCCATGTAGTGGAAGAAATCTGCACACACGCATTGGAATGGATAGTCAGGAGTTATCAAAGGCGTCGGTGGTGCATTCGGGTTAGATGGAGCAATACGGTTGCAGTGTTTTACAAGTTGCGCGTAGGGAGGCGATGGCAGGCGTGATAACAGGCCAGAAAATTGACGCGTCAGCTCTTGAAGTCATAGATGTCACCCCTTGATGTGCCGAATGCAGAGTGGCAAGGGTTTCTTCCCGGAGTGATGGTGGAATGACTATTCTGTCTTTATAAAGTACTACACCATCAACCGTATGAAGGTCGTCGCAGAATGGGAAATATTCTTGCAGTGGCCTAGGCAGCTCGTGACGGGTTCCCGGTATACCGGCCTCTATCAGAGCGATTAACGCCTGCATGTTGTCATCGCTGGTAGTAGTGGTTCTAACGCGCTGCCCAGATGACGGATCGTAAATTGATCGCATCTAGTGTTGAAGAGGCTGATGCCACGACATGCTCCTCGACAAATGCTAGTCCTGATGAAGGCATGCGTAGACCACTCATTAGACCAAAGTGGGCGATGTGACGGCAGAAAATGACAGAGCTGCAATATCGTCCTCGAGCACAAGTTTCTCAGGCTCACCAATAGGATGTCGGGAGATACAATCCGCAGCACGATGTCGTATGCCAGGCACATGAAGCATTTGAAAACGGTATCGTAGTGTTTTCTCCTTGAGGTTACGAAGTCTGTTGTTAGGAATGATTTCCAGTGATCTATCGCCAAATAACTTCAACAATGGCTTATGATCAACAGCTATGATCAAGTTGTCGCACCCAAGAACGAAGTGTCGAGCTTTATCAAGGGCATCTGCTACTGCCAGGGCCTCGCCCTCAACCGGCGCGTAACGCGTCTCTGCCGCATGTGTGAACCGACTACCTACGAGTGTAACTTTCCAACCATCACGGCAGCATAGCAGGCTTTCATTAGCACAAGCGCAGTGTTTCTGTAGCAACCAAAATCCAATGCCAGTCTTTGACCAGTCTGTCGCAAGACACGTCAATTTACTTGGGTCGAAAATCCGTACACCCTGCTCAATCTCGTTGGCAATGACAATTTTAGATTCCTCAAAAAGTCGTTGGAGATCTTCAGTCCACTGAAACGGTTAATCTGGTTTGAGCAACTGACGGAAAGGAAGCATATTCTCAGTCACACTGAAGGCATACGACACCTGATTGACTAGTCCAAACCATGACCGCATATCTGTGATGTTCCTGGGTGTCGGAAAATCCAGGATGGCGCGTAGGTATTTCTGTGAAGGTCGTACACTATCGTTGGTTATTTCAAACCCAGCGAATTCGAGTGTGTCCTCTGCAAATACAAATTTGTCAGGGTTCAGCGTTATACCGTTACGGCCGCATATGTCAAGCCACTGGACTGCCTGAAAGAAGCTTTCTTCAACAGTGTCTGACCATAAAAGAACATCGTCGACACATTTGGTTTTGTTGGGGATGTCCGAAACAAGCTCGTCATAGCGCCTGGTGTATCCGTCGCCCGATGCAATGTAGCCTTGGGGTGCAGTTTTGTAACGGTACCTCCCTCAAGGAGTAATGAACGTGGTCAAGTGTCTGTCCTCTTCGCAGATGGGTACACTGTGATAACCGTTCCATGCATCAAATAATGTCTTCTTCTTTCCATGTGGAATAGACCGGGCTTGGTGGAATGGCGAAGGGGTGTGATGAGTCTCGCGAGTGACATGTGCATTTAAGGGTTGGAAGTCAACAGTGCGCCGAGGTGTAACCATTCTTTTTCGAACAAATAACCATTCTATGCCACCAAGTGACAGGCTCACCAACCGGAACAGGTTCAATAACCCCCAAACGAACATCCTGGTCTAGTCCAGCCTTTACTGCACCCTGCCANTCAAATTTGTCAGGGTTCAGCGTTATACCGTTACGGCCACATATGTCAAGCCACTGGACTGCCTGAAAGAAGCTTTCTTCAACAGTGTCTGACCATAAAAGGACATCGTCGACACATTTGTTTTTTTTCGGGATGTCCGAAACAAGCTCGTCATAGCGCCCGGTGTATCCGTCGCCCGATGCAATGTAGCATTGGGGTGCAGTTTTGTAACGGTACCTCCCTCAAGGAGTAATGAACGTGGTCAAGTGTCTGTCCTCTTCGCAGATGGGTACACTGTGATAACCGTTCCATGCATCAAATAATGTCTTCTTCTTTCCATGTGGAATAGACCGGGCTTGGTGGAATGGCGAAGGGGTGTGATGAGTCTCGCGAGTGGCATGTGCATTTAAGGGTTGGAAGTCAACAGTGCGCCGAGGTGTACCATTCTTTTTCGCACAAATAACCATTCTATGGCACCAAGTGACAGGCTCACCAACCGGAACAGGTTCAATAACCCCCAAACGAACATCCTGGTCTAGTCCAGCCTTTACTGCACCCTGCCAGTGGATTGGAACGAGTACTGGTGTATGGTGAGCGACAGGTTTCGCGTTGGAGTCCACCATGAGCTTCAAGGGAGGTCCATTCATGAGTGGTAAAGTCTGGTGTTCACATGTGTTGAATGTGCTAGACTTGTAGTGGTCAAGAAGGTAACCTTTTAAGTGACCAACGTTTTCCGTTGTAGCAGGGAAAGGCAGTTTTGTCGGAGGCGGTGGTGGCAGTTGGCGTGTAGGACAATCGCATGCTTTGTCTTGGTGATCCAGTAAGGAGAAAGTAGCATCGACATGTATGCTAGCTGAAGGGACTTGAGCTCCGACGGTTGGAAATGAATCGTGGATAATACCTAATGCAGCACAAGCTTCAGAGGAAGATCTTGTCTGTTGAGCTTGTGACATATGTCATCTGTCTGGTCTCCTTGGTGTGTCCTGCCTTGTCTTTACCAATCAAGTGAAGGATGGTCGCCCCCAGAATTTTGATACCACCGTATGTAGCCGTGTGCATCTGCATCGTTACAGGTATGAGTTCTGATTCTCGTAGACCAAGGCGGCGGATTACTTTCAAGCCAGCGAGGCAACTCTGACATCCCGTGTCAGCCATAGCCTGTATTGAGACGTTGCTGGTGTCTCGTATTAGTTTGAAGCCTAGGGCGGCGTAGTCCTCAGCGGTAACTTTAGCCGTAACGTTCACGAATGGTTGAGGCTTGGAGCGTTGTTTCACCCAGGAATTCGTCAGTTCGTCATAGACATGGTGGTCGATGCAGATTGAGCGTTCGATGCCAGAATCACTAACGGTACAGTGGTGATGTTGTAGAGAACCAGGAACAGAGCACAATGCGTCGAACAAAGCACTTCCGGAAAGTGTATCACGGTCTGTCACTTTGGGTTTGTCCTTGCTTCTACATTCAATTTCGAAATGATATTCGCGATGGCAATGCCAACATATATGTGTCCATGTGCTATACACTCTGTTTTACGTATGCGAGCAAGGGTGGATTTGCCGTGTCCCTTTTTTCCGCAATATGCACATTGCTCTGCTTTGTTGGAGGTGTCTTTGGACGACGGTCTGTCAGCCTTGCTTTTCCGGTACGAGCTGCTGACAGCCTCAACTGGATGAGAATCTGAAAGTCTAGAAGCTGAACGTTTACCGGCTTCCTTTGATTCGACAAATTGAAACACATCCTCAAGATCCATGTCCTGATTTTTGTGTCCTAGCAGATCATAGTCAAGTTGTATTTCCGGATTGGCAATTCCCAGGGTGAGTACGTCACGCATGATAGCGTCAGTATAATTGACGTCGGCTGTACATCCGGGGCACTTAATCACAAACATGCATATACCGGCCTGTCCTTTAAGTCTAACACCGTAACTCCGGACAGTTTCATCACGATCCTGTCGCATATTGTGTAGCGTCACTCTTGCAACCATAGTGTTTTCCTCACGTACCGCGAGCTATTTAATTGCAGCTAAAACCTCATCCATGGTTTTGTCAGCGAGACTACCACCGGCTGATCGTGTCAAGTCTTTCCGTAATGGCTCGTCACAGCATTCTAGTAGCTGGATTACTTTATCGCGTCCAGTGATTTTCGTGGCACTGACATAGTCCAACCACCGATATTAGAAATATGCCCACTCCTCGCTAGATCCTGCGGCACTGAGCGTGGGTCGCTTAACTTTCTCAACTTTAGCAGCGTGTTCTCGTTTGGGTATGTGTACAGCGGAGTGAACCGTGATGAGTGCCGCGACGATAGTGGCATCCAGGTCATCCGTGACATAGTCGCAGTCTGTGATAGGGCCGGCTACAGCTGGCATTGTAATGGGACTCTGTTTTGTTTACTTTAAAATATGTTTATTCAGCAATGAACACGGTCTGAAAAGACACAAAGTAGTGGTAAATTGCACAATGATAATTAGCATGAATTACGTATAGAAACCAATCATAACATACAATCCTCTACATTCTTGGGTCTCCTAGGTCAAGTGCTTTTATTTGTATTTCCCGCGAACAGGATTAACAGCAAAGCATGCTGGGTATCATTGCCAAGATACATGTAAACTATCATGGCGGACTACGACGGTGTTTGAACACGACCAAAACGATGATGTGAATGGTAATGTTATTATCGTGTGTTAGATGGGTTGTCATTGACATATAGCATGTACCAAGTAGACATATATTATATTGAACTTCCATCTAAGGTTTCACAAGCACATTCGCATTGAAATGTGAGTTTGAATGGCTACAAAGCACGATAAATGCAGTAGGCTCCTGTACAGTACTGGTATTGATCTACATAATATTACTCGTGTACGTTCTTTTCTCGCTGTATAAAAGGACAGTAGCAATTTTATTTCCAGCATCATATATCAGTGATAGACAATATTTAAGATGTGCTAGTTTTTATATAAAATTCCAGTGCTACTGACAACTGTCAATTGTTTTTTTTTGTAAACAACGGTGTAGATAAATTTACAGTTACAGTAAGCCTATTGTACAGTAGTGTCAGTTCAGTACTGTAGTGTTTTTGTTTTGTTTGTTTTGGACTGGTAAATTATATCAAAAGAAAAAACGTTGTTATTGTGATATAGTTCTTCTGTAAAAGACGGACAAAATAAGTTCATTAATTGATGCCTATACGAGTACAGACTCAGATCTGTTGGATACATGTAAGTTTGAAAAAAAAGTTTTTCAGTTAGTTTTTTTTCACGCTAATTTGGAATTCTTGTTCTGGATGTTTGCAGTGCCAGTGTTGACAGTGTTATATTATTTTACTCCGAAGGGTCTGTCTCAGTTTAGATTTCTAGTCTACACATACTTTATATAACGTTATAATACGAATGCTAGTCGTTTCGGTAACAAGTGGTTTCGGGAGTCCCGAAGTCGTTTCGGGACAAAATTAAGTCGTTTCGAGACTTACTCAAGTCGTTTCGGGACATATAGAAAATATAATCAAAATATAAATGAATGTTACAAGTCACATTTCTCTTTCCCGTTTTTGTAAAAATCTGTGTAAACACAGCTTTTGTCGTAGCCTTTCAGCAATGATGTCACGATTTATGTGTACACAAGAGTACGCATATGGCGGCTTCGACCTACCCGTTCTTGGGATTTGGTTTTGCCAATTAGCGCCACGCTTAGATTGCTTGAGGGGGTACCTGCCAACATTAACCTGATTGACAACATGTTGTTAATTTGATTAAACTAATCCCATTATTAATTTGAGAGGAACAAACACCAAGTACCGAACCGAACGCGCAGTCAATATCAATTAATCAATCAATTATTTTTACATAATTTCATTCGNTTTATTTTAACATAATTTCATTCGTTATTTAAGGTTCCTTGTTTGATATCGTGATAACATGTTTTCGTTTTACTCTTTTCCCTATTAATGTGGCCAACTTGATCAAGTTTCCCTTTTTACAGAAGTACTAATTTGACAGTAAATTCTGCATATAAAAAGTATCAAATTTTACAATGTAGACTAGTAGGGTGTGTTTTTGTAACCCTCATTGTTGAAACTATGAAAACAGTGATCTCCTCACTGAGGTACTCGGAGCATCTCCAAACGTTTTTATTTTTTTGTAAACCTAAGTTAGAATTCTGAAATCAAAGAGCTCCTTACTGTTTGTTTTGCTGAACTTTTGAAAACTACTCAATTAAAAAGTAAACAAAACAAACATAAACACCTGTGCTAAACAAACAGTAGAAAATAATCGAGATGTCCTGAAACGACTTTTGACACTCCCGAAACGACCCGGAAAAAGGTCCCGAAACGACTTCCGTCTTGTTACCGAAACGACTTGTTACCGAAACGACTTGTTACCGAAACGACTTGTTACCAAAACGACCTGACACCTATAATACAATGTTTATAGACTTCAATCATATTATACCCGGTGGACATGAAATAAAAGTCACTGCATGATTATTTGTTTTGTAAATATATCCATATCATTTCAAAATCAGTTATTATAAATATAAACTTTATTTATTTTACAACAATTATGAAACAAATTATTACAACCTATATTTATCTCGTTTGTTGGTCCTGGTGTTAGCGGGCTGGGAGTCTTAATGTGGAAGGAAACCAGAGTACTTGGAGAAAACCCAAGTGGTCTGGCAGGCAAACCCGTAACATCTTCACGTCAAAACAATTATTTTGATTGTGAAATGTACAGGTTAATTAGCCTTATAGTTTAAGTTGGAAACATTAATAATAAATACTTAAGAAAAATAAAAAGTGTTAAAAAAATTCTCATCCTAATCCTTCAAAATCTTGTTTTAGATGACCATAAATTAAAGTGTGTACAAGTAAAAATCGGCAAGATGTCTGAAGCAAGAGGCGAGTCACGGGCTAGCTATGCCAGTCAGAGCCAGTATTCAGAGTCTACCATCATCAACCAGGATATCACAGATCAGGACCTTTTACGGGCCCACAAGTCCGGCAACCAGGCCTCTAAAGTTGTCAGTTTCGCTCCAGGGTCAGCTCTAGAACGGGCCAAAACTGTAGAGGAGTTAGGAAAGCAACAACGCAAAGGAATGCATGCTGGAAAACATCTAGATCTGATGGAGAGACTCATAGACAGACCTCATAATGCAGATGTGTTCCGAATGGTGAAAGCTTCACCCCGGGAAAATAAACAGGAACCTCAAAACACAGGTTCTTTGAAGAGTCCATCTGGTCTAAATGGTTCTCCAGGTCCAATGCGACAGGTAACATAACACTAGGTAGATTTAACGAGTTCTAAATACATGTGTTACCTTCAGCGAAATGATGGTAATATTTGTATATATATAAGAGAGAAAAAAAGGGACACGTTCGATTCATATTTTCGAGTATTCAAATAAAGAATCCATCAAAATTTTACAAGGCATGATTTGTACAGCTACTGTAGCTGTAACAGGTTTCTTATCATTTTGTTTGAAAAAGTGACAATGATCTTCTTTGCTCCTACAGAGTCCGCTTATTCCTCGACCTCCGTCAGCAAAAACCAGCAATGGTGGTCCCATGTCAAGTTTTAGAACCACAATATTCAAACGTGACAACCAGAAGCGCCAGACAGAAATCCAGAAACGTAACCAACGGTCTCCATTGGAGCCTCCCAAACTCACAGTCAGCATGTATGTAAAGCTATATTATAGAAACACTAACTAGATTCATCATTTAGTGAAAGGAATATCATGTGTATGAGCTGTTGTTGTAAATGTAAGGATGAAGTAAAATAATATTTTATATTTCAACTGGCCCACAAACAAATTACCGGTATTTGTATTTCTTTGGAATTGTTGATCACCTGTCTTTCTTTGTGATAAAATTCAGAACAACTTACAATGTGTTTTATTTGCAAACTGTTTTAATTCACTTATCGAAATATTAGTGTTAATAGTCTGTTAGAAATGAAAGAAAAAATTAAATAAAAAAGTTTTGCACATACCGGTAGTTGGAAACAGAACATTACTTTCTAATTTGTTTTGTTAGTCTGAGTTTTCAGCTATCATGATTTTCAAGTTGTAACTTTTTCCCCTATTGTTATCCATCTTCATCATTTTCTGTCTGTACTTACAATCGTCATTGAATGTTGGTATAAACATGACCATCTTTCCCCAGGCTCCACAAGAAGACTCCCAAAGTCGTGTCTGTCCCTATAACCCCTGCTGATGACATGGTGTCAGATGGTGCGGAGGACTTAGAGATTCTGGCTGAGCTAGTGGAGCTGATGGGAGACGCTGGAATGACTGACACAGAGAACCTCGATGCAGGTATGACACATTCTTTTTCACACAGGGTCAGGTGATCATAGGACAAATCAAATAATGGATTTAACCCTTTCACCCCTAGGAAACTTGAGTAGACTCTACCATTAATTCATCTGGATGAGTCCATTATGGTCTGCAGTGGTGAAAGGGTTAACGTTTCTGCATGGAAAACTTGTTACAATATTATAACATACCTGGTAAGGAATGAGGGCAAAGAGGGACAGAGAATACTTTGATGAGTCCTTTATATTATTTCACTTTGTTTTTATTAAACAGTATTTTTCAAAAATTCAAATATGGGTTCAGATGTAAAATCTTTGGCAGATTGACAAATAGGTACAGTATATCTTGTTTGGTCTATGATCTAAAAAGACAGTATCTGATAAACTTGGATCATCTGAGCTTAGGCAATGGTGCGACGTCCATCTTCCGTCGACTTTTAAAACAATACCAGTCCTGAACGGCCAGGTGGATTTGGTCTGGAGCATCCTTATGCCAAGGGCATTAATTTTGTATAAACGGTTGCCGAGGCCTCCCCTAGGGGCAGAGGAGTAGGGCCAAATAGGGGAAATAGAGGTAAACCTTTGAAATCCTTCTTGTACCATAGGAATTAAGGGGTTTCATCCCAATTTGGTCTGGACTATCCTTAGGCGAAGGGCAATCAATTTTGTATAAACGGTGGGTGTGCCCCCCCTGGGGGCAGAGGGGTGAGGCCCACTAGGCGAAATGGAGGTAAAACTTTTAAAATCCTTCTTCTGCTGTAGGGATAAAGGGATTTTATCCAATTTTGTCTGGAGCATCCTTTGGCCAAGGGGACTCATCTAGGGATTAAGCCAACAAAGTTTGAGAAGAAAAACCTACTTACAAGCTCATAAGGACAAATATGTCAAACGCTTCAAACAACTTCTTCTGAAGAACCGAAAAGCATAGAATTATAAAATTGACTAGTAGCTTCAACTGATGGAGCAAACAAAGTTAGCAATTGAAATATTTGTAGTGAAGTATAATATTTAATGAGAATATTTTGCTATGACTGCTCAAATATCCAGGTGAGCAATACAGGCCCTCTGGGCCTCTTATTCATTCCTCACAGACAATTGTTTTGGTGTAGAACTCTCTTTGATAGGAAGTACATGTCCCAGGCATACACCCTTAAATGATTTCTTATTTTACTCAGACCCAAATTATGAAGAAGAGGATGAGACAACCAAGCAACCTACAGTTCCCGAAAGAAATGTTCCAGAAGAGAAAACAGTTACCTTCAGCAATGAAGATACAAATAGCTCTCCGACAAAGTCTGTAACTTCCCGTGTGTCGACAGGAAAGTCATTTGATGATGGAATGACGGAGGAGGAGGAAGACATTGATGTGTGCCTTGTCAAATATCCTGGAGGAATACCCATCATTGATACGGTAGCTCCTCCCCCTGTCAAAGCTCCGCCCACAAAAGACAAAGCACCAATTACAGACAGATCCTCATCAACATTGCAAAAAGATGTGCATATGGGGTTGAAGAAGCGGACGAAATACGATGATACAGGTACATTTGGTGTTTCATTTAAAGTCAGTTAAAATATATATTTCTCTTAATAGATTTTACACAAATTTTGTGTGGAGCATCCCTGGGTCAGGGGAACTGTATAAACTGTGTTTTTGCAAAACATAAATGTTGGTGGTAAAATAGGGCATAAATCACAAAATAGCAAGCCTCTGATATTTTGAGGGTCAAAAGCCATTTTAGGAGGTCATAAACCCCAATAAACTGATACCCTGATAAATGAAATGTTGGGACAGGAATGGTCCCATAGGGTAAATGTTGGGGACAGGAATGGTCCGATAGGGTAAATGTTTATGAGATTATCCATTATAGGTGAAGGAGTTTGAACTTAAATCATTGCTATAAAGGATCCTTAGGCCAAGACTAAGGCTCAACCTTGTACCAATGAAGAGATTGGCCCCAAATGGGGATAGGTATAGCCCAATAGGAGAAATAGAGAAAAATAGCAAAAAAGGCTACTCTTAGAGTGTGAGTGAAAAGATTCTAACCAAATTGATATGGATCCATTGGCCAAGGGGTCCAATTGTTGTACAAACAAGGCATGTGCCCCTCTGGGGACAGAAGGTCAAGGTCAGATAAGGGGACATGGGTAAGTAACTCTTAGAAAGACAACTTTAATATGTGTGAAGAGATTTAATCCATATCATAATGGAGTCCCTTGGCTCTTGATCTTAGCATTATAAAATAAAAATGGTCCAACTTAGGCAGAACGGTGGGGTTTGTTATGGGTAAATGTTTAAAAAGACTATTCTTATAGATGAAGGAATTTTAACCCAATTTGGTTTAGATCATTCTTTGGTCAAGGGGACGAGATGGACAGAGGTGTACATTGTAGGGGTCTAATAGTACAACCAGTATATAATACGAAAATAACCAACATAGGATTTGAGGCCAAATATAGAAATATTGAAGTCTTTCGTTGCCAATTTTTCAACTGTTCACAGCTAGTATTTCGCATTTTGTAATGCATGTGTCATTTGCGACATAATATAAGTTATGACCACTAGTGGGGTATTCAGGCCCTTGGGGTTCTGGTATGGAATTTGTCAAAGTTCGTCAAAGTTTGAATGACTTGCACTGAATTAAATTTTCGCATAAGCGGGCAGTGGGGCATATGCTAATTGTCAGATTACAGGTCAGGAGACAACCTACGAACTAGGTTGTGATAAAGCAGTATATAAGAACCTCAAATTATTATTATTTTATTATATGTTAATTGTCAGGTTATCTTGAGTAAACATTTTAGGATGACGATAAAACTTTATCCTAAGATTAATTGCCATAAAAGTTCAGATAAGTTTCATAACCACGATCATCCGACTGTTGTTTTTGGAGTTACGGCCCTTTGTAGATCTGGATGCTCAGTGTTAACTCAATATCTTGAAAAAATTTAAACTGAATTAGCACCAAACTTTTAAAAGTGTTGCTTATCATGAAAACTCAAATAGAAGTTTTGCAGATGTGCATTGTTTTTTCTTTTTCATTTTACATAAAATGCTACTTAAAATATGGAACTAGATACTGTATACTGGGTGATTTTCGCTGCAGTTTAACTTACGCCTTTTTGCCCTCGGTAATGAGAACGATTTTATCATGAAGGCAAATATTAGTACACAACATAAAAATTTATAGTAATCACATTGGAGAGGCGAAATTAAGCCATAAGCATTAGGCGAACATGGATTTTATTGGGAAAGGGAGAGTATTTTATTAGGAAAGGGAGAGTATTTGACTGGGAAAGGGAGAGTATTTGACTGGGAAAGGGAGAGTATTTTATTGGGAAAGGGAGAGTATTTATTGGGAAAGGGAGAGTATTTGACTGGGCGAGAGTTTGCCAGTATACAGTAGAGCTGGGACCTGGTGACTAACAGCTTGTGTTTATTTATACTGTAGTCCGAGAACTAGGTGGCATAACCTTTGGTAAGAACACTAATGCTGCATGGATTTGCATGATACAATTTTTTTATGCATGTTATTTGTTTTTCATTTATTTTCCATTTCTGAAAAGAACTTAAAATTTTATAGTTGAAAAATGTATGTTTTCTGTTTTGTGAATCACAAGGGTATGATATTCCTATTTGTTTTTTAAATAAATCTTGCGATTTTAAAGATAGTGAACCTATACTAGTGATTGAAGAATCTCGAGTTTGGTCCTGGGTTAGAATCCCTTGATCACATTTTACTTATTCTAGAAATATTTTATGCTTTGATTTCTTGCTTCCTCCCCATTTCCCCAAAATAGCATATTATATTGCTACTTTCCCATGTTTTACACATTGATGTGCTCACAGTATCTTTTTCTCTTTAATATAAGCATATAATTTATTCTGACAAATAATATGCTAGCAGTGTACTTATATTATGCTTATGATTAGATCTTTTTCAGATTTCAGGATTGTGATGTTTAAATTAGAAGGACCATTTAAAAACCTCTTTTATCTCAAAAGTGACCATACCTACAGTTGCAGCTTTCCTCCATGTTATTATAATCATGTCTTGGTTTCCAAAGCTATCATACCGATGGCTTTATCAACAGTAACCATATACCTACCACCATGTCTTTGTCTCAAATGCAATATTGTGTTCATATCCTTGTCTCCAAAGCATCTATACCCATGTCTTTGTCTCCAAAGTATCTATACCTGTGTCTTTGTCTCCAAAGCATCTATACCTGTGTCTTTGTCTCCAAAGCATCTATCCCCATGTCTTTGTCTCCAAAGCATTTATACCCGTGTCTTTGTCTCCAAAGCATCGATACCCATGTCTTTGTCTCCAAAGCATCTATACCTATGTCTTTGTCTCCAAAGCATCTATACCCATGTGTTTGTCTCCAAAGCATCTATACCTGTGTCTTTGTCTCCAAAGCATCTATCCCCATGTCTTTGTCTCCAAAGCATTTATACCCGTGTCTTTGTCTCCAAAGCATCGATACCCATGTCTTTGTCTCCAAAGCATCTATACACATGTCTTTGTCTCCAAAGCATCTATACCAGTGTCTTTGTCTCCAAAGCATCTATACCCATGTCTTTGTCTCAAAAGCATCTATACCTGTGTCTTTGTCTCCAAAGCATCTATCCCCATGTCTTTGTCTCCAAAGCATTTATACCCGTGTCTTTGTCTCCAAAGCATCGATACCCATGTCTTTGTCTCCAAAGCATCTATACCCGTGTCTTTGTCTCAAAAGCATCTATACCCATGTCTTTGTCTCCAAAGAAGCTATACCCATGTCTTTGTCTCCAAAGCATCTATCCCTGTGTCTTTGTCTCCAAAGCATCTATACCTGTGTCTTTGTCTCCAAAGCATCTATGCCCATGTCTTTGTCTCCAAAGCATCTATACCCATGTCTTTTTCTCCAAAGCATCTATACCTGTGTCTTTGTCTCCAAAGCATCTATCCCCATGTCTTTGTCTCCAAAGCATTTATACCCGTGTCTTTGTCTCCAAAGCATCTATACCTGTGTCTTTGTCTCCAAAGCATCTATGCCCATGTCTTTGTCTCCAAAGCATCTATACCCATTTCTTTGTCTCCAAAGCATCTATACCTGTGTCTTTGTCTCCAAAGCATCTATCCCCATGTCTTTGTCTCCAAAGCATTTATACCCGTGTCTTTGTCTCCAAAGCATCGATTCCCATGTCTTTGTCTCCAAAGCATCTATACCAATGTCTTTGTCTCCAAAGCATCTATACCAATGTCTTTGTCTCCAAAGCATCTCTACCAATGTCTTTGTCTCCAAAGCATCTATACCAATGTCTTTGTCTCCAAAGCATCTCTACCAATGTCTTTGTCTCCAAAGCATCTATACCAATGTCTTTGTCTCCAAAGCATCTATACCAATGTCTTTGTCTCCAAAGCATCTATTCCCATGGCTTTGTCTCCAAAGCATCTATACCCATGTCTTTTTCTCCAAAGCATCTATACCTGTGTCTTTGTCTCCAAAGCATCTATCCCCATGTCTTTGTCTCCAAAGCATTTATACCCGTGTCTTTGTCTCCAAAGCATCTATACCTGTGTCTTTGTCTCCAAAGCATCTATGCCCATGTCTTTGTCTCCAAAGCATCTATACCCATTTCTTTGTCTCCAAAGCATCTATACCTGTGTCTTTGTCTCCAAAGCATCTATCCCCATGTCTTTGTCTCCAAAGCATTTATACCCGTGTCTTTGTCTCCAAAGCATCTATACCCGTGTCTTTGTCTCCAAAGCAACTATACCCGTGTCTTTGTCTCCAAAGCATCTATACCTGTGTCTTTGTCTCCAAAGCATCTATCCCCATGTCTTTGTCTCCAAAGCATTTATACCCGTGTCTTTGTCTCCAAAGCATCGATTCCCATGTCTTTGTCTCCAAAGCATCTATACCCGTGTCTTTGTCTCCAAAGCAACTATACCCGTGTCTTTGTCTCCAAAGCATCTATACCTGTGTCTTTGTCTCCAAAGCATCTATCCCCATGTCTTTGTCTCCAAAGCATTTATACCCGTGTCTTTGTCTCCAAAGCATCGATTCCCATGTCTTTGTCTCCAAAGCATCTATACCCATTTCTTTGTCTCCAAAGCATCTATACCTGTGTCTTTGTCTCCAAAGCATCTATGCCCATGTCTTTGTCTCCAAAGCATCTATACCCATGTCTTTGTCTCCAAAGCAGCCATACCAATGTCTTTGTCTCCAAAGCATCATATTAATATTTTTGTCTCAAAAAGCATCTATACCCATCCAAAAGCATCTATACCCATCCAAAAGCATCTATACCCATCCAAAAGCATCTATACCCATCCAAAAGCATCTACATCCAAAAGCAACTATACCCATCCAAAAGCATTTATACCCATCCAAAAGCATCTATACCCATCCAAAAGCATGTACCCATGTCTTTGTCCCCAAAGCATCTATACCCATATCTTTGTCTCCGCTACAGCCATGTCTTTGTCCCCAAAGCAATGCATGATATTTAATTTGTAAATGTATGTGTTTGCACAATGCACATACATGAGCATTGTTTATAAAGAATCAGTAAGTTGTTACACATCTGAATGATGTTTTTTTTTACTTTTCACTAAAAAGGTTGATGTAAATGAGAAACTGACTTTCTTTTCCCAAACTTCAGAAAATTTCAAATGTCAATAGTAAAAGAAATAGTAGACCAGTTAAAAATTCCCAGATTCAAACACAAATGAACTGAATGAGTTACATGTTATTAGAAATATGTTTTGAATAATATTAAGATAATCAAGAGGAGGTAGCAATCAAACTGGTCTTGATATCTATTCCTCACCAAACTTTGTTTTATTTTTCCTCTGCAGTCCCTGACAATGATGACATACTCTATAACTTGATTCGTCTGCGGGAACGCCTCGGATGGGACTCGGAGATTCCCCGCCATGCCCCGGGATGTAAGGCCAGCATGATGTCATTACAAAACATCCCTGAGGAAGAGGCCGATAACGCTGTATGTTTTTTAATTGTTATCTTCTTGTTAATTCATTCACTCTGAAGATACATTTGAACTGTTCCAATTCAAAGGTTGGAATAGTTCATTATGAAATTTCAGGGATGAATGAGTTAATAAAATAAACAGTGGAGTCTGCCTGAATGGCTCTCTACAGAAAATAACGCATTACCCACAACATGTGTTTTATAACAAATTCAAATATCTTATAAATATCCGACTATCTTATGAATATTCAAATATGTCTTGAATTTAAAGATGCCATGAATATTCAAACGTCTTATGAATATTTAAATATCTTGTGAATTAAGGCAGAATTGAACAGTTGAGATAAATGTGTTGTTTAGTTTACAAACTGAAATCCTTGATATGATAGTCCTTTGAAGTACGATCACAAATGGAACATGAATGTATACTCTGACTCTTCTCTTTCACCTGCTAAGAATTATGTCGCATCAAATAAATCAGTTGTATTAAAAATATGACTAATTTTTATCAAAATTTGTCAATAGAATACAAAAAGCAGTTTATAATTCTTTTTAAATTTAATTGTTGAGTAGATGACCCCATGTCAGATGTAATGATATGTGACTATTTCTCAGTCCTGATTGGCTGATGGTTAACTCTCCTAGATATGGATGGATTGTTATAAAAGAGGCTACATTCATGTAGAATGTCCAATTATTTTTTTTACAGGTGGGGTCTAAATACAAAGAAGATGATGGAGAATTTTTGTATTGTCTCCCTAAATGGCGTAAAAATCGACGAGCTCGATATGACCCCTATGACCTTCAAGTTGTATCCGCCAACACAGCAAGGTCACACAAAGTCTACTACACGGTTACAGCGTCTTTCATCACTTTGGTAAGACCAGTTATCTTGTGTAAAAAATGAACTGTAAAAGAATTACTTAATATTGAAAATCTATCTGGTGAATGCAATGACACATATTTCATAAAAGAAACAACTGAAATTTCCAAAGTGAATATTGCATAACTGTAAAACAGTGATTTGTGCCCCTGTTTTAGTTTGACCTTTTTTACACCTTAATAAGATGACAAGTTCAATCTGCTGGTAGTTTAAAAAAAACTGCACTTTTTAGAGAAAGGGCCACAAGATAATATTTAAGCCGGAAATGTAAAAATTAAGAGGGGCAAAATGTTGATGTTTGCAGTTTTTAGTTAATGCTTTTTAATACTATTATTTTTTATTGTAAATCTATTATATGATTGAAGCTACTGTTGATATTGATTTCTTACGTATTCAGTGTACACAGAATGAAGATGGAAGCGCGGAGTCAGTAAACAACCCTGCCCTCTGGTGGCTGTGGGAGAGACGACTTTTCTACATGATCTATCAGCTCCCAGTGTTTGTAAAATTCCGGTGAGAACATTGTATTCACTCTTCCACTGATGCATCTAAATTTTTTTTTGGATTTCAATCCAACATCAGCTGGCTGCACCCAACCAAATGTTTAAGGATAAAAGAGTTGGTGGGTTGTATAGGGTCTGACGCCCTATCAACAGCTAAGGTCATTAAAGGTCGTGCCTCCATGTGTGTTGTGTATGCATGCATGTGTGTATGTGTGCTGGAGACAGCGTATGTGGGTGAAATTGGATAAGAGAGAATGATGCAGATACTATAATACATTTACTGGTAACACTTCTATTTAATTTTGTTTTTGGAAAAGTGAGCATCACAGTATAGCAACAACTAGCAATAGGAGGTCTATGGAATACTGCAATGTCACAAATACATAATAATAGTAACTTGAGGTTCTTATATACCGCTTTATCACAACCTAGTTTGTAGGTTGTCTCAAAGCGGTTCACAAATTATTATCCGCGGTTATAGGGCCTTTACAACAAGCCAATATCTTTCTCAACCCCTTGGGGAGCATACAGCCAGTGCTGTCATTTCTTGCTCAAAGATAAAACACAGTGCCGTGACTTGAACCCACAGCCCTTCATTCACGTGCCCGGCGTCCTACCACTAGACTACTGTGCCTCCCAGGACAGAGAGGTCAAATGTCTTACAACTATTAATCAACTTAAAAGGAACCATGAGACAAGAGTAATGCCATTTTGCCTTTAGTTTCCGGGGGCAAAGGGTTATTTTTGTAGGTGTAAATAGATGACCTTGATCCTCATTCAAGGTCACTTGGGTCAATTGTGTACTTTATGATGAAAGTAATGGTACTGTATACGAGAAAATTTTCACCAAGACAAATATTTGCCCTTTGCCAACAAAGTACATGTTTGCCTAGTCAAAACTTATATCAGCTGTCATGATAAATTCGCCCTCATAGGGAAGGGCGAAAAAGGCGAAAGTTTAACTGCGGCGAAGATTTCCTGATATACAGTTTTTTCACTCTGGCTTGCAGGGGTGAATAAGAAATAGGTTTCTGCTAGTTTTGTTTAAGTCAGATGACATATAGTATTAACAATACGATTTTAAAAATAAATGACAGAATTAACTTAAAGATGATGACTTGGGTGATTTTTTTCTGTTTTATTTCAGGTTATGGAAGACTTTCAAGATGTGGAAGAGAAATGTCCGCCTGCAGAAAAGTGCACAAAGCAAGTGAGTAGAAAACATTAATACTTTTGTCATGTATGTTTCTTAACTACCTAGTAAATCAATCCATGTAGCCATGTCAGCATTATACCTAATTTACTGATTTTATTGAGTACAAAAATAATGTTTGTGGAACTTTCTCAAACACATGTATTATTACCCACACCTAATAATGATATTTTTAAATGTAATTATTTGTTACTACTGTATTGTAATTATTTGGTTCAATAAAATGTTCAAGATGATTATCATGGTCTCAATTTTTTATTTTTCTGTTCTTAATCAGATAAATAAAAAGATAGGACTCTTGTTTACAAAACCCAGTATACATCATGGATAGCATACAATGTTTTCATATTTGATATAAAAATTAGAAATCATAAGTGAAATTGTTTGTTTAAAGGGTGGTCCTATACAAGAGCCTGTTTGTGGCCAATGAGGTCCTGCAGGGCTGTCTGATCCATGTCCGAAGTCTGTGTGAGGCCGCCTGTGGCAGCAACAGAGGGATCGGGGAGGGTGAGAGTGCTGTATCTCTCATCAGTATGGACCGTTCAACCATCCTTACTCTACAGGAGTTCAGAGACATCCAGGAGAAACAGGGAAAGCTTGCTCTGGTGAAACTCAACGCTCTCCGTAGGAAAATTATTGACATTGTCTGGGAATCTTGTGCAGTAAGTAGTAAATTCTTCAGAAAAAGAAAACGGCTTCAGACACTCTAACAAACCGCAGGTGACATATATTTAAAAAAAATCTACATTATAGCAACAAGTGGATCTATGGAATTAGTTTTCTACAGTGAAAATATGTTTAAAAATTAACCCAAGGGGTAACAATTTCCATTAATTTTTTTTCTTCTTTAAGTTAATGTGTTACATGCAATTTTGTCATGGTACCCCTCACTTTTTTTGGTGTTATACAAGTAGGTCTACTTTTCCCATAACTGATGATATGTGTATTTATTCGGGGCCCCCACATCAGAGATGCGGGTGACCTCTAGTCATCTCTGTGTCCATCTGTCTGTTTGTCCACACTTTCGTTTCAGGATATTATTGCGGAAATCCGAAAGTTGAATCTTTCTGAAATTTGACATGGTGATAAATTGTGATATGTCGATTTGCAAAAGGATTGAAAAACTTTCAAAAGTCAAGGTCACTTACTAACAATAGACCATGGGGATTACAATCCTTATCTTGAAATCCCCCAAAAATTATAATCTTTAAGAAATTTGACATTTTGATACACTGTAATATTTAGATGTAAAAAGGGAGTTTAAAAAAGTTTTTAAGGTCAAGGTCAAGGTCACTACTGTTACTGAAAATAGACCATAGGTGGTTGTCGTGGTGAGGGTACGGCCAAGCACATGGCAGGGCCCTTTCTGACCTATCAGTGTTCTAGTTGTTCATATTTACTATAACCTCTTTAGGTTTAGGTTAAAGTTGAAATAACTTGTTGCATAATTGTTGTAAAATAAATAAACTTTATATATACATATATATCTTAAGGGTGAAAAAATTAACAGATTCAAGATAGAGGCCATTTTCAGACCTGACGTTATATCATATTGTTCAGCATTTATTTGAGCTTTGCTCCGTTTGAAAACAATTTTGTAAGCGATAATATAGTAAATGAACATAATGAAATATGTTGAAGTAAAAACAAACGAACGATTGTTTACATTATATTAGACTGTGGCTGAAATGGAAGGTATAACACACGGTATCCGAACTGAGGGGTCAAAGAAGGTCGTTGTCAAGGAGCCAAAGGAAGAAGTCAAGGTTGTCACTTCAAAAATGAAGTTACGTTCCAAGTATGCTAGCGATATACCACTCCCAGATACAAAGAAAAAGACAGAGGAAAAGAAAGGTAAGTAAGTCGCAAAGCCAAGACCTGAAATTTTCTCCAGACCTATAGAGTATGAGTATTTCAGCAGTTTATCCTACTTATATGTTTACTTGACCTGTTAGGAACATTTCTAGGGTTGCACTACAGTAAAATTGAGGTGCAACCTTTGAAGGTGAATGGCATATGACCTATGGTTGCTGAAGTGATAGGCTGGCAAGTTTGTTCAAATGACTGACCTTCACCCTCATACATGATTTGTTATTGATGCTGTTAAGGTCGTTTGAATCAGTAATCTTGACCCACATTTAAACTCACAGGGTCAGATTTGTTACAATGTGCAAACAACTTCTTCTAAAGAACAATAAGGACTAGAGTAAATTATATGTGGCCTTCAGCTTGCTGTGAAGAATGGCTGTCAATTTTGTTAAAATAAAAGACATTGACCCACAATCAAGGTCATAGGTGTCAAATGTGTTAAAACCTTCAAACAACTTTATCTTTGGAACCATGAGACCTAATGTAATGAGCTGTAAGGATCTTTAATATTTTGCTAACACCATTAAATAGCTGGTGAGGTTATAGTCTTATCAATACACAAAGGTCTGTTATATCTGACCTACTTTAATCAATTGCTGACTTTCGCCCTGGAAGCAGGCCAGGAGGCCAACATATTGGGACTTGGTGTGACATTTGTTCTATTTAATATATTTGGTTCTTTCCAGTTATAAAGCCACTCTATGCTGAGATAGCTGAGTGGCGAAAGATCCTGAATCGACTGGCCGGATTCCTGCGGTCAGTGGACTACCTGATGCTGGAGATGCTGCGGAGGCTGGTGGTCACAGCAGTTAGACATTTGGTCGATCACCTGGTGTCCTCGTACAATGTGACTGATGAGGATGAAGAAAAGGTGAGCTATGTTACCAAGTATCACTAGTTTGGGTAAAGGTGGGGCATTTTACCAGATCACTAGTTTGGGTAAAGGTGGGCCGTTTTACCAGATCACTAGTTTGTGTAAAGGTGGGTCGTTTTACCAGATCACTAGTTTGTGTAAAGGCGGGCGTTTTACCAGATCACTAGTTTGTGTAAAGTTCATTCTGAGCACTTATGTGATTGGTACATACATTTTAAGTAGCCATCTTGTTTTCAGATATTGATCAGTTTTCAGGAACTACTTGCTATACAGGGTCGGTATATTAGCCTACCCCATTCAGAAGGAGATGGTCAATGTTGACGTTCCTGTGACTTTCAGCCACAGCAAGAATAGTAGAAAAAGGCTGTTTTTCCTCTGAATTACTTCCTTGAAAAGCAGTATCATTAGATATATGAGTGGTGACATTTAAATTGTTATTAGATCCAGGATAACATTTATACAGATAAAATATCATGCTAGGAAATTGACAAGATATTGTATGAGTTTGGGTTGAATTAATAAGTTAAGATGAAAGGGTTTAAAGCTGGTAGTTGTTGGTACAGCGTGGATAAGTGAAACAAGGATATATGTTTTATAAATAAAAAGTTTTCAAAATCCGATAGTTTGTTTTAAAGTGGAACAGATTGATTCAGATCTCTGATTGTCAATCTCAAACAAAACTACTACTTTGTCAGAAGGACAGTGACGGTAAGGTCCTTGAATCTTTTGTGATTCAAATATTGTATTGTTTGATTTTTGAAAATATCAGAATTTGTATAACAGATATATCATGAATTTAAGTTGTTTTGCATTTCTTATCAATTTAACTTTTGACACTGTATCTATGAACAGCCAAAAACACCCCAAAAATCCATGTCTCACGCCAGCCGAGTTACAGTAAGTATGTATGTTTAAACCCCCACACCATGGTACCCTGTAACATGGAAATCCCTTGTCGTAAGCCATAGCATCAGTAGTTCCCTAAACATTGTTTTTGTCATTTAGGTTGTTGCTAAATTTCTTGTATCAAAGAAGTTATCAATTTTCCAAAAATACTGCAAGTATCAAATTCAAAATCAAACTAAGTATTAGCTTGAGTCGTCGTTTTATAAATGTTTATATATTCCATTAAAATTTCTTTGTGTGTTAGGTGCTAGGGGATTCTCTGTTTAGAGAAAACAGTCTTTGGCTTGCCTGTTCATTCCGGTATAAATACATGTACATTGCATTAAAGATCTATTATATTTGGACTAGTTGCAGGTATGGAGTCATATAAAAAAACATTTACAAAAAATGTACAGCACTTAAAATATATTTCACCTTCTTAACAGTGCAGATTTTTTTTATCGAAAGTGTTCCCTAAAACATCTTCCCTTCCCATAACATGTCATTCCCTTTCTGTTGGATACCCGCAGTTGCCATGACAACATATAAATGCACTCATTGACCTTTGACATTCCCTCTGTCAATTTCTGTATCAGGCATCATCCTATGTTCCCTCGTCAAAAGGCAGCACTCCCGAACCTGAGGAAGATGAGGTTCCGCCAAAACCTGTCAAAATGGTAGACAAATCAGGGGCAGTAACTCTGGAGTGTCTGACAGCTTTAATATAGTGTTTTAATGCAAATAAATTAACAGTGATATGTTTGGTTTGAATTTTTAACAAAATGGGAGGACAGTCTGAACAGTTATATTGTGTGCTACTTTCATATACATGTACAAAAAATAGTTTATGTATGTTGTGTTTTTCATCTAACAAACCTATATGTATGTCTTTTGTATGCATTAATAAATGCTTCAAACAAATATAGCCTATCTGTCTGTAGTCTAAGATGTGTTTTCTGAAAGTAAGCGGTCTCTGCAAATTCAGAGGAGCAGAAAGATTCTGCCATTTTAACTTTAGATGATGTAATCCTGTCAATGCGTTTCACACAACATGTATTAATTTTGATATTTTCTGGTTGAATGTTTTATTCTCAATCTCAAAAATTGAAAACAGTGAAGAATGTCGCAAAAAATATCTTTCTACAGTAACTGTTATTTTCCAAATATGACTCGGAGAACAAATATATGCTTAATTAATTTTCCTTTTTTTTGTTATTTAACCTACAAATTTAATGTGTTTAATCAAGCAGTGTTATTTAAACTAATAAATATATAAACATAATGTTTATTTGAATGCTAAAACTTATTATATGCTTAGAAGAAAAAAAAAAGAAAAAAGGAAAAATATCATCATATTGACATCATTTGACCTCTGACCTTTAATGACCTTAAAACCCAAAATCAGGTGTGGCGTTTAGCCGTTTGTTATAGAGCACCTTAAGGACATTCAATCTGAAATGAATGCCAGCCAAAAAATGGCCTTGTTAGTAGTATAAATGGTGTGACCCCATCTACTTGCATGCTTTTGCTAATATATGGAAAATGTAATGTGATAAAAATGGATCTTGAACTGTTTCCATGTCATATGAGATAGATGCAACTCATCTCAAAATTTTATTTTCACTTGGCAGAACATTTAGTGTCTATTCATTTCAGAAAAATTTAGAATCGATTCATATTTTTTTCTTTCAGAAAACCAGAAAAGTACTTTGCAAAACTCAATGCAATGTGTATTGTAGCTATAAATAACTATACTGTTTTGTCCAGAACTATTTTTTGTGTCGCTGTAAATATTATCTAATTTAGTTTTAATCAGTAATATTATACAAAACTGCATACTTTATTGTCTCCCCTGTGACGGATGTCAAGGAGGCTGGACTTAGGTGTTACTTTTCCGGCGTCGGCGTCAACGTTAAGTTTCTGCGTTAAGCTCTATTTCTCAAAAGGTATAAGTGCTATATACCAACCAAGCTTGGACAATACCTGCGCCTTATATACTTCACCCCAATCCATACATCAGTTGCTGAATGTGCCCTATAATTCATGGTCCAGTGACTATGACAGCATCTACATCAATGTTAAGTTTTTGCATTTAGCTGTGTGTTTTATGATATCTAGTTAAAGTGTTGGACTAAATAAACTTGGACAGTACTTGTTTCATATGTAGTGCATCTCAAACCATGTATCGTAATTGTTTGACTGTTGTGATTTGCAGGGAAGTCGACATGGCTCTGATCCTGATGATGACACAGAAACGATGTCTACCATGAGTCGACTGGATTATTCCAGGTAAGTCAGCATTATTTTTGAAAAGAAGCTTGTAAACTGCCTTCTCCTGGTCAGTTGGCCACGGTTACCTTTGAGGAGAAGCTTGTGAACCTCTTTCTCCTGGTCAGTTGGCCATGGTTACCTTTGAAGAGAAGCTTGTGAACCTCTTTCTCCTGGTCAGTTGGCCATGGTAACCTTTGAGGAGAAGCTTATGAACCTCTTTTTCCTGGTCAGTTGGCCATGGTTACCTTTGAGGAGAAGCTTATGAACCTCTTTCTCCTGGTCAGTTGGCCATGGTTACCTTTGAGGAGATGCTTGTGAACCTCTTTCTACTGGTCTGTTGGCCTTGGTTACCTTTGAGGAGAATCTTGTGAACCTCTTTCTCTTGGTCAGTTGGCCATGGTTACCTTTGAGGACAAGCTTGTGAACCTCTTTCTCCTGGTCAGTTGGCCATGGTTACTTTTGAGGAGAAGCTTGTGAACATCTTTCTCGTGGTCAGTTGGCCATGGTTACCTTTGAGGAGAAGCTTATGAACCTCTTTCTCCTGGTCAGGTGGCCACAGTTACCTTTGAGGAGGACCTTTTATCCCCCTTTCTCCTGGTCTGTTGGCCTTGGTTACCTTTGAGGAGGAGCTTGTGAACCTCTTTCTCCTGGTCAGTTGGCCTTGTGAATCTCTTTCTCCTGGTCATTTGCAATTGACCATGGTTACCTTTGAGGAGGAGCTTTTATACCCCTTTCTCCTGGTCAGTTGGCCTTTTTACTTTTGAGGAGAAGCTTGTGAACCTCTTTCTCGTGGTCAGTTGGCCACGGTTACCTTTGAGGAGAAGCTTGTGAACCTCTTTTCCTGGTCAGTTGGCCACGGTTACCTTTGAGGAGAAGCTTGTGAACCTCTTTCTTGTGGTCAGTTGGCCATGGTTCCCTTTGAGGAGGAGCTTGTGAACCTCTTTCTCCTGGTCAGTTGGCCACAGTTACCTTTGAGGAGAATCTTGTGAACCTCTTTCTCCTGGGCAGTTGGCCACGGTTACCTTTGAGGAGAAGCTTGTGAACCTCTTTCTTGTGGTCAGTTGGCCATGGTTACCTTTGAGGAGAATCTTGTAAACATCTTTCTCCTGGTCAGTTGGCCACGGTTACCTTCGAGGAGAAGCTTGTGAACCTCTTTTCCTGGTCAGTTGGCCACGGTTACCTTTAAGGAGAAGCTTGTGAACCTCTTTCTCCTGGTCACTTGGCCACAGTTACCTTTGAGGAGAATCTTGTGAACCTCTTTCTCCTGGGCAGTTGGCCACGGTTACCTTTGAGGAGAAGCTTGTGAACCTCTTTTCCTGGTCAGTTGGCCACGGTTACCTTTGAGGAGAAGCTTGTGAACCTCTTTCTCCTGGTCACTTGGCCACAGTTACCTTTGAGGAGAATCTTGTGAACCTCTTTCTCCTGGGCAGTTGGCCACGGTTACCTTTGAGGAGAAGCTTGTGAACCTCTTTTCCTGGTCAGTTGGCCACGGTTACCTTTAAGGAGAAGCTTGTGAACCTCTTTCTCCTGGTCAGTTGGCCATCGTTACCTTCGAGGAGAAGCTTGTGAACCTCTTTTCCTGGTCAGTTGGCCACGGTTACCTTTGAGGAGAAGCTTGTGAACCTCTTTTCCTGGTCAGTTGGCCACGGTTACCTTTAAGGAGAAGCTTGTGAACCTCTTTCTCCTGGTCAGTTGGCCTTGGTCACCTTTGAGGAGAAGTATGTTAACCTATTTTTTCCAGTCAAGGTTACCTTTGAGAAGTTTGTGAATCTATTTCTCCTGGTCAGCAGGGTTATTTTAAAAAGTATGGAAATCTGTTTTATTATAGTAACTGTAAATTACTTATCTTTTGTGAGGTAAACATTCTTTAATTTGAATGGAGAATTGAATTTAATCTCATATTCATTCAAACACATTTACACATCATAACTCCCTGTGAGTTTATCCTTTCATTCATTGTGTTTGTTGACCATTGTCTGTCCATCCATCTTACAATCCTGCTGTTAGCATTTACTATTATGAATCTAAGCTTGTAACTTTAATTTTGGTCAGATAATGACCTTGACCTTGACAAGAGTCAAATGTGTTAAAAATTTCAAATGACTTGTTCTAAACCATGACATAAGGGGTCATATTTGCCTAGTAGCTTGGGTCATAATGTTTGTCATGTTGCTTGCTTAAGATTTCATCATTTCAGCCTGAAATATATTTTGGTACTACCATTTAAAATAGGTGAGCATAGTACAAATCCTTTGTACCTGTTGTTTGAATTAAAATGATATGAAAATAAAATTCCATTTCAGGAGACAAAGGGAACTGAAGTAACTACATTGAGTTTGAACATGTTGACACCCCCCCCCACTAATAGTTGTTTCTGTTTCACTGCCTTGTTGTTTTACGTTACCATGTGATACAGCTGTGTGGATTTGAATAGTGAAATAATCTAGAATCACTCACAGTTTTAATGGATTTGTGTGAGATAATGATGTTGAGTTTATAACTCACTACTAGTTTCAATGTCTAGCTGTTTGAAGCAATCTTGTGATAAATCTCTGTGGATGAATTACTCACAAGTTTAATTGAGTTTCAGAGTTAAATGTGAAATAATCAATATTTGTTACTTAGATAGAAATAACTTTAAAAAAGATTAGGAAAATTTAATTGATTTATTATAATTAATTGAGTAACTGAGTTAGTTATAGCACTTACATGTGAGTAGTTACCTAACTACATTAATTTAATGATAATACCTAAACAAAGTCAATAACAATAGTTTAAAATAGAAATTGAGTTAAATATAAACTGAGATATTTTCTACACTAAATGTACTTATTGATTGACTCCATTGTGAAAAAGTGTTAACTTAGTCACTGAGTTAATGAGTTAATTTGATATGAGAATATTTAGTCAATGAGTTCATTTGACATGAAAGTATTGAGTCAACAAGTTAATTTGATTATGAGAGAATCAAGTCAATGAGTCAGTTTGATTATGAGAGTATCAAGTTGATGAGTCAATTTACTATGAGAGCAGGGAGTCAATGAGTCAATTTGATAATGAAAGTATTGAGTCAATGAGTTAATTTGACATGAGAGTATTTTAAATATAGTTTTCACTTAATTGTGAGTTACTTGTATTAACTCAGATTATTATGAAGTTAAATATTTTCATTTTAGTTGTTTTAGAGTTTATTGAGTTTTTTAGTAATTTGCAAAAATATACTGAATGTACAAACATATACTGAATATACAAACATATACTGAATATACAAACATATAATGAACATACAAACATGTACTGAATATACAAACATATACTGAATATACAAACATGTACTGAATATACAAACATGTACTGAATATACAAACATATACTGAATATACAAACATATACTGAATACTGACTACTACGTGGTAGTTGTACCATTATTTATTTTATTTTATTTTTAAATCAAGCAAAAACCAAAATATATAAAATATACAAATTACATGATTTTTCGTGAAATGCAGGTTAAATGTTTACCGGTACTTCACAATTTTAACAAATATTCAAGACCAAAAGTAAATACAGTAGATTTAGTACGGTAGATCACATGCTGTAGTATGTGTGGTTTTGTGTTATTTTACAATTTGTCTGTTCTATCAAAGTCATATCTGATACCAGTATATTGTTAAAAGACTATTTCTGCTATAATACATTCTTCAATAATTTAACTGTATCCCTCTTCCCTTGAAATGAAATAAAGGGATGGGATGGTTAACTCATTCACCCCTGAAATTTCATTATGAACTATTCCAACCTTTGAATTGGAAGAGTTCAAATGTATCTTAAGGGGTGAATGGGTTAAAAGTGACAGAAATCTTTAAATACTATCTTTATTGCCACACATTTTATATATTTTAAGAGGAAGATGATTGGAATCATTCACCAATTTCAAAAGGAATAAGTTGTTGTTACTTATGTTTTTCAATTAAAATAAAAAAATAAAAAATAATAATATTGTAATGATCAGTTATTGCTACTGTTGAAAATAAGATCTGCCAAACTAAATTTGAAAATATATGTTCGAAGAAGTTAATGAGGGATCAGATAATTTTGTTCACATTGAAAATGATATTATTTATTTTTCATTTTGACTATTTTAATTGGAGAGTCAGTGGCTTACAGTTTTAATCATTCTGGCTTAATAGTAAATGATTTTCATTAAAATTATTTTGTTAACTTATTTTTTGTTTTAGACACAGTTAGTCATCATATAATAGCAATATTTTTTATTTTTCAGACCTATGTCTGCAGCTAGTTCTGCTAGTTATAAGCCATTCCAGGCCCGGAAACAGCAGAAATCAGAACAGGGCTATCTGATTCCACACTTTGATTTTGACGAGCCAGAACTTTTCGAAGGACCACCAGATGCAGACGAGGTACAGATTTTAGCTGACCTTACTTAAATAGCCATGTGATGGGATGTCTGTTGTCTGTCCGAGTCAACATTTTCATTTAAATTTAACTTACTCTGAATACCCAATAGGCTGTGCACGTTGGTGATGATATTTGGCTATGGGATGAAGGACTATCAATGCAAGTCTGTTTAATTGAATTCCCATGATACATATTCAAGGTCACAGGGGTCTAATGTGTTAAAATCATTCAGCGACCTCTTGAAAAACCAATAAGCTGAACCTCATGATAATATAGCATGCTGGAGTGAAGGGCTTTTTGTCTTGCTGCAACGAAGTAGCAGAAGCGAGACTAAGGTGTTGCTTTTCCAGCGGCAGCAGTGTCACCATTGAGTTTTTGCATTTAACTTAATTTAACTAACAGTATAAGTTCTAAACCAACCAAACTTGGACCAAAAATGCATCTTACGTAGTACATCTTTCCCATGCATCAAATGCTGGATGCGGCCTACCTTTCATGGTCCATTGACTTTGTCCGCATCTCCATCAACATCAAGTTTTTGCATTTAAGTTAATTTCTCTGATATGTGCACTGATGGTCAACGCGGGGCACAGGCGAGACATATCAATCTGAATGGCTTGTTAAAATGATACAGGCCTTTTGGGCCTCTAATTTTAGATTTTTTTTCAACAAATGGCACTCCATAAAAAACTTATGGAAAATATACATTTACCGAATACAATGTGTACTCATATACCAAAATGGAGTTTCTGATCATTTTTATCAAGATCAGGATAATCAGTTAATCCCCAAATGTCTTGAATGAAAGTTTGAGCTAGGTGTCAAGTTAAACATTGTATATAGAACTGTCTTACTTCTAAGATGTGTGAACTATGTGTAAACTAGTTCTTTTCCTCTATTCTGTATTCTAACTTTTGGGCCTTGTCCAGTTTTCAATTTTTCTACCTGTTGGAGAGTAAATCTGAAAGTATGAGAATATTAAGTATTTTCACCATTCAACAGTAATGAATGTTTTGGTATAACAGGGTAAAATATCCGGTTTTATTTACGGTTTGTGTGTAGATCCTTCGTGAGATCCTGCACCGCGATGAGGTAGAGGAGGTGACGGCATGTGTTTTCAGTCTGCAACTGATGCTGAACGTTCCTGGAGTGACAGCAGCTCTCTCCTCCTCGTACGCCTCCTCCAGAGGGGACCGGAGCTCCATCAGGTCCAACACCTCCCGTGTAAGGTTTGATGACAAAGTAGACTCCATTCACAAGAAGTCAGTCAAATTTACCACTGAGCAGCAGAATGAGTCAGGTGAGTGTACATTGACCATTATAAATCTGGCACTGACTTGCTGACCACTGTCCACTGACCAGGAAGTGGGATGATTGGATATCAGAGTTATTGAAGTAATGACATTTATGTTTATTGGTGGTCAGAGGTGAAATCTGTTTAAAATATTAACAACCTTTTTTCAAGTTTCATAATTATAAGGCTTAGGGCAAGGTGTTATTGTGTGATTCCATATTCCATAATTTGAATATCAATAATTGACATCTGATAGCAAGATACTGGAGAAGACTGACTCTCAGCTATTGCCATGTTTGCTCTGCATGTTCTGTCGTGTGTTAAACACATGCTTATTTCTACTTCGCATTTTGCCAATAAAAAACCCAATTTTAGTAGAACTCTGATGACTGTTACGGCCCAACGGCCTCATGTTCTGTTTTAAGATGGTGAAGAAACGAGTGAGAGTGGGGAGGAGGACTCGTCTGAGGAGGAATACGAGGATGAGGACGACAACCAGATGAGAAACAGATTCGCTTACGCCTACCAGGAAAAGGAGAAAAAGTAGGGTGGCTTTCGAAATTGTCTTCAAGACATAAATTCATGAACTTTTGTAATGGTTTTCTATGGAAAATTTCAAGTTAAAGATTTCTGTAAGTTAAGGAAGGCTCGTGACTCTGAGGCTTTCATTAACTTTTGTGATGGAAAATGTAAAGCTTTTGTAATGGAAAATATAAAGCTTTTGTAATGGATAAATAAAACTTTTGTAATGGATAAATAAAGCTTTTGTAATGGAAAATATAAATCTTTTGTAATGGAAAATATAAAGCTTTTGTAATGTGGAAAATATAAAGCTTTTGTAATGGAAAATATAAAGCTTTTGTAATGGAAAATATAAAGTTAAGGAATTTCATAAGTTAAGAAACTTTAGTAACTCTGAGGCTTGCATGGTCAAAACAGCTGTAGGAAGAATCCTTCTTTCAAATCACAATAGCAATGTCTGTTTATGGTGTTGCTAATGAAGCTGAACTCCCTTGCCCGTTTTAAAAATGATGAAAAAAATCGGGCGTTTTCCTCTATAACTCGAGATATGTACTGTATACCGGGAAACACCGCAGTTTAACTTTGGCGCCCTTTCACCCTTCCGATCTGAGGCCGAATTTAACATGACGGCGAACTTTTAAAAAGAAACTACGTATACGACGCCGTCATGTTTTGTCACTATTTCGTCTACACTAAGGCTTAACTCAGGTACCCTATGCGATGCAAGCGGGGTCTAGTGTGTTCTACTGGCGGCAGTGTAGGGCGAATAAGGATTACTCTTATACCACCTCGTGATGGGAATCGGTTCTATTTTTAGCTCACCTGGCCCGAAGGGCCATGTGAGCTTATCCCATGGTGCAGCGTCCGGCGTCCGGCGTACGGCGTCCGGCGTCCGACGTCCGTCAACTTTTTCCTTTAAAATGCTACTTGTCCTGAATGGCTCAGAGGATTTTGACCAAATTTGGTCAGGAGCATCATTGGCCAAAGGGTTCTCAGTTTTGTATAAACGGAGGGTATAACCCCCCTGGGGTCAGAGGGGCGGGGCCAAATAGGGGGAAAATAGGTAAATCTTTAAAAATCTTCTTCTTCTCAACCAATAGAAGGATTTTGACCAAATTTGTCCTAGAGCATCTTTGGACAAAGGAGACTCAAGTTTGTATAAACGGAGGGTGTGGCCTCTTTGGGGGCAGAGGGGCGGGGCCAAATAGGGGAAGTAGAGGATTTTTTCTCTCCTACTATACAAGTGAAGGGATTTAAACCAAATGCAGTCTGAAGCTTGGTCAGGAGCATCATTGGCCAAAGGGTTCTCAGTTTTGTATAAACGGACGGTATAGCCCCCCCTCGGGGCAGAGGGGCGGGGCTAAATAAGGGGAAAAAAGGTAAATCTTTAAAAATGTTCTTCTTCTCAACCAATTGAAGGATTTTGACCAAATTTGTCCTAGAGCATCTTTGGACAAAGAAGACTCAAGTTTGTATAAACGGAGGGTGTGGCCCCTCTGGGGGCGGAGGGGCGGGGCCCAATAGGGGAAATAGAGGATTTTTTTTCTCCTGCTATACAAGTGAAGGGATTTTAACCAAATGCAGTCTGAAGCATGATTAGGGACAAAAGAATCAATTTTGTATAAACTGAGGTGTGTGGGCCTCCTTCTAAGGGCAGATGGGTGGGGCCCATTAGGGGAAATAGAGGAAAACATCAAATATCCTTCTCCTTTTGTACCGATGAAGGGATTTTGACCAAATTTGGTCTGGAGCATCATTGGCCAAAGGGTTCTCAGTTTTGTATGAACGGAGGGTATGGTCCCCCTGGGGGCAGAGGGACGGGGCCAAATAGGGGAAAATAGGTAAATCTTTAAAAATCTTCTCCTCAACCAATTGAAGGATTTTGACCAAATTTGTCCTAGAGCATCTTTGGACAAAGGAGACTCAAGTTTGTATAAACGGAGGGTGTGGGCCTTCTGGCGGCATAGGAGCGGGGCCCAATAGGGGAAATAGAGGATTTTTTTTCTCCTACTATACAAGTGAAGGGATTTAAACCAAATGCAGTCTGAAGCATGCTTAGGGAGAAAAGAATCAATTTTGTTTAAACTGAGGTGTGTGGATTCCCCTTCTTTGGGGCAGATTAGTGGGGCCCATTAGGGGAAATAGAGGAAAACATTAAAGATCCTTCTCCTTCTGTACCGTTGAAGGGATTTTAACCTAACCAAACTTGTTTTAGAGAATCTTTGGGCAAAGGGAATTGAATATTTATAAATGGAAGATGCAACTTTGTTACTTGTACTCCTTTGATAAACCTGAATGGTACTCAGCAGGTTTTAAATTGAAAAATAAAATACCAGGTGAGCTATTAAGGCCCCTGGGCCTCTTGTTAGAACCAATTGTCTGCTGCACCAGACTAACTATCAATTATAATCGGTTTAATAGGCAACGTTCAGCATGATTTAAGTTGTGTGTTTTTTGTTGTGGCAAATAAAATAATAAAATGAAATAATTACAAGTAATTGGATACTTTGAAAATATATATCTGTATTTTCTAATTCAAAGATTAAATGGTAATGAAAACCTTCCTAATTAACTGGTTTGAATCGGGAATTACACTTTATTATACTAGTTCAAAGCATTTTTGAAAAATGCAAATGTCATACTTTATCATTCTCAAAGTTTTCCTAGAGTTGTCAAACTGAACCAACTATTCAGCTTTTCAGTTTTGGCATTGATTCATTAGTTTTATTTTGATATTTTGGTTATTTCATATCGTCATCCCATCACTAGTATCTCTCAGCATGATTACTTCCAGATCATCCATTCATATTACTCCGAGATAACTCCTTTTTAAAAATCATCTATTTATATCAAAGTTTTATTAATTATGCTACATTGTATTATGTAAGTTCATTTCTCTGCAGAGAAAAGGCAGAAGTGACAAGGTCATTTGTTAGTATGGCGCCCAATGAGAATGAATTCAAGTACGGCATCAGAGACGTTATCTCGGGATTTGAGAACACTGTTGGTAAGGAGATAATATATGGGATAGCTTGTATGTGTTACTGGATCAGAATCTGTACAAAGTAACGTTTGTTTATTCGAGGGTGCAGAGCCCAATTGTTGAAACCCTAACAGGGAACCCTTTTGACAGTGAAGCAAGTTCAACTTTATGGGCAGATTGGTTGAGTAATTAAAACACTCCGGCCTTCCAACACTCCAGGTGAAGTATAAATTGGTCTGGGGTGGATGTTGCGGTATCTGTGCTGTAGCATTTAAGTGAGGTGGCACTATAAATGATACCATTGGAAGCACGGTCCCACTATAAACAGAACACAATACATCTCCAGCACACACACAGGCATACACACATAGGGAGATATTAGCCAGGTGCCATAGGTTCAGTAGTTAGCGCTTGATAAGGCAGCTCCTACGAACTCCTCAGAACTGTATTGATTAATGTATTTTTGCTAATTGTATTAATTGTATAAAATGTATATCTATGTACTGTAAAGTGCATTAGAGTGGCTTATTCTAGCTAGATAGGGCACTGTATCAAATATTATATATTATTATTATTATCAACTAGGAAGCTTGGTAGGTAATATGTACATACATGTCTAGTTGAAATCCTGGTTAAGCATGAACACAACATACAATCAAATTTCTTCATCCTAGCAAGACGAACAATTTGCCTAATTTGAAAAAATAATCTCCATTTTTCATGATTCTGTTATCCATTTCTAAAATATGGCTGAATCGCTTATGGAATGCACTCTAAATTTATTTGGAAAAAGGCCTAGTTCTCACGTGGACTGCTCCCTACATCTCACAGGTTATGGTACCTAAATCTCATCGGGAATATGGTGTTAAACACATTTGAAATAGAAAGTTGATCATCTTGAGAATATTTCTGATTCTCATTGAAATAGAGTATTGACTTCTAGGAATGTGGTCTAAATTTCATCTGAAATGGGGGCCTAAATCTCTTATTGAATATTTTATCTGGAGTGGGCAGACCGGGGAATAAATTAAATGTGGATTCGGGACTACATTTCTTAGTGAATTGCATTTAACCCTAATCTAGAATATGGCCTGATATCCATTTAAGGATCCCTGTCCCACTGCACTGCTGTTTTTCCAATATGCAGTAACCTACGCTTAACTTTAGTTTGGAGATAACTGTAGCACAGTTGGGCCCGTACACTTTCGTTGATCAGATAGCCAATGTTGGTTACAGCAATAGTATAACAATCTGAAGTCCTGGGTTTGAATCCCGGTCTAGTCTTGCTGAATTTTTACGTGCAGAACAATCTTGTTGATTATATTTCGTTTATTTCATCTTTTATATTTTTCATACAAATCTCGCAAGGTCTGCTTTTATTTTCAGAAATGATTTAAATGCTATAGTCGTGCTGGAAACCATAGTTTCCTATACTTAGTTACAGTTTTTGGCAGTGGTTCAGGGATCCTTAAATGGAGCCTGAATCACATTGGAGATGAGGAGGCTATTTATAGCAGGGAGGAATTCCCTGACATGCATGATCAACTATCCCAATACGTTTATTTTAGGTCAGGTGGTATCAATGCTACGAGAGCCGAAGCTTGCTGTTTTCTACTCCCCACCGAAAAACGATTTGCGTCTGAACTTTGATGAAGAAGAAGAACTCGAGCGTAAAGAGATGATGCGACCTTGGCCTGACCTTGAATTTGTGTTCGGGGATGACCCAGAATATCAAAATTTACTTTCAGAACTGGAATCGTACATGACAATGGAGATGGCGCTAGTCAAACAATACTCCACAGTGAGTCAAACATGTTGTATGTTTCAGAGAGGAGACACTAAGCTAGCTGAAAAACTTTATCACCCTTCTTTTCCTCCCAATTATCTTGCTTTGTAAACTTATGAAGGAGGTTCAAGGTAAAGTTCAAGAGAAAGCAGCAGAAAATATCAATCTAAGGAAGTTTATACGATTTTACACCCAAAGATCTGCCAGTGATACATGTATATCATATTTCATTGATTTTTATGCCCCCTGCACCGAGAGGGAGGGAAAATACTGAAGCCAAGTAATCTGTCTGCCTGTAAATGAAATTTTATCTTGACATACCTAAACCACTTCAGCGATTTCAACGAAAGTTTGTATCAATGAGCAGTTCTCTTGTAATTGTGAAACTGTTTCAATTTCGAGTTCCCAAAAAGATTACGCCCATTTATTTAACGAAAAAAATTCTTCCAAACTACCAGAGTGATTTCAAAATGATTCAATCCACCGATTTCAATATATAATGAGATCTTGTATAATAGTAACTGTATGAAACAAATGAATTTGTGAAAGATTTAATTAAAAACTGTATTTTTTGTCAGAATTTTGATCACTTTTGTGTAATGGTGGACAAAGCGAGAATCCTGAATGTAAATGAGTCGATGGCGCGGCGGGAATGGTCGACTGAGGAGTTCCAGCACGTCCTCGCTACATATACAGAAATGGTAGGTCAAGGTCATTTAACTGCAAACAAATCAAGGTAGGTCAAGGTCATTTAACTGCATACAAATCAAGGTAAGTCAAGGTAATTTAACTGCATACAAATCAAAGTTGGTCAAGGTAATTCAACTGCATACAAATCAAGGAAGTTCAAGGTCATTTGACTGCATACAAATCAAGGTAGGGTTAAGGTCATTCAGATACAAACAGAACATGGTAAGTTACATACAAAACTTGTGTGTGAAATTAATTTAGCTACATTTAAAACAAGGAAGGTCAATGTCATTCATCAACATACAAAAAAAGTGGGTCATGATCATCATCAAGCAAAATACCAAACAAAGTAGGTAAAGTTCATTTAGCTGTTTATAAAGTCTTAGTAGCAGAAGGTTAATTACTTCTTAGTTATGAACACAGGCATGAAAGGGCACGGTCACTTATTTACTCCTTGCACAGATATGATTGGTTTAGTTTCCTTGTCAGCATTGCACTCAGACATGAACTTCAAGGTCACAACGTTTTGTATACATGCATAAAAGGTCAAGGTCACTAAGCTATGTAAATAGACATGGTGGATAAAAGCAACGTTTTAACTATACGCGGATACAGTCTGTCTACAGAAATGGTGGAATATGAAATTATGTGATAAGGACTAAATCGTATGGTTTTGTTTCATTTCCAGATCCACCAGATGAAGAAGATGACAACTGTGAGGCGTGTGTCGATGGTCCAGGTACAAAGTAAAAACTTCAGAGAGTGTTGTCTCCCCTACTGCAAGGAAATTGTGTCAGACTCTCACAAACAGCTTCCTCTCATAGCAAACAAACGCAACGAAGACCTCCTTACAATCATAAAGGTAGGTGATGGGGATTTTTCTAGAATCGGGTAAAAGATGGATAGGAAACGTATGTGGAGGAACTGCATAGCAAAATCTAAAATCTAAAATAATATATAATTCAATGCCATGTTTGATTTTGATATTTATAACAAATTAAATGGAATAGCATCTTGCCTGAAGGTTTATTTCTATTGGTTGCTTAATATCTCATAAATAATACTATTTTTGCTGTATTTTATTTACTTACCTAGGGGGCATCCAAGAAACTGGAGCACTACCCAACCTCAGTGGAAGACTTTGTGGAACATCTGTCCTTCCTGGGGAAAATGTCTACAGAGTTACCTGCCCTTGATAAGGAGTTCTTCATCGTTAACAAGATGTTTACCATAGCAAAGGAGTTTTCTGTGCAAATTGATCCGGAAGATTATGCATTGTACCAGTTCCTGGGACCAAGTTTCAGGCATTTGAAAGTAAATCTAAAGCAAATGAAATTCTTTTCATTTCATTGATGTAGAAGCTCATAGATGGAAGTTCATTGTGTTTTGTATGAAGAGATTATCATGTGTCAATGATTTAAATATAATTGTAGACTGTAAGACGGTTCATCTGAGTAAAACATCTTAGGAATTTTTACTGTAAAAGAGTTGAGGTCATTACACTTTTGCGATGCCTCTGCGAGGAGTCGAACCCTGGACTACTGGTTTACTAGTCTGACACTCTACTGAATGAGCTAATGAGTCGAAATTCTCCCTTGCCTTGTTGGTATGAAGTGGCTAGTATTTTACCAGGGTGACATTACAATTGGTTCCCTTCTCAAAGGGTTAGTAAGCGGAATCATTTCACGCAATACAGAGTAAATCCTGTAACCAGTAACACAGTATAGCATGATAGGTAAAACCTAAACTGCCGTCACGATCCACTGAAGAAATTGGTCAGATGAAACTGTGTCATTTAATAGTCGGGGTTTTCTACAGAGAAACCAGTCTTTAAGGGATAAAATCAAATCTTGTATTACAGAATTTGCTGAAAATCAATTACGAGAAAAGTGCGGTAATATGGTATTCACATAGAGGAATAGAGGAAACACCTATTTAAACATTAATGAATTTCTTCTTTCAGTCAACAGTGCTGTACAGTGAAGCCAAAAAGGACGAGAACATACGTAAGTTTAGTCGAGACCTTGACAACCTCATCTTCAGTATTCGAACCAAGATCATGGATCTTAAGAATCGGATCCAGGACCCAGACCTGCTGCACATGGACACGATGAGTGTGACTGCTCTGGAAACAATTCGGGACCTCCAGGAGGGTGTCCAGGAATTGTCCGTGAAGGCACGAAGCTATGCTGCATACCAGGAGAGATTTGGTAGCTCTCTCACCACTGGCAGGAAGGGCGTCTATGTTGAAATAGAGTAAGATATAAACTTTTACTTACCTGGAATAAAAGTTTACTTAAGAATTTAAATGCATACTTTAGCTCACCTTGCAGGACTTAAAGTAAAATTTAATGTGTATTCTTAACATTCTTCACATATATGATGAAATCCCTTTGCTTAAATATTCCATGATACAGTACATTAGCACATTTTGGAAGATATATTTGTAAACAAAACAATCGTAAGATAAAGCGTGATAAATCTCGGGGATGTATATTGAAATAACTTGTGGTAAGCCTTGTCATATATCAGAATAAGTGTACTAAATTGATGATATTGTAAGTTGTAACCTTTTATATTATCTATAATAATGAACTGTATTAAATCAAAAAGATTATAGATTGTAAAACATCGTAGTAAGTCTTTTCGGTCGTGTATTGTAACAAATTATAGTAAACTTTGTGATTGTGTATTAGAACAAATTAAAGTAAATCAATGAGATTATAGATTGTAATAAATTGTAGTTAATCTTTGAAACTTTAGATGTTGGAATTTTGTTGACAGGGAATACCTGATGATTGATAAACGTGACAACAAGAGTGCTCAGGAAATCCAGTCGGAACTCAATGAACTGGAACATGACATCATGCTTCGCCGAATCCTCTGGCAGTCCCAGGAGGAGTGGATGAAACTAGTCGACGAGTGGACCGCAACCGTGTTTGAAAACCTCAACGTTCAAACCCTGCAGAAAAACGTCAACCGATTTACGCAGACGGTGTATATGTTGGATAAGGGCCTCCCACACAACGAGGTTGTACCGAGACTCAAAGAAAAGGTGTTGGATTTTAAACAGGGCATGCCCGTCATCACCAGTCTGAGGAACCCGTCGCTACGACGACGTCACTGGGAAAGCATAGAACGACTCATTCAGAAGTCCATTGCTAAAGACAAGGCATTCACATTGGGCAACCTGCTGGAAATGAATGTAAGAATACTGTTGTTTCTTTAGATTTTGTCCTGTGAATCAACCTTCCAATAATTCTCCTCCTAAAAATGAATATTGTATACAGGGAATAGTTGAATTTTCGCCCTTCGACCATACAATCCATTTCCACCCAATTTTAAACTCACCCTTCACAAATATTCAACTGCAGCAAATATTTCATGGTATGCAGTATCATGCAGGGAGAATCAGCAAGCTAATAGTTTCCTCCCTTAAAACCAATGGCAAGGGAAAGAAAGCAGCTTAATGTCCCCGGCTTAAACCAATATAACGGGTGAAGGGGGATAACTATCAGCTAGGTATCCATAGTTACTACAAACAAGACCAAGTGATGAAAGAACTAGTCAGCTAATAGTTTTCCCCCTCAAAAACCAATATCAAAGGGTCAAAAAATCATCTAACCAATAGTTGGGTTGGAAGGGGGTTATAAAAGTACTGTATAAAATGATGTAGAAACCTGTCCAAAAGTTCCTCTGCCAGTAGAAACCTGTCCAAAAGTTCCACTGCCAGTAGAAACCTGTCCAAAAGTTCCACTGCCAAAAAAATAGTATCATGAATCTAAAAAAGTTCAGATATGAATTGGAGGAGGGAGGGGAATTTTTATCTAACCCTTCAAAACTTTGCCCCCGGAAAGAGAAATATGACATATTTTTTTAATGTTTGCCATTGTTTTACTGTTGAATGTTCCAAATATTGGTGTAGTATATCTTAGTTCCATCTCATTTTCAGATCTTCAAACACAAGGAGAAGATACAGGAGATCTCCACAAAGGCCAGTAACGAGGCCACACTGGAAAACATGCTGCAGAAGGTGTGTTAACATAGACTTTAATCAATAGAAGATCAGCTGATAAACCCCACAATAGGAATACATTTGAATGGATCTGTGACTTTTTTGTATGCTGTAATATAGCAGACAAGGTTTTTCTTTTCTGTTTTTTTTTTTTTGGTTGACTACACAGTGAAAACCACATTGAAATACAGGAATTCCATCAAGTGGTTTCTTTATACAGGTTCACAATGAAAACACTTAATTAGGGAACATTTAAAGTGGTCTTTTAACACAGGTGATCTCTTAACACAGGTTCAGTTCACAATGAAATCACTACAATGTGGAACATTAGAAATAGGTCTCTTAACACAGGTGGTCTCTTTATACAGGCTCAGTTCACAATGAAATAACTAAAAATGCAAACATTAAAAGTGGTCTCTTAACACAGGTGGTCTCTTAACACAGGTGGTCTCTTAACACAGGTGGTCTCTTAATAGAGGTGGTTGCATGAGCAGGTTTGACTGTGTGTAGAATACGTAGGAACTATAGGACAATTCCTTCCCTGAAGATGCTGTTATGTGATTTCCGTTTAGTCTTAAGGTAAACATGCTTCACTGTATTAAAGGTGCAAATGATAAGACAATCACATGAATTAATGATGTTACTTATTTTTCCTTGTCTCCGGTAGATCATCGACCTGTGGCAGGGTATGGACTTCAGACTGGTGGCTCATGCAGGTCGTGACACTTTCATTATCGGAGGAGCAGACGACATACTGGCTCAACTAGAAGAGAGTCAAGTCACCATAGGAACCATCAGTGGTTCAAGATACGTGGCACCAATCAAGGTAAGCTTTGTTACCATGGAAACAGTCAGTTGATGATAAAATAAAGATTGGAAATTCAAACACATAAATTGTATACAGGTTCATATAGCACAACCAGTGAAATGTTTGTGTGACATTTCAATGACAAATACAAAATGCACTGTCACCTTCATCAAACAAATGACCGGTAAAGCTTATCTACACAGAGGCGTAAAATATGCATGACAATTTGGCTATGAGCATATATATGTACACCATGTTATAAAAGTATAAAACAATGATCAACTTGAAAAATTCATTTGTCAACCAAACTATACATTTGTTTAGACTTTGAGTTTAGTCCCATATAATTAAAAGCGGGATGGGGGCTTGTATATGGTTAACCAACATTTTCTAGTTGAATGGTGTTTATATGTGTCTACAGAACCAAGTGGAGGAGTGGGAGAGAAAGCTCCAGGCTTTTGCCCGTACCTTGGAGGAGTGGATGAAGTTCCAGAGAAACTGGCTATACCTGGAACAGATATTTAGTACACCTGATATCCAGAGGTAAACATCCATTAATCTGTTGTTAAATGTTCTGAGTTCTCAGGACATTTGTTTTTAGTATCGAGTTGAAATTAATTGTATATGATCAGTTCATTGAATTGAATTGCTATAAGTTGAATGTTCATTGTATCTGTCCGCACTGGTGCATGTTAACTCATTGGCTGAGACATTTTCAACTCCTCAATATCCCCCAGCCAATCGGTAACCAAACTTGATGTAAATAACACATTCTTGATCCTCAGGACAGGTGCAATACTTGTTGGGTGCAAGATCCAAAAAGGCCTCCATGTCCTCTGATTTTAACCAAATGTTGTACAAAGTTTTGTCATTGTGCTTACCAAATGTTGTTATTTGAATTATTTTGGTCAATAAGGAATCTGAGATGGCCACTATGGTCTCAAGTTGGTGAAATTCATTACAACCTCTTGTCTAGTTCAGATAACTAAGGTGAGCGATACAGGCTGTTTATACACAAGGTCCTACATTTTGTGTTGATTGTATTGACAGACAACTGGGGCCTGAACACAAGATGTTTACCGGAGTAGACAAGGCCTGGAAGGACATCATGCGCCGCGTGGAGGACCGCCCTAACGCCCTCAAATCTGCCCTCGCCTCAGGAACCCTGGAGACACTGCAGACTGGGAATGGCACATTAGAGAAAATCCAGAAAAGTCTAGAGGCAAGCTATTTCACGATATAGATGTACTCGCTAATTAAACCTGCAGCACTAGATATTGATTATCATATAGCAGGATATTTCCACCGTGGGACGGGGATGATATTTTCACGATTTTGCAGGTCAATAATTTGATCACAAAAATATGATATAAGGAAAACGTAAAAAATCGGCTGCGATAGTGAATTTCATAACCGTAATTTTGTCATGAAATAATGATTATGAACTCATGTAATATTTATAGTAATTAGTAATAGAAGAAAATAGATTATGTCAAACTTGTGATAGTTTTGTTGATGATTTGTTCAACAAATTACACTTGTTGTTGCTCAGTATGCTATAATAAAGCGTGTTTATTTGACTATTTGACACTTTATATGCCAAGTGTCTCGTCTCTGTCCTCAGACACGCCAAGTGTCTCGTCTCTGTCCTCAGACACGCCAAGTGTCTCGTCTCTGTCCTCAGACACGCCAAGTGTCTCGTCTCTGTCCTCAGACACGCCAAGTGTCTCGTCTCTGTCCTCAGACACGCCAAGTGTCTCGTCTCTGTCCTCAGACACGCCAAGTGTCTCGTCTCTGTCCTCAGACACGCCAAGTGTCTCGTCTCTGTCCTCAGACACCGTCAACATTTATAGTACCTTGACATGTCTAGATCGCGAAGTGACAATCTGTGTAAATTCATTTTCATTTTTTTTCCATTTAACTCGTTATATGGTATAGCCTTATCACAGTAAAGAGTTGCAGATAACTGGGCAATGGGAAATACTGAGGGTGGAAAATTCTTACATTGTGGTACAGGATTTTTTACATTGCTTGTATCATGTGTTATCTCATATTATTTTGGTATTTTCACATTCCACATCAACTCGGCTTGATTGTTTCAGTCATTTTTAATAATTTTGAATAGTTTTCACCATGTGGTTTATTTTAAGTGACTTTTACAGGTTAATTCGGTATCTTTTCTGGTTTCAACTGCAGAATATATATATACATGTATGTAAAGTCACGTTTGGATAACTCCATTCATGTTTACAGGACTACTTGGAGACCAAACGCCTCCTGTTCCCACGGTTTTACTTCCTTAGTAACGACGAGCTTCTGGACATCATGGCGCAGTCTAAGGATCCCAATGCTGTACAGGTAGGGAATTTCCATAAAATCCATCACCTAGTGGTACTGTATGTAGAAACTATGAGAATTTTATAAAAGTAGGAGGATCACAATGTCCTCTGTCTGCCAACTTTTAAATGACTTTTTCTAAAGAACACAAAGGCCTAGAGTCATGATAGTATGTTGGTAGCTTCCTAGGATGGACCCTTACAAAATTTGCGAATAAAAAAAATACTTCAACTAACTTAGAAAGTTACAGGGGTCAAACATGTCAAAAACTTCTGAAGAATGGAAAGGCCTAGAGTCAAAATATTAGGTTGGTAACTGCCTGAGATGGAGCCAAATAAAGTTTGGAAATAAAAATGACCTTGACCTACTTTCAAGGTCACTGGGGTCAAATATATCAAAAACTTAAAACAAACTTCTTTGGAAGAATGGGAAAGCCTAAAGTCATGACATTAGACTGTTAGCTTCCTATGATGGAGCCTGACTGTTAGCTTCCTATGATGGAGCCTGACTGTAAGCTTCCCATGATGGAGCCTGACTGTTAGCCTCCTATGATGGAGCCTGACTGTTAGACTCCTATGATGGAGCCTGACTGGTAGCCTCCTATGATGGAGCCTGTCTTTTAGCCTCCTATGATGGACCCTGACTGTTAGCCTCCTATGACGGAGCCTGACTGTTAGCCTCCTATGATGGAGCCTGACTGTTAGCCTCCTATGATGGAGCCTGACTGTAAGCCTCCTTGGATGGAGCCTGACTGTTAGCCTCCTATGATGGAGCCTGACTTTTAGCCTCCTATGATGGAGCCTGACTGTTAGCCTCCTATGATGGAGCCTGACTGTTAGGCTCCTATGATGGAGCCTGACAAAGCTTTTTGAATTTGTATGGAACCTTGTTTTCTGATATAAGATGAAGGAGAAGGGGACAGCTGTGTGAAATTAAACAGAAATATGCATGATATTTTTCCGTTTATTATGTGTGAATCGTAGTTGATGTGGTAATCTTGTGGTGCGGCATACTGTTAGTAAGTTTTGAACTGTAATTGGCTGTTTTGTTTATTTAAGCCACATCTTGGAAAATGCTTTGGAAATATAAAATCTCTGAATATCAAGTCTATGCCACGGCAAGCAGCCATTGTGAAGTCAATGACGTCAGCTGAGGGGGAGAATGTCGACATGCCCAGGTATATAACATAGTATAGATATCAACAACGTCATCTGTGGTATACAGGACAAAGATCACCCTCAATTGGGACATTAAGTTTTTCCCTTGGCTCCCATAATGCTTTTATTATTTATTAAATACATTTACTCTTGACTAAGGGGTGATGTTGTAATTCCATATAACATTTGATAACTGATATTTGTACTAGAGAAGATTTTTGTCTGTTTTCCCATGGTTAACACATATACTGGGGGTATATAACTTTTGTATATGTAGGCCACACCCTAACGGGAAATTATGGCTGTGAATCCTGTTTCCATATTTGCCTTACATGGACTATCTTGGTTTGTACACATGATTATTTCTACTTCATGTATCAACAATAACAAACAACTATATCACAAATCATGCCCACTTGTTCATATAGGGATTAATGTATACCGGGAAATTTTCGCCCTGTCAAACTTTCACCCTTCGACCATGAAATCAATTTTCGTCCACTTTTAATTTCGACAATTAATTGCTATTTTCATTATGTTGTTTACTTTTATTAGGGCCCCGTATCGAAGATACGGGTGCCCTATAGTAATCACTCTGTCTGTCTGTCTGTCCGTCCACAAATTTTGTTCCTGGCTGATAACTTTGGTATTTATTGACCGATGTACATGAAACTTGGTCAAGATGTTCAGTTCATAAAAATACACATTGAGGTAAAAAGTCAAGGTCAAAGGTCAAGGTCATTAGGTTCAAAGGTCAAGGTCAAATTTTACATCTTTTCACTGATGAACATTTTGTTATGACATGATGAAGCAAAGTTGATCAGAATTAAACAACGATTCAACTGACCAAAGGTCAAGGTCATTGGGTCAAAGGTCAAGGTTAAATTTTGTATCTTTTCACTGGTGAACATTTCGCTATGACACTTTGAAGCAATGTTGCTCAGAATTAAACAAGGAGTCAATTGACCAAAGGTATTGACCAAAGGTCAAGGTCACTTAGTTAAAGGTCAAGGTTAAAATTTTGTACCTTTTCCCTGATGAACATTTTGTTATGACATTATGAAGCAATGTTGTTCAGAACTTAACACAGAGTCAACTGACCTTAGTTCCAGGTTACTGGGTCCAAAGGGTCAAGGTCGAGTTTTGTATCTTTCATTGATGAACATTTTGTTATGATATTAAGAAGCAAAGTTGGTCGGAATTAAAGAATAAGTCAACTGACCAAAGATCAAGGTCACTGGGTTAATGGTCATGGTCATTTGGGTCCAAAGGTCAAAGACAAAGTGGATCTCTGACTTTGACCTTGGCTCTTGATGGAGAAGGTATATAAGGTGAAACAAAACAAATAAAACAAAGCTAACAAATGAGTATTACACCGGTAATTACATTTCTGTTAGCCCAGCAAATATGGAGGTGGAAGGAAACACATCACATCATTGTACATGTAAAATGTATATTTTGCTTCCCTGCGATTCTTTTTGAAGTCCAAATGTCAAACTTCAAGCTCAGCTATATGGACAGATTGCTTCTTGATGATTATGGGGGATATAATTGCCACAAAACGGGGCCCTTACTGACCTGTCAGTGTTCTAGTTTGCTGTAATGATAAATTTGCCCTTATATGAAGCTCAAAAAAGATGAAAGTTAAACTGTAGCAAAAATGTCCTGGTATTCAGTAATTCATTTCATTAATTTGTTCATTCATCCAGGAACTTGAGGGTCCGTGGTGTAGTGGAACAGTGGCTACTTGGTGTGGAGGCTGGAATGTTTGAGACAGTCAAGAGGTAGGTACACGTAATAAGTCATAGTTTGGCTGATACCCCATGTAGCTATGGCTGAAACGACCACAAGGAGGAATAAATCTCTAGATCAGAACCTCTGATTTCTTTTGCATCAGATATTACCAAGAAATTGAAAAATCAAGGTCCTAGACGGCTATCCTTGCATTTAAGAACATCTTTTTTTGATGAGATATAAAAACTATTAAAATTTCAGGATGAGTGTTAAAAAAATACCATTTGTAACTATTCATTTCAGCAAGATTTACCTTAACTTCAGTTTATTCATATTCTTCTAGCATCCAAACTTTGTGTCCTGATATAAAATATTTCAGTCGTAATTTCCCTCTTATGGGGCACCTGCTCAGAGGACATGAATTTCTATGAGAGCCAGCTGTATGTAGGGCAAAAACTGTTCAACAAGGGAGATAACTGTGATGAATTATTTTTTATTAATGGATATTGTTAATGGGTGCAAGTATTAAATGATAAAGTTTTTGTTAGAATGACTTTATAAAAATTAGTTTTAGAATAAAAAATCCCTCAGAAATCAGGAATTATAAAAGTTTGTTTCCTCAATATAATAGTTATGATTGTAATTGAACTTTTCAAACCAATGGAATAGAAACAGCAATGTGTGTACAATGTTTTTATACTGTAAAATATTTACTAAATAATTAAAACAATCTACCATTGATTATTGATTTTTCCCCCCTTTTATAGACATCTGAAGGAAGGTTTGGCTGGCTGGACGGGGACAGAACTTCAGGACTGGGTCCTCCGCCACCCCGGTCAAGTGGTCATCACTGTGGTATGGATTCTCCTAATAGGGCATTTCTTACTTGCACCTTTTATTCTCACTTTCAGCTTTTTATATGGAGATGCATTATGGTAAAGAGAACATCTGTTGGTCTGTTCATCTGCTGTCACTTTGTTTTCTGAAGTTAACTTGCTCATATATTATTTGATTTTGATGAAACTTAATAAGCATGTTCATATGACACAAAGACTAAGGCTATGTTTGAGTCTGCAAAATCCTCACATGATTAATTAGCATAGTGCTCACTGATTGGTTGATAGTTTCTGCACAATAGCTCAATCAGATATGATCAGCTTTTTGTAATTAGATTATAATTATCAGTCGATTCTTTATTTTTCCAGGCCCAAATCCAGTTCAACAAGGACGTGGTGCGATGTTTTGACCAGACGTTGCCGATCGACGCCCTAGTGCAGGTCAAGGACAATATGGTGGACTCTCTAAACTGTCTGGCTGGTCTCGTGTCCAGCTCCATCAAGTATCACCAGCGGTCAAGCATAGAAGCCCTGCTGACCATCAATGTCCACAATCGTGACATCGTCATTATGATGATTGATGATCGAATCACACGCAAGGACGACTTTGATTGGAACAGGTAGATTTTGCTTCAAAATAGCCAACAACAGAATAGGAGAAATGACTGCAAAACACATAAAATATTTCTATATACCAGTGAAACTCAGGCTCAAGTCAAGTAATGATTGTTTTGAAAATTTGTTCAGATGGTAGTCACTTTCTCGATTTTAATTGGCTGATAAGTAGTGGGTTGTTGTCACTTTTATAGCTTAATTTGCTTTAATAAGATCTGGTATAGTTTTCACTTGATCAGTGCATGATACTGAATTGTTCCTACGTTACAGACAACTTCGGTACGAGTGGGACGAACAGAGGAACAACTGTTTAGTGATGCAGTCGAACGCATCTTTCCAGTACGGATATGAGTACCTGGGCTGTTCCTCACGTCTGGTCATTACACCACTCACTGACCGATGTTACCTCACACTGACCGGCGCTCTCCACCTACATCTAGGTGGTTCTCCGGCCGGACCCGCAGGGACGGGCAAAACAGAGACAGTCAAGGATCTGGCTAAGGTCAGCTATGAATAATATTTACATCAGAAACTTTTTAACGATCATTAATATGAAAATACTTCAAGAGTTTGGTCAATTGTAATAAAAGTCACTATCAGAGAAACTTTTGTCCAGTGTAACTTTTACCCTCAGCCGGAAAATAAATATTTGCTCATTGCTAATTTTGATCTTCACATATGATAATCATTATGTTTAAAATGTTGTTTACTAATGTTAGCTATCTAACATAATAAATTCACAAGCAGTATGGAGGGTGAAAAAGACCAAAAAAATCACATAGGCAAAAATTTCCTTGTATACAGTATATAGACCTTGGGAAACTTTTGGTTGTTATTTTGTTAACTTACCACTTGTCCAAATCGAAATGTTATCAGTTTGCATGTGAAGTAAAATATGATAAAGAGCAGTTGGAGAGATGTGCACATCTATACACAAAAGCTCATAAGGATAGTTCGTGATTACGTTCATGGTCAAAGGTTTGAAGGGCCGCAGTGGCCAAGTGGTTAAGGCGTTGGGCAGTAGCCAGGGACTGGCCATTGGTCGGTGGTTTTTCTCCGGGTACTCTGGCTTTCCTCCACCACCAAAACCTGGCATGTCCTTAAATGACCATAGCTGTTAGTAGGACGTAAAACACAAAAGTTTGATCATGTTGTTGCAATGATCGGTTTTATGACGACATTTATATTACTTCTTCCTGCAATAAAATAAAACTAAATGACATCCTCAATCTTACAGGCTGTAGGGAAACAGTGTGTGGTTTTCAACTGTTCTGAGGGTCTGGATTACAAGACACTCGGAAAGTTTTTCTCAGGGATTGCTCAGTCTGGGAGTTGGTGCTGCTTTGACGAGTTTAACCGTATAGACGTGGAGGTACTGTCCGTGGTCGCCCAACAGATCCTCTCTATCAAGTCCGCCAAGGATTCCCAGCTCATGAGATTTATGTTTGATGGCAAGGAAATCAAACTCAACATGACCTGTGGCTATTTCATCACAATGAACCCCACGTAAGTGACTCGGTGTGAATCAATTACGACGTCTAAAACACGTAAGTGACTCGGTGCGAATCAATTACGAGGTCTAAAACACGTAAGTGACTCGGTGTGAATCAATTACGACGTCTAAAACATGTAAAAGACATTTGTGAAATCTGATATCTTGCAAATATTGATTCCGATATATTTAAACAAGGAAGGCAGGTTAGATATTTATGTTGATTGTACGAAATTACTTTAATGACTCGAAACAACTTTTTCATGAATTTTAAACCTGCATAAAGTCATGTGTATCACAAACAAATAATTCACAAATTTCTTCATAATCAGTACATTTCCATGTTTGAATTTTCACATTTTCCCATCTCCATGCTCATGTTATCATGCAATAGTGTGGCGTTTTTTGGTATATGACCAAATATTCACATTGTATTCTTTGCGATTCCATCATCTCGCAGGAATTCCTCATGAAAAACACTTAATACATGGTCCTGTATAAGTTGAGGATAAATTTAATGGTTTCAAAAAATCAAACCATTGATATTCTGTTTCTAACGAAGGAAGTCAATGGTGAAATGACTGCAGCAGAATTTTGCATAAATTTGTCAAAAAATGGCTAATTAGTGATGAAGTGATTGTATCAGATATATTTCATCCCCAAACATATTACAAACTAAGAAGAAAGAAGAATAAGTTTCCAAGCTTATATCTCTCCCTGATCATGCGTTACTTCTGTGATCGTTTCAGGTACCTTGGTCGTGTGGAGTTGCCCGACAATCTAAAATCATTGTTCCGCTCAGTGGCCATGATGGTACCTGATTACTCAATGATCGCAGAGATCATGTTGTTCTCTGAGGGATTCATGTCGGCAGCACTTCTGTCGCGGAAGATCGTAAACCTCTACCAGTTGGCCAGTCGTCAGCTCTCGCAGCAGGACCATTATGACTTTGGCATGAGGGCCATCAAGTCTGTCCTGGTCATGGCAGGACACCGCAAACACCAGGCTCACCATGTGTAAGTACCGTATTTATCCAGCGACAAGCCCTTGTTTTGTTTTTGTATTGTTTAATGGCTCATCAACAATGCGAGTCATTTAGGGCCAAACAACACTGTAAAAAGAGACATTCATACCCTTATTTGGTAAGAAGCCCACCAATATATATTGCAGTTTGAATGAAATGCCAGCAAAAGATTTTTCATTGTCCTGTAAAAATAAGCCCATCCCCCTACCCCCCTACTTTCAGTCAGAGATGATGTGTTGCCCCCTCCCAATAGTGTCATCTCAGACGAAAACTTTCAAACGAAATCATGTATGTAATCTTAAAATTTAGGAATGAATGCCAACAAAAGATACATTTCCGTTTAACATCCTGATTTAGGCAGAACACTCCAATTTCTGACTACCCTTTAATTCATACCTCCCGATTTTAATGGTTGAAAAATGTATAATCTCCGGAATTTGAATAATCCCTCGGTTTTCGTAAAAAGTATTTTCAAACTTTAGCACACCTGATGGATGGGATAAACAGATCCCACAGCCTCCGGGCTATTAACAGCTGATATGAGGACCAGGGCCCAAATTCATGAAACCATTTTTATACTCAAACCCAGATTCTGTGCTCAAGCCCAAATTCTTGTGCCAGTTATAAATTAATGAAAAAACATATTTATCAGTGTTATATAAGAAATTTAGAAAGACTTTCAGCCGAATGCTGTTTTCAATGTTTACACTTGACCTCTTGACCATGTAACCAGTTGTAAGGGAGTTACAAAAAAGTTGGGTTGAGCACAGAATTTATGCTTGAGCATGAGAACAGTTTCATGAATACGGGCCCTGGTGTGTTACTGTGTTTACTCAAAGACACATAAAACTGACCCCTCACCAATTCAAATTATATATGTTCACTCTTTCTGAATGTATGTTTATAGCCAAGAAAACGAGATTAAGCAACTTAATGAGAAGGATGAGTCTCACATCCTCATTCACTCCCTGAGGGATGCCAATCTCCCCAAATTCCTGGCTGAAGATGTTCCACTTTTTGAGCGTATCCTGGACGATCTCTTCCCCAACATAGTTCCACCGGAGCCTGATCATGGAATCATTGAGGTACGATTCAACTGTGGAAAATTACGACTAATGATATTTTTGCATTTGCATTGCCTATCAACTATACGAACATCTTTTATTACAAATAATTTGCACATCATTTTGTAAATGTTTTTAGAAGTCTGCTTCAGCCATGTGTTTGAAAGTCTGCTTCAGCCATGTGTTTGAAAGTCTGCTTCAGACATATGTTTGAAAGTCTGCTTCAGCCATATAAACAACTGAGACAGAGTATACCGTATTCAACCACAACCATGTCAAGTTAGTTGTCATCCATGATTATTTCACAACCATTCAAAGCTACATGATGTAGCTTCTCGTAACATTTCAATATTTTGTTACATTTTGTTACAAGAATGCATCAGCAGAAAGGTTCTCAATACGATCCTTCATTTTACATTATTCTAAATGGATACTACATGGCATATGGCAGTCGTATATTGTTCCGTCCCTGCTGTATTATAATTATTGTATTGTATTCACCCTGTAGCTTAGGAAGTATTTAGGGTGAGGGTAACCAAAATTGAACACTTTTTAAATAAAATATTGATATTTCCTATAAAGTTTCTGAAAGACCATTTTTTTTACTGTAATGAAACAATACATGTCTGTAGCCTTCATCTTATGTATTTCTTGGGTATCAACAGCACGTGTGTCTATCTATAGAGCTCATTAAAGTAAGTCAAATTCACTTGGAACTTTTGGCTGGTCGAGTAACCAAAACGGAACACTTCATCATATAAGTCAGTTTATGAAAATAACGAACAGCATTTAAACTATTTTCTTCATTTAAAGAAAAGTTTTGACAATTTCTGACTGATTTATTCCCTAAAATATTCGTTTGAACATACAGTTTTCCATGTTTAGAAATATAATAGAATATATTTATTTTGGCATCGTACTGTTTTCCAGGATTTTCTTTCATTTCTTTTTTTTGATATTTCAATCGAGTATGAGCATTCTAATGCTTAAGAGGTGGGCAGATTAGATTTGTTCAAAATGCATATAAAACTATATAAATTTTGATTCAGATTACATACCATTCATTTTTATTGCAAAATAAAAATTGCCATTTCATATGCATCAAAAGTGTTCCATTTTTGGTACCGTACCATTTTGGGTACCCTGTACCCTAGGTATGTAAATGAGGATCTTAATGTTTTCCACTGTATGACATTTTGTGTTGTTTACAGCGAGCCATCAATATGGCCATCCGTGACCAGAACCTTCTGCACTGGCCCAGCCAGGTAGAAAAGGTCAAACAATTGTATAACCAGATTCTGGTGCGTCATGGCGTCATGTTAGTGGGACCCACGGGCGGAGGAAAGACAACTGTACGTAATGTCCTCCAGAAAGCTCTCATCCTTCTACCAACTATCTCCCTGCAGGAAAACCAGCAGGACCCTGCTAGTCGCAAGCAGGGCATGTTTCAGGTATATATAGAACAAGCCAGGACCTAGGGGTACATTCGTGTATCCAGTTGAAATGGTGGAACCGGTGGAACCTGTAAAGAAAACGATAGGTACAGATCTGAACCGAGGCTGACCTCAGGAAAATTTGGCACGTGTAGATTGAGGGGTCCAGACGAACCTGACCGAAACTTAAATGCTGAATATTGCTAGTTTGCATTATTTCTTTCTAAAACAATGTCAAGACACGTGTAGTTTTTAAGATACGTTATGTAATTTAGTGGATGGATAAAAGTCTTGATACATTGTTTTTTGTTCTCTGAAACTGTGCATTTTTAGCTCTGCTTATAGAACAGTCCAAGTGCGTTCGTTTATCGTGGAAGATTTATGCGCCACACGTACCGTTTCAACTGGAATACGCGAATGTAGCCAAGTTCTGTGATTTCCAAAATTCCTGCTTTTTAAGGACAAATGCAAATATTTTCAGGGCCATACAACCCGTCATGCAATTTAATCATTAGCAAGTATGTTAACTTTTTGTGTCGCCTGCAACGCGAGGCGACATATAGACATTACTTTGTTGGTGTCGGCAGTTGCGTCGTCCGAAACAAGGTTTCCGTGCGACAACTTGAGTTCCCTTGGGTTGATTAAACTCAAACTTGGTACACATATTACATTCCAATAAACCTTGGACGAGTTTGCATTTCAGCAGTTTACATGTAATTTTGGTGGCGTTTTATTGCCAAATAAGGGCATTGTGTATTAAATGCAAGAACTTTTATATTTTTTAACCATTTCCTTTTAAATTTTGTTTGGTAATGCTAGAAGCAATAATGTTCATCATATATTATGGCTTTTTCTGTCGAATTTCAACTTTCCATGTTTTGGCATATCACACTTGACATAGAAACGCTGTTCATCGTTTTTGCCATTGATTTTTACTTGTTTATGCGATAACTGACGATAAAACACCTTTCTTACTAAAAGCACTGAGCAGGCGACACCTCCACTCCTGTGAAATTCTTGTGGTTTTTTTGAGATCTGAGGTAGACTGACTTCTAAGGTATCATTTTTGTAGCACAATCGAGCAAAGAAAGGTCACGTGGAGGTTTTTACCATCAACCCCAAATGTGTCAAGTTAGGAGAGCTCTATGGAGAAACGGACCCCAACACTTTTGAGTGGACTGATGGCCTTATCGCCACGGCAACCAGGAAGTTTGCACGGGAAAATATGCAAATTCCAGGAGATGAGAGTCGGCCTGTCACTGCTGCGTCAGGAAATCCACAGGTAGGATAAGGACGTTGATCATTTCTGTCTTTTTACGCGCGTTTGCTTTACAGCTTGATGTAAATTAAATCAGTCTAAGTATTGTTTTTGTGATTATTTAAGCTCTTTAACTGCTACAGGAATTTGTTTGTGTGAAGAAAAATGTTGTGGTTTCTTTAGCCTAGGTCAAAAAGATGAAATCTGTGTGTACGCCTTTGATTTTGTTGTCAGTAGATTTTGTTGGCTATCAATTTTTTGCTGTGATTCTAAAAAACAGAACAGGAAAAACATTTTCTGCATGAAATTGATATCTTATGTGATATTTGTTTACTTGATTAATATGTAACTTAAGCTTGTTTACTATGATAATTAAGTTTTTTTTCAGCTATGATAAGAATTTCTTAATATGATGTATTCTAGAAAGATTAGCATTTCTTTGTACATGTGTTATAAAATATTAACCTATAAGGTACATGTACAGTAGAATATTCTGTATCTAAATGTTGTCCGGGCATTGTGTATGTTTAACATAGTGAAAAGGGGACATATTGTTTGAAATGTTTTACTTCGACAAAAATGTTAACTCCAATATTCAGAATTATATATCTAGTTAATTATCTTTATTAGATATACAAACGATCTATTTCCTATAATAAACGGCTTGTATTGGACATCTATACATGTTCTATGTCTTCCTATAATTAGCTGATCATATTGAACCTATGTCTTTACATGATATTTCTTATCGCATTATATTTCTTATCATTAGCATATCACATTGAATGTTTTGATCATATTGTACTCACACTTTTTGTTATGAATTTCAGTACTTTGAAAATATCTTAATTAAAAAATTTGCGTAGTTTTTCCATGATACTGCCTTAGACGTTTACCCTTTCACCGACTCTTAACATAAAAAAAGTCAGTGGGGATATCACAGCTTCCCTGACAGCTAGATTTTAACTTAATTTCCTTGTGTGTCTAATAAATATCATGGGTTATGAAAACTTACAGTGTAGCGTAAAGACATTGTATGTTATTGGGGTTTATCTATAGTAGGTATTTGATCCCACAGGAAGAAGCTTTCGTATGTATGTTATTGGGGTTTATCTATAGTTGGTATTTGATCCCACAGGAAAAAGCTTTCGTAATCCCTGTTTGAGGATCCCTGTCCAACTGCACTGGGTTTGTTTTCTATATACAGTAAGCTCCCATTAACTTTTGTTTGGATATAACTGTAGCACAGTTGGACTGGACACTTCAATTGATCAGGAAGCTCAGTCAGTTATAGCAACAGTATGACAATATGAAGTCCAGTGTACAAATCCTGGTCTAGCCATGCTCAATTTCTTTACACTCATAACACTGTTGTTTCAGATTACATTTTGTTTATTTCATCTTTATTATTTCTCATAAAAGTCCCACAAGGTATTTTTTTTTTCTGAAAAGATTTATCAAAGATATAGTCATGCCGAATAAATATGTTTCCAATACTCAGTTACAGATTTTGGCACTGGTACGGGATCCTTAACTCATTCACCCCTGAAATTTCATAATGAACTAAACCAACCTTTGAATTGGAAGAGTTCAAACTTGTTTCCAGGGGTGAAAGAGTTAAAGGGCCTCATTGGTGAAAGGGTAAACCAGTCAGTTATATCACGGAATTAGATTATATACACCAATAAGTGGTGATTGTGATTTAACCATTGTGTCCGTGTATTGTTGTATGTGTTGGATATTGTGTTATAACAGGGTGTGCTTGCTGGCATTATCGGTATACGTAAGGTGAGGTAACGGTCGCGGATTATATATAATACCCTACATACAGTTCTGTTGCTTTCTTCTGTTTATAGTCGTGCTGATGTATGTAGTTCTATTTATAGCGTTATACATACATACTCCTACCCTTGGTGTTGTTGTTTCGGGAACTCCCCATCCTTATAATGCATTCCCTTGCTTTGTCTACAGCCATACATTAATTAACTCATTCACCCCTGAAGACACACTTGAACTCTTCCAATTCAAAGGTTGGTATAGTTCATTATGAAATTTCAGGGGTGAATGAGTTAAAATACTCTTTGAGTATAAGTTTCTACAGTAAAAATGAGAAATTATGTTGTTTTCAGTGGTGACAAATAACCCTTTTCGTTATTCATCAAAAAACTAAAATACCCCACTATACAATATGTACATGTATTCTTAAACTAATCCAAACATTTTCATTTTAATGAATCTCTGGTGAGCTCAAATGAATAAGTTAATAAATCTCATATGAAATAAAGATAACTATCAATTTATCACACAGCCATATGAATAATGCAGACATGACTTCATGGTGGAATAGAATGTTGCTAGGCAAGTCTCCCTCATTGAAATCTTCAAGTGAAATCTGGTCGTAGTCTGTTGTCATATTGAAATGTATGACTCAGCCATATGGTTTCTCACTAAATTATATTACCTGTGAACATATATGTATGTGCATGTGTATGCACTGCACTGTACAGAAATGGAATGTCTATTAAATTGCAGTAACATTTGCATAAGAAAGAAAAAATAGCTAGAACCCCCTCCCCCCAATTAAAAACAGAACCCCCAACAGTTTAAGCATCAAATTTTATGCCTATCTCACTCTGCAGATGATGAATTTTCTTAGCTTTCAAAGTGCAAAAATGAATTTTAAAATGAAATAAAACAAGAACAATTATTTCTGAAGTCCATATAGATTTGCCAAACAGAGGATTAATTGTTATGTTTTAGTTTGTATATACAATGTACATTCAAAGTTAGTTTTGTCCCCTAGCTGCCCAAACGCTGCACCAGCACATAGAAAGGTCATCCCTCATCAGTAAGAAAGGCTGTTGGTCTGTCCCAATCTTGTGTATATGCTGAAACAACTATAATTTGACTGCCTTTAATTTCATATATGTCGAAAAATTGAAAATGTGTAAAGTGAAAGAATTTGTGTTTTTAAGATTGTTATGTTAGCGTTCATTTATCAATTTACTGTTCAGTTTTATGTTAATTTTACACATTGTGTTCAAACAGAAAACAGAATTGCTCTAAAAATAAGCCTACAAGTGTACATTCAATTAGATACCTATGTGATAGTGAGCAGTGACAGGAGAGGCGAACTTACAGACCCATATTCAAAGTCACAGGGGTAAAATTCGATAAAATGCTTAAACCACTTCTAAAAATTTGAAAGTTCGAGAGCCATGTTTCGGAACTTAGAATCATGATAATTGGGCAATAGCATGCTGGAATGAAAAGATTGGGTTGTTTAAATGAATTACTATGGCTCACTTTCAAATTAAGGAGGGTAATTTGGTTAAACCCCTTTAGCATCTTCTAGAAAACCATATGGCCTAAAGTCATGATATTTTGTCAGTAGTACGCTGGTATGAAGAACTATTAAAGGGTTTGTTAAAATGAATGACCTTGAAATGCTTAAAAGGTCACAGTCATCAAATATCTCAAAATCGTTTCCAACTTCCTCTAAAGGTTCTTAAGGCCGAGAATAGTAACATTTGGTCTGCAGCTTGCTGGGACAACATACAGTCAAGTTTGCTGTAGTGTTAGCTTGCTTGATATAAAGATTGGTCGATTGAATTTAACCTTGAAGGTCACATATATAAAATATATTTTAACAAAGTTGAATGACAGGTGAAGGATACAAGCCCATTGGGCCTCTTGTTTTTTAAGAACTGCAAGCTACATTGTAACTTTATTGGAATAGGCTGATCAGTGCCAATGCACTAGGTTGGCATAATCTGAATATCAAAATACCAGAATTGTATATGCTTAGTACTTAGATTACATTGTAGTAACAACTGCAGTCTCCCAAACCTCAATAAACCTTGCTTGACACAGGCAGGCCTAGAATAGTAACATTTGACCGCTAGCTCGCTGGGATAATATCAAATTTAATTGCTGTAGTGTAAGTTTACTTCATACAAAAATTGGTTCAGTGAATTTGACCTTGACCCAATTTGAAGGTCATCAGCATTAAATACCTATCCCAACAAAGTTGAATACCAGGTAAAGGATACAGGCCCAATGGGCCTATTGTTCTAAGGAACTGCAAGGTAAAGTAGTTTGGGTTAGGCTGAGAACCTGATAGCTTACCTCATACTAACAACTATAGTCTCCCTCAGCCCACAAACCTTGCTTTACACGGGAAGCTAGGCTGATGTCTGTAAATTCTGTTCTGGTGTTTACACTGATCTCTTGTTTACTTGTCTGGTGTCTGGTACTAACTCGGTATCGTATTTATACTTCAGTACGATGGTAAAGTCATTCTATAACAATGATAATTATATTTCTTACAAATGATTACCAAATCTCATGAGTTATGAATTCAATTTTCCTGAAAATACATTACCGAACACAGAGAAGTTTGTCTTTTAACCCATTCACCCCTGATGACACATTTGAACTCTTCCAATTCAAAAGTTGGAATAGTTCATTATGACATTTCAGGGGTGAATGAGTTTCAGCTTTCACAGGTAGACATTACTATGTTGATACTGTTGGACAAGCTGGCTACTGACCTGGTCTGGTCCTGCATAGAATGTTCTAGATTTAATTTTAGTTTGTTACAAAACTTATAAATCAATATTGAAATTATTTTGCTTTTGACAAATAAATCAACTTTTTCATTCAATTAAAAAACAGTGTTTCTTTGCAATTCCCAGTATCTTCAAAAAGGGCCTCTATTGAGTAAACTTTTAATTTTAGTTAAAGAGTTTATCTTAAGAGTGTAGTTAGAAATATATTGCTTTTCTTGATTTAGAGTGCTCTATATTTATGAATATTTGCATGCAAGTATATTGTTGAAAATACGCTAATCAAATTTGAGAAAATTTAATTTAGATTCAATGAAGATAGGATATTTGTGGACTGTATGTATCACATTACAGGGTATAACTTTGTCAAATTTCAGCAAAATTATCATTATGTACTTAGTATACTTACTACAACAGCCTATACTTTGTTTCCTTAATATACAAGGATTAAAATCCACTCCTTTCCTGTGGGAAGTCCTTTTACCCTACCTGCCTAAAGCACATATTACAAAACTTCCTCTACATTGAACCCAATGCCAGCCTGATAAACCACAGCTTGTAGATGAAAAGACAGGAGGGTGGTAGTGTAGTTTCTGACTCTGAAACACTGACCTTCCCAACTACTATCTCTAAAAAAAGACCCCTGCTCTGAAAAATAGACCTTTCCAACAATGAGAAAAGAAACCTAAGATTTAACTCCACCTGACCTCATTCTGCAGTTCTAGCTTGATCCTATTCTGATCCAAGTGATCTCATATTGAACTCTATATGTGACCTTGACCTGCCAATTTGACCCCATCTGTGTTTTGTATTCAGCTATAACTATTTTGTGTTAGATATTATAAGATCATATATCTCAATATGAGTTATTTTTTGCTCCCCCAATGATCCCTTATAGAATCATATTAGAACTTAAAGCTTCAATTTAATTTGAAACATCGTCCTGTGCCGATTTTACACCATTTAATCTATAAATGACCCCAATTAACCCTTGCTTGCCCCCAATCTGACAGCCACCTGCCCCTCCTATTACAGAGTGCAGTGACACCGACTGCTCAAAGTGCACCGAGCGAGCCGGATACGGAGATGTCGGAGAAGAAAGATGAAGACCCACTACGACAGGACTGGCGCTGGCTGGTCCTGGATGGTCCTGTGGACACGCTGTGGGTGGAGAACCTAAACACTGTACTGGACGACTCCAAGGTGCTCTGTCTGGCCAGTGGTGAACGTATCACTCTGTCCGGGGGCATGAGACTCATCTTTGAAGTTGATCACTTGTCTCAGGCCAGTCCGGCCACCATCAGCAGATGTGCTATGGTGTACATGGTAAGTCTTGTGTCTATTCCTTTTTAATTTAATTTTGGCTATTACCCAAATGGTCGACTTTCAGGTTATATTGTATAACCTGAAAAACAAACAACACAATAAGTGATGACGCCGTATACCGCAATGTTTGGCGCAGTATTTGTAATTCTAACTTTCGATTGGTTGAAGTTGCATGGCGATAAAATTACTGGACAATGTTGTGTTTTGTGCAAAATTATATTTTGTTTTTATCATAAGTGAATAAATATTCACTATAAATTAAAAAGTGTTGTCTGACTTTTTAAATTAAATTATAAGGGATAACCAGAAATATTTTAGGGGGTTATACAGTATTTACCGAAAAAACTGTGTGCACTTTTGTGCATAAACCGCCTCACAGATTTATGCAAAGTGTACACATTTTTTTGGTATACATTGTATATACATGTACTGTATAACCCCAAAAACAATCCTGGTTATGTCTTAATTCTTCCGTGGAGCATTTTGGTAATTACACAATGGATATTCAACAGAAGAGTTTAACAAGACATACATCTTTGTATGGCATTCCCCAAGTAATCCCAGGAAACAGAAGATGAAGGAATAATAGCATTCGTAACATACCATCTTTGTGTGACTCTGTAAACCGCAGATTTTTTCACTTTACCAAATTTTCCTGACTTGACTTTTCAAAGAGTGAAATATGAAAATATGATAGACAGGTATTATTCCATGTGTCTTTATCAATACGCACAATTTTCTATGTCTAGGACCCAGTAGATTTAGGTTGGAAACCGTTCGTGAAGACATGGCTGTCCCGTCTGCCCAGAGAAATGCCCGAGAGTGGAAAACGATACCTGCAGGATATGTTTGATCATGCGATTGAGAAGGGGTTGAGATTTGCGCGGAAGTATGTGAGATTCCAGTCGATTCCTGCCCCCGAGATGTGTCTGATTTCCTGTTTGTGTCATATCTTGTCTGCGTTCCTCGACTTTATGGCCAAGAATGGCGGCTTTGGAACCCCAGGTAAAAATGTCTTCTCAATTCATACTTATGTGTTTTCTAAGTCATACAATTGTTTATATAAAATCCATGACAATAAACCAGGGGATATTTTGTTGTTTTCTATATGTTGGAATGCTAGATAAATGTCCATTTAATTATATGAAAAGTAATTATAAAACATGGACATTGGGTAATGAACAAAACCCTCATAAATTTTCCAGTAGATTTTCACCAACATTCCATGAATGATTCTGAGATTATGAGAAACCGAATTTATATCACATGTTTGGAGGGGCTGACCCTCAAGGGTGGGGTGTGGTGTGGTGGGGTGGGGTGGGAGGTTCATAATAGGAGTTACTTAATGTAAAACCTTCAAAAACCATTTCCTTTGCCGATGGATTTAGACGAAACTTTCGTAAATAATTCTTAGGTACTGGGATTCAGAATTTATACTCAAGGCGGGGCTGACCCCACCAGGTGGAATCACAGGCAAACCTATAGTATATTATCTCCCTTGTAAGGGACTGATGAAATTAACGTGACCAACATTTTACATAAAATAGTTCCTTGTTCAAGTTCAATATGCCTGTATAAGGGGGCATTCAATATCATCACACAAAGCTTTTATTCAAGTTTGATCGTTTTAACACTTTGTTAAATTGTATATCATGCATAATATCTCTCAGGTGACCATTCAGGCCAATGGGCCTCTAGCTATAGTGAAATGTTCATTTATCAATTTAAATAAATAACTTACTATCCCGTACAATCAAAATTACATATTTCATGAATCAAGTTGACACATGTTATTAATTTTGTGCAACTATAGATTTTGTGTCTACATTTGTTTTGTTTCAAATATTACCAGATAAGCGGAACATTCCGAGTAGCAGAAAGTCAAAAAGTACTTTTTTCTTGCATGGTTTTAAACTGATGGATATGAAATAAAAAAAATAAAAAATCTGATTGCATGCGTAGGTTTGACCTCAGTTGGTCAATCATAGTAGAATAAATTTGAAGAATTAAAATGGTTGACATTTGTCCGGTTTGGATTTTTTATTAACACGTGTTGTCAGTAATAAATATGTCAGTTAATTGTTTCATGTTTGGGACGATACTTTGTTTACTTTTAAATTAAGCAGTTGTTTAGATTTTTGTAAAGATGCATTGTCAACATTTATGATTTCTTTTTTTTTAAGATGATTAACGATAGTTTCCATTTACCAGTATATAAGAATAAACGAATGTATATTTTGTACTTAACGCATTGTGTGTATTTCTATAATTAGTTAATGTTGATGTATCGGAAGGAAAATAATCTCATCAAATAACAAAATATATCTGTTTGTTGGTTCCACCTGACCGGAACAGTGTGAGTGAAACACATGCATGTCGTTATCATTTTATGTCAAGTTACACATGAGCACATTTTTCATATGTCAAGATGTACACATATGTATACAATTTAAAAATAATTGTCATGTAGCCTTATTAATATCAATTCTTTCCTGAACTATGTCCGAAAAATGAACTTCAAGGATTATTACAAAACTGGAAATATGACTTCAGGGAGAAATTTTGTCCCTGAAAATGAGAATCCAGAAAGAAGGTTTTACCAATTATTTGAGTGCAGATTAACTTACAGATTCAATTTGTAATACCTTGATCAGTTAAACCATTTTTTTTTAACTTTTAGATAAATTCTAAATTTACCTCCTATTTCATCCTTATGTACTAGATTATATACCATTACAAATTTTCCATGTTTTGTCACTGAAAATGTTAACTTTGCAAAATAAATTTGCAGCAAAAGAAATACGGAGCAGTCCATTTTGTTACTGAGGGGTCCATTATGTTAAATAAATACTTCTCTGAGCAGTCCATTATGTTAAGGAAATCTTCTCTGAGCGGTCCATTATGTTAAGGAAATACTTCTCTGAGCGGTCCATTAGCTTAAACAAATCAAATTTTGCCATTTTCAGAAATGTAAAATAAAAACTGATTCAATCATCATTGTTTGTTAGTGCGGCGACAAATAGGTGACATTTTTTACGGCCGCAACAGACAACATAAAAAACAGCAAGGTATCTAAAGTAGAAACTGGAATGACATTAGATGTAGGTTGTGTTTAGTTAATTTGAGCAGTCAGTCAGATGACGGGCTGTATCTAAATGTTGTTTGACCATTTGACCGGTCCATCTTTAAGAATATATAGATGCATAGACACTGTAGGTGGTTTGAATGTTTGATTGGTCAGTAATTTGTTGTTTGTTTGTTTGACCGCCAACATCACATTAGCTGTTGACATTCTCTGGTTATAACTCGTGCTCCATCTACATGAAGTTGGGGGTTTTAAATTTTTGTGTCTGTCTATCTGTCTATCTGTCTGTCAGTCGACCACAAGCATTGTGATCACTTTGGTGGAAATATACTGCTTTGATGACAAAAAATGATCTTGGTTACCAAATAATTATTGTAATGCATGCCAGTCACACGAAAGTTCAATGCTAACAACACAATTTTTGTAAACTCAGTCAAAATGTTGACACTAGCAATATAATTGTTGTCAAGTCACACAAAATGTCAACACTAACTTTATAATTGTTGTCAATGTTCCTGTGGTAAAAACCTGCTACATATACAACTGCTCGTTGTAAAAAGTATATTTAACCTATATCCTTTTCTTTATTAATATTAGCTCATCCCTGTGAGCTTCTGCCATGGCGCGGCATCCTTGCCTATCAACGTTTGATTTAATATGCTTCCAGTCCATTTTGACTAAATGGTCTAAAGCATTGTTGGGTGAAAGGAACTCAGTTTTGTATAAACACAGAGAGTAGTCCCCATCTGGGGAGAAACGTGGAACCCAATAAGTGAAAAATAGATTGATCTTAAAAATTCTTCTCATTTGGTACACATTATCGGGTTCAACCAAGTATATACACATTCATAAAGATCTCATCCAAGTTTGTTTTTAAAGCATACCTGGTCTTTGTTAGAGCATACCTGGTCTTTGTTAGAGCATACCTGGTCTTTGAGACCTTGAACTTAATTGCTGTGTCAAGGAAGAGTGAAGCTCCCCGAGGGTCTAAGAGGCAATGCCCAAACGGTGGTTTTAGCCTTTTTAAAGTCTACTCCTCTAGACCAGTTGATTGTACTAAGTTTGCTATGAAGCATCCTTCGATATGTAAGAGTGTTGCCCCTCCTTCCCCTCCTCCTTCTTGGTACTAAGAGGCAGAGTCAAAAACTGTGATATATTCATAATAAAACTAGTAAAGAGTATATTTTGCCACGATTGCTTATATATTTAGGTGAGTGAAACAGGCCCTCAAACAACTTCTTCTGTAAAACCAAATGGCCTAGAGTTATTATATTTTGGCAGTAGCTTATTGCTTGTGAAAAGTGCCATAAAGTTTGTCTGAATAAATACACTTGGCCTTCTTTTGATTGCAGCTTGTTTTTTTTGATAATTTGTTTATGTTCCAGATATATGTGAGTATGTAATATTGTTTCTGTATATTTTAGGTGTGTGTAACTAAGTTGTTTTAGTGAATAGATTATTGTTGTGTGAATACTTTCAGGATTTGCATATTAATTGGTTAAAATCTTGAACTGACCTGTACCTTATGAAACAATTCTGAAAGAAAATTTGATAGATTTTAATTGCTAGAGAAATATTCATATTGATAATTGCATATATTCAGATTTTCATTTGTGACTTTTCACAAAGCTGTATTGCAACAAGGTTCCTTTGAAGAGTTAAATCGACTACATAATTTGGTTTAAAAAACAAAATTTGAGGATACAGTTTGACTACTATTAAGTATAAAACTCTACCAACTATCGTTTTAACAATGCATGTGGTTAGATACTGTTTATCATTGTAATTTTTATAACCTCATTCATTTTACCAAAACTGGTGCCATTTTAACAGTCATACTTAACTTTCCTCTGAAATTTAACATACTATTTCAAGTTGATGAAATTGATCACAATTTAGAAGTAAAAACGATGGATCTATGAAACAAAAACCAAAAAATGTTTCACTATTATTAATACATACATTAATGTAGACAAATGGGCAAATTATTTCATTGCTAGCATATCAATCATTACTGCCATAGTCACATGGAGGTCACATGACCTGATCATTGCTTCCATATATGGTTATATACTCATGATCACATGACCGAATCAGTGGTTTCCATGGTTACAATATTTTTATCAACAGATAAGGATGATGGAGGTCACACAGAAGTGTCGGAGCGATCAGACAGCCAGGCATCAAGTCACAGTTCATCACGTACTGGATCGCGGAGTACGTCACGCACCAGTCGCAGCAAAAAACGCAAGAGCAGGGCCTTCCAGTCCAAGATAAAGGAGGACTTAGACACCATATCAGAGACCCAGTCCACAAAAAGCTCCAGGTTCTCTTCTATACCCTAACATATTTCTGTCTGAAATTAGCAGGTATTGCAGTCCATGCGAAATACAAACTTCCGACATTCGGTCAGGTAACTATCCCAAGCTTGCCAGACCGCAACAACTTTTACAGGACATTTCGGTCAGGTTAGCTTGAAATACTTACTAGTCTGAAGAAACTGGGAAAAAAATAGACTTACAAAAATTGTTTGATGTGTTCAATAATTTAAATGAAAACCTTAACTGGATTTAGTTTTGGCAGTGGTTTGCCGGGTTTTGCCCCAGTCACATAATGAAGCATTATTCTTCACTCCATCAATGTCATTACAGGTTACCGCAGCGCTTGACTGCACTGAATATTACAGGGGCATTTAAAACGCTTAAGTGACATGCCTCAAAAACGACTCTAAGGTAGAAAAAGTATGCTGGACATTTGGTTCGGAATTACAAAAGTGATTGCAGGACCAGCGGTAATTTTTACCGGACATGTCCGTCGGACCGCCATATTTCGCATGGACTAGTTTTGGATTGTAAATGTTTACTTAACATAGAAATATACACAGTCAGATGAAGTTGGATGTCTACAGGGTTTGGTCTAGATAAGCTATACTGTATGTGGATTCATCACCTTCAGTATGGGTGAAGACATTTTACTCTAGGTTGGCCTAGAACAAAGGGAACTCAGTGTTGTATAAAGAAAGTGTGTGTTATGGTTATATGATATAATTTTACTTGTAAGTAATCAATATTGTTAAATTTTGTTAATAGGGTTTCCTCTAACATACCCTTTAAAGTGAATTAGGTTAACATATTTTATGTTAGTGAATGTGGAGTGATCCCTGGGGCTGGAGGGATAAAGCCCAAAACAGGTGTGAAGAGACCAATACATACATGCTACTCACATAAGCTCTAGGGTCCTGCTTTGCCCAAGGGACTTAGTTTTCAGGTCATACATTGGAAATAGCAATCAATCCCAAGCTAGAACTACATATTTTTGTTTTGTGTAAATGTAGAAATTCAGCAATCTAAACTTACAGTATATGAACTAGAATGCTGACATTTGTCAGAGGTTTTCTAGGGGTCAAAACAGGGATTTTTTTAAATTTATTTTACCTGTTTTTCAGACATTTGAAAAGATATGTTGTGGTTAGGTGTTAGTTGTGTGTACATAGTCTGACACGATTGTGTATAATACTGATCCATCAGTTCTACTGTTTAATGTCCCAATTCCAAACTGAACGTATTATGGGTAACCGAGGAAGAAAGATCTTAGCTCTGTTGACCTCTGTTGACCTTTGTTGACCTTTGTTGACCTTTGTTCCTTAGCTCCTCATCATCAGAGTCTGATGACTGGTAAGTAGAGGTGAAACAGCACACAGCTTTAAACCTAGCAGGGAATGTAGACTACACCGATTGGCTGTTTTTTGGTTGAGTGACATGTGTTACGTAGCTTTGTCTAGGGACCAAACGATTGTTTCCCTGGCAAGGATTATGACCCTCTGATTGGCAGTCTGTGTTTGACATTTGCATGTAGCTTTGTGTAGAGACTGGCCAATTAACTCAATCACCCCTACATATCTAAACTGGACTTTCCCAGTCTTTGAACTTTAGGGGGCAGGGGAATGGGTTCAAACCCTGTCCAAAAAAAGGGACTACACATATGTAAACTGTAAAAATTGATTTTTTCCGGGACCATCAACAATGTCAGCAAAGATTGGTTAATTGTTTAAAAAGTATCCTTCGGAAATCTTTAAAATCCAAAGGGGTATGCTCTTCATTCATTGTGGAAATTATTCCAGAATCCTGCATACTGTGAAATCAGATATTTTCGTGGGGCCAAAATGTCATGGTTTCCTGACAAAACACCATTTTGTGAGTACATGAATTCATGGATTACGAGTACCCACTCAAACTTGTAATTACTTTGCGTACATATGAGTTTGTGGATGAAGATTACGCACCAAATCAACAAAATTTAAAAACCCACACAAAATAGTGATTTTACAGTATGTGTTGTCACAAAATGAGCTGCATGGCAACACAATTGTAAAATTGATTGTCTTTGATTTGGATGCAGCTCCTTTACAATTATCAGTGGACTGGTATCCATATGTCAACTTTTCATGTTAAAAACTACTAGCCTAGATTTTGACCAACTACTGTCAAGCTTTCCTTGGGTAAGGGGACTTAATTTTATATAACAAAGAGCAGAGGGGCAATGGTGTAGTTGAGAATCAGCAGTAAATCTTAATAATCCCTGTCCCACTTCATTCAAGTTTACTAGTCCCCCAGCGGTTCCCGGGGGTGGGGGTGGGGGACTAGGTTTGCACTCTCTTTGTCCATCCTTCCGTCTTTACGTCCGAGAAGTTTGTCCGGGACATATCTTCTATACTGTTTTACCACGAGTAACCAGATTTGGTGTTCAAGAGGACATCTTGGGATGGCGGAGTGCAGAGTGCAAAAAGAAGGTCACTATGACCTCACTGTGACCTATGCTTTGACCTTTGACCTTCACTCTTGAAAAAGTTTGTCTAGGAGATATCTTCTGTACTATTTCCCCTGGAGTAACCAGATTTGGTGTTCAAGACAACATCTTGGGATGGCAGATGCAAGAAGTATGTATCAGGATACTTTGCTAACAGAAGGTACATCCTGACATAAGTGTACTGTTTGTTAAATATAGAAATCATAAACCGGTGGGGGACTATGGATTGCCTTGCTATACTTTGCCTTGTTGTATATACAGTAACCTCCCCTTAACTTCCCTTTGAATATGACTGTAGCACAGGTGGGCCAGAACTCTTCTGTTGACCGGGTAGCTCAGTCAGTTAGAGCTTTATGACATTGGATAGCAGTCTGAAGTCCAGGGTTCGAGTCCCAGTCTAGCTCCACTAATTTTGTCACATTCAGATCAAAACTATTGTGGATTATATTTTGTTCATTTCTTCATCATTATTTTTCATAAACCTCCAGCAAGGCATGGTTTTCTTTTCAGGAACGATTTATCAAAGCCATAGTCATGCTGGAAAACACAGTTTCGTATAATTTGTTACAGTTTTTGGTGCCAGGATCCTTGGAGAGAGTCTTTGGGGTGATTTTCTATTGGGGAGATTATGCATCCATCAATCCACCCATATCCATCCTGATCTTATTCATAAAACTTGAAGTCTAACACAGAAATTGGCCATACAGATGTTGTAGATTGTTGAGCTATTTGTGATGACCGTGTGCATGGCGTTACCTGTCTGTGATTGGCTACACAAGCTAGGGATTTGGCTGCACCATTTTTGATTGGCTTATATGATTATGTTACTGTAGGTCTCTGTAGAATGAATCCAGGATCAAAATTTCTGAGACTGAATACGGGTATAGGGACCTAGCTTCATTATGGTAACTTATATTAACTATAACAGGTTGGTTATAGTCTCGAAAACATTTTTTAATTTGTCATTAACTCATTCACCCCTGAAGACACATTTGAACTCTTCCAATTCAAAGGTTGGAATAGTTCATTATGAAATTTCAGGGGTGAATGAGTAAAGTGATAAGACTCTTATTATCCTGGTAACATCAAAGAAACAATCCCAAGTGTGAACTCCAGACTAGCTGGTTAGGACTTCAGGTCATCTTTGTCCAAGTTTATCAGCTGAAATTCTCAAAAACCTTTTGTACATGAAACTCTGTAAGTATACTGTTTAATAAGAATCACTTTTTTAAAGGGAGGCTGTGAGTAAGTGTGTGTAGTTTCGTAGATTTTGTATATCACAGAACTGTTTTGTAGCCACAAATAGTGAAATACTTAGCTATCTTGTGAATATTTCGATAATAAATTGGTCTCCAATACAAAAATATGACTAAATATCATTATTTAAGTTTATATTATAACTTGTAATCAACACTGCTCTCAATAAATTTAACCAACATTGCCCTGTGAATGGAAAGCTAGTGCATGATGTTTTGTTCAAGGGAGATAATCGGCTAGTCACTCATTGCCATTGATAATTTTTGTTCTCCAATTTTCATTATTTCATTGATATATCTTTAAATCACACATGTGACCAATGATGAGAGGTACCAAATTTAATGCTGCAGTCGGCCATAACCCATAAACTTTACATTTTCAGCAAAATTCTAAGTTGAGATCATCATGAAATGGACTTTCTTTTATGAATCAGCCTCTGCATGTAAAAATGAGGAAATGAAGTTTATAAAAGGGCTTGTCATCCGAAAGCTAATATTCAAATTGTGAAGGAAGTGGGGGTGGGAGATGTATATCTTTTTCAGGTTGCAATAATTACATTCGGTTCATAAAAGTAGTATTACTCCTGATGGATTTGTTCCTCAAATTCGTACAAATTCAAAGCCTTATCTTTTAACTTATTGTTGTAATTATTGATTGTTTGGTCTCCGTAGTTCCCAGCCTATAAAGGAATCGTATCTGCAGAAGAACCCGTTACAACTTTTAAACATCCTGGGAAAGTTGTTCGCCTTCGCTTTCACCTGGAGTATTGGGGGAAATTTCAAACGACAGGAAGATGTTGATGATGAAGAAAGCGTCAGCCGTCGGACATCAGACAAAGACAAGGGCGAAAGAGGCGTCAACATTTGTAACGAGTTTGATGGCTTCATGCATGATCTATTTGACATTGAACCACCACTAGGTAAGTAAGATATAATAGACCATCATTAGTTCGGTAACAAAGTTTCAAGGGGATATATTGATGCATTTGTCAACATGAGTCTCAAACTCATTTCGCACAATGATTGGCCATTCTATTTCTTTTTGTTAACTGGAACCCTAGTATAAATAACATTTATGGGTGGGGCTTAAAGAAGTCAAATTTTCAAAAATCTCCATCTTCAGACCAAGAAACCCTAGAATCAAATGGTCTTCTTTTCTGTTGATGTGAGGCTCCCATGGAGAACAGGAATGTTAAGAGCTGGTATAGATGCTCTGCCTTTCTCTAGATGTGAGTTTCCCTGGAGAAAGAGGAGTGCTTAAAGCTTCTATAAATGTACTCCATACTCGGTAGGTGTGAGGCTGCCCACAGGAAACCGGAGTGTATACAGCTACTTCATAGACATGGAGTCCGGTAACTTTGTTCTCTGGGATGTGCTGGTGCCACAGACACGATCACTCATTGAGAAAAGTGCCGTTATTACCATCGGAGAGACGATGGGCATCGTGTCAGAACACAAGAAAAAACGTGAGGAAACTGACATCACTCCAACAGTTGACATCGTAAGATTCTCCTTCCTGTCTAGTCTCCTCATCACGAACAAACACCCAGTTCTCCTATCAGGTATTTATAACTTCATATTGATGTTGTAAAAAATCAGCTTACTTTAATAAAGAATATAAAGTAACTTTGTTAAGATTTTCTTAATTTTTGTTAGAGGGACATGTATTTTTATGCAGTTCCATTTAACTTAAATAGTCTTTTCAAAACATGATATTTGCAGTTTGAAGATGTAGAACTACAGAAAATCTTAACTAATATATAACTCCACTCTGTCAATGGGGTGGTATGTAGTAATGACATTTTCAGTGTATATTCATGTGTGCATCAGTGTGTCTGTCTGTACATCAGTGTGTCTGTCTGTACATCAGTGTGTCTGTCTGTACATCCGTACATGCAGCCATAGTAAAGATAAGTTGTGTACAAGTTATCTTGTGACCCCTGAACAGATTCAGTTCATATCTATGCTACACTATGTCTACATCAAGTTCTACACCTAGGTTATCTCATTCACCCCTGAAGACGCATTTGAACCCTTCCAATTCAAAGTTTGGAATAGTTCATAATGAAATTTCAGTAGTGAATGAGTTAACAAGGCAAGGTCAAACTTGACCACTTTTGATGGCTAGGGGAATTTACTACAGTGTATAAATCAGGAAATTTTCACCACAGTTTTTGTTTTGTCTTTTCCTTCCTCTACAATGAGGAAAAAAATTATCACTGCAGTAAATAACATAATAAACATAGTAATTTAACTGTGGAGGGCAAAATGAACACTGGGTGAATATGGATTTTATCGTTTAAGGGCGAAAGTTTGATTGGGCAAAAATTTGACAGGGTGGAAGTTTAACTGGGGGTAATTTTGACTGGTGGAAGTTTGACTGGGTGGAAGTTTGACTGGCTGAAAGTTTGACTGGGTGGAAGTTTGACTGGCTGACAGTTTGACTGGGTGGAAGTTTGACTGGGTGGAAGTTTGACTGGGTTTGACTGGGTGGAAGTTTGACTGGGTGAAAGTTTGACTGGGTGGAAGTTTGACTGAAGTTTGACTGGGTGGAAGTTTGACTGGGTGGAAGTTTGACTGGTGAAAGTTTGACTGGGTGGAAGTTTGACTGGCTGACAGTTTGACTGGGTGAAAGTTTGACTGGTGGAAATTTGACTGGGTGAACATTTGACTGGGTGGAAGTTTGACTGGGTGAAAGTTTGACTGGTGGAAGTTTGACTGGGTGGAAGTTTGACTGGGTGAACGTTTAACTGGTGGAAGTTTGACTGGTGGAAGTTTGACTGGTGGAAGTTTGACTGGGTGAAAGTTTGACTGGGTGGAAGTTTGACTGGTGGAAGTTTGACTGGGTGACAGTTTGACTTGGTGGAAGTTTGACTGGGCAAATATTTGACTGGGTGGAAGTTTGACTGGGCAAATATTTGACTGGGTGGAAGTTTGACTGGCTGACAGTTTGACTGGGCTAAAGTTGACTGGGTGAAGGTTAACTGGGTGAAAATGTCCTGGTATAGTGTTTGTGTTAGCCTCCAATCATTTTGCTTTCATTTTTATTTAGAAAATGGAATAAAAGAATGATATATCCTTAAAAGTTGAATTTCATCTGTAATTGATTTAATTTGTCTGAATTATGATACTTTGAATCCTGTCCAAAGTGGAAACCTGTGGAAACTAAACCTGAAAGTATATTATTTATTACACTATAATATCAAAATGTAGATTGTAAATTGGACCCTGTATAATTTGAACTAACATATTGGTCCACTTGGCATTTTGTTTAAAATAGATTTCACTGTACATGTATTTTGTAAAATAAAATATTTTCTTCCTAAATTGTAATTAAGGGGAATCTGGTGTTGGTAAGTCTGCGTTAATTAACCACATGCTGAGTCGCCTGAAGAGAGATGGCGGGGCGGAGATCAAGAACGGCACTGTGCTTGGAAATGTGTTATGTTACTCTGACAAACACTCATCCCTGCTGGAGAACATCACTAACATCACACGGTTTGGACAAGAGGAAGACGCCAACAAGAGCCTTGACTTCCTTCTGGGTAAGTTTCCTTAGTAGTACTGTACCGTGTATCTACGGTGGGTTTTCTTAACTCATTGACCCCTACATTTTTATACTGGACTTGCTCAGTACTTGATTTGGTAAGGTTCAAATGTGACTTTAGGGATGAATGAGTTAATAGTGCCATAAATCTAAGTTAGGGATAGGAGTGACATGAGATTTGTATGGTATCGTTATCGCTATGTAAACAAAATAATTTGTTCATGCAATTGTCTTAAATATTTTACAAAAATTATGCATATCTAAATTGTATTTTAAGATCAAGGCCAAGGTCACCATTACCTACTGTAGAAAAAAATGTCACCTCTCTAGCGCTATTTCTTTTCTTAATTGAATTTTATTACACTTCAGGCAATAAATATAAAAGAAAGACAAAATGATATTCAAGTAAATTTTCCAATTATGATTATACCTTGAATGAGTTTGAATGAGGCATGGTAGTCTAGCAGTAAGACGCCAAGCTCAAGTCACGGCATTAAAATCAAAGTTCAAGTGTTTGATTTGATGGTTTATATTGTGTCGAGCCCGACCTTTTAAGTGGCTAAAGATAGAGTTGACAGTCTGGTGGCACAGGGACTTGATAGATAGCTAAAGATAGAGTTGACAGTCTGGTGGGACAGGGACTTGATAAATAGCTAATGATAGAGTTGACAGTCAGGTGGCACAGGGACTTGATAAATAGCTAAAGATAGAATTGACAGTCTGGTGGCACAGGGACTTGATAGATAGCTAAAGATAGAGTTGACAGTCTGGTGGGACAGGGACTTGATAAATAGCTAAAGATAGAGTTGACAGTCAGGTGGCACAGGGACTTGATAAATAGCTAAAGATAGAATTGACAGTCTGGTGGCACAGGGACTTGATAGATAGCTAAAGATAGAATTGACAGTCTGGTGGCACAGGGACTTGATATATAGCTAAAGATAGAGTTGACAGTCTGGTGGTACAAGGACTTGATCGATAGCTGAAGATAGAGTTAACAGTCTGGTGGCACAGGGACTTGATAAATAGCTAAAGATAGAGTTGACAGTCTGGTGGCACAGGGACTTGATAAATAGAGCCCATTGGGACCATGATGATATCATTTTGTTTATTTAAAAACTTCAGGTTCTACGAAAATAAAGCAGGTGACAGGACTAATTAGCTCCATGATCCAGTTCAGTGCCCAAACGACTGCAGCGCGGTTACAGGCCCACATCGTCCATAAACTCATCAAGAAGGGCAAGGAAACCCTCGGGGCTCCCAAAGGAAGGAAAGTTATTGTGTTCGTGGATGACCTCAACATGCCAGCCCCAGAAGAGTATGGGGCACAGCCACCCTTGGAACTCCTCAGGCAGTTTCTAGAACTCGGAGGCTTCTTCGATACAGCCAAGCTTGTCTGGAAGGTTGGTGGGCGGTGATATTTTCCTAGATTTAAGGATATATGCAACTGGAACAAAGCTGAATATCATATTAAAAGATTTCCATCTGCAGACACTTTGTACAATACATTTCCTTAATAGTAATTTATAATTTTGGTTAATAAATTGATCACATATTTTAAAATACACAGAAATGTACTGACAACATAAAATAAAGCTGATCTTAAGCGGTTTCATTGAAGAGTGCTAGCTCTCACACAATTAACGTTACTGGCATATTGTAATCATATTAAAAATTTCAACAAGACTTGTATTTTCTTGCATGAAAGTTAACATTTTAAACATAAATTAAAGCACAGTAAAAATATATTTTGTATATTTTCAGGACATTCTGGACGTAAACCTAATTGCTGCGTGTGGCCCGACCGGTGGGGGACGGAATCCCATCAGTCCCCGCCTCCTCAAACACTTCTGGTCAGTATCCTCAAGCCGTAGTTTGATTTGATTTATAGTAGGATTGTCAACGGTTTCCGACTAACTGGTAACTCGATCAGAAGATCCTGAACTGGTTACAAACTTTAATTGAGTAGTAGGACATCTAAATAGCCCATAAGTAGTCGCATGTTTATCTGGGTTAGATGTACCTCTAACATACAACAATGGGTAATTATTATAACTTAATAAAAACCAGATATCAAAACAGAAAACAAAATTACATGGCCTGACCATTAATGTTGATTAGCACGTGATGGTAATGAGATGCGGCCATACATTTTGAATATTACTAGTGGTATAAATTCTACTGTATCCATTGTTTTGTTTGATTATATTGAATTGACCGATAATGCGGTTACTCAGCTTAAAGATTTTTTGAGTAACCGGTTACTAAAATGCGCCCTAATTTATAATCGAACTCTGATAAAAGTCTGGGTGCTTTCATTAGCACTGTTATCAAAACGATATCCAAATTCCTGGGTCATCATAGAATTGTCATTCTGTATTCTTGTTTTTTATAAATGACTTATATTCTTTTAATTATGTTTGCAGTCTGAACTGCCATTTCGGTTTTGTAAATGACTTTGACCCAAGCAACATTCATGGCTAATTAATGACTTTCAAAATTTAGACAACTTCCTCTGAATAAACAAGATGCCTAGGGTCATAATATTTATCTTGTAGCATGCTAAGGTGAAAGTCTATCGGGTTTATTCAAATGAATGACCTTGGCTTGTTTTCAAGGTCACAAGGGTGAAATGTGTGAAAACTTGAAACAACTTCTCCTAAAGGCCCTTAAAGCATGGGGTAATAACATTTGGCCTGTAAGTTGATGGGGATACATCTTGACAAAACATGAATGTAAGGTATCTTTGTCAATGGCATTAAAAAAAGTATATGGTGATACAGGCCCATTGGGCCACTTGTTATAGATGTCTTTTTTTTTGTCATATGGCTTGTCTTCATTAAATAGGGAAAATGATGATTATATTAAAATAATTGAATGTTTAGATATGTGTCGGGCATGTATTCAACATTCTAACATATTTTTCTGTGACAATTTTACTGTTTCTGTACTTTTATAATGTTCTTGATTGTAGTTAACAGTTTCCGACCTTGTATCTTACAGTATGTTGGCGCTGCCCCAGCCGTCGACACGCTCACTCCAACACATCTACCAGGTTCAGCTTGGAAAATTCTTCACGGAAGGTGACTTTGCCTCGGAGTTCAAGGACCAGCTCATCCCTCTGGTGTCAGCCAGTATCGCAGTGTACTACCGAATGTGTAGCAACATGTTACCCACACCGACCAAGTCCCACTACAACTTCAACCTGCGGGATCTGTCTAAGGTAAGGGTTCTGTTTCCAGCATATTTTCCGCAGACTTTCAGTTTCATGAAGTTGACGTATGGCAGGTTAATTTTAGTTGAAATTTAAAGACATGTATGTGGCGAACATAAATCAACAGCAGAAGAATAAAAAGGAGCTACGGACCTACTAACAGATCAGAGGAGGAAGTTCAGATCACCCATGTCTTAACCTTTTCACCCCTATGTAACTTTAGTAGACTCTACCAGACATTGATCTGGATGAGTCCATTTCAGTCTACAGTGGTGAAAGGGTTAACAGGGACCCACTTTTGTACTCTGACATTGTTGTAAACTTCCTGACAGCTGTTTACACCCATCCTCCCTTAGTCATGAAGTACATGCATATCCAGCAATCGATTTGTTATGTGTTACATGGTTCTGTAGTAGAAAACTTGTGCTTGAAATTTATTGCGGACCCCTCAACATATGCTTAATTTATATTTACATCAAAGAAGGAAAAAAATCAAGTTCTTCATTGATTAGATTTTGGTGGTCATCAGTCAAGGTTAAATTTATTGACTGTCTGACCTCCAGTGAATTTTTGTCTGACCCTATAAAGTGACCATTTTGACCCCCTGTACTGATCTTTCTGACCCGTTTTTTTGTGTTGTAGGTGATCCAGGGACTGTTGCAGGCCCACGAGACAGTCATTATTAGTAAAGACAATTCAGCACTGCTGTTCGCACATGAGGCGACACGCGTATTCCACGATCGCCTCATCTTCCACGAGGATCGTGACATGTTCTTCCAGTTCTTGTCTGATATCCTCCATGACTACTTCAAGGTAAGCTTAATCTTATGTGGTTTTTTGTTTCTTTTAGCAAATTATTTGACCAAAGTATTGGAGAAAACAAAAACGACTTTCCCTGCGTCTCCTGGTTTCAAATGAAAATCTTGCAGTTCCAAATTTTTCTGTGAAAACGTCTCAAGATTGAAATGTCAACAAAAAGTTTCTTTGAGTCAGAATTGAATGTCTCAGACAGCCAGCAGGCTTCCTGGAGCTGACCACTGACCAACACTATTACAGCCCTGCATGAGGCTGTGATTGCAAATGATGGACATATCAGGGGATCTTAGTCATTTTAGACTAATATCATGACAGTTGATAGATTTGATAACCAAAACAGTTTGGCTATTGTAAATTTGAAATTGAACTCTGAAAATGCATTTATTTCAAGAACAAAGCTTAGCAAATGCTTCTTTACTTACCAATATCTTGGGCAAGTATATAATAATAATAATAATATACAGCATTTGATATAGAGCCCTATCTAGCTAACATATGCCACTCTAAAGCACTTTACAGTACATAGATATACAATTATGCTTCTTTACTTACCAATATCACGGACAAGTATATAATAATAATAATAATAATAATATACAGCATTTGATATAGCGCCCTATCTAGTTAACATAAACCACTCTAAAGTGCTTTACAGTACATAGATATACAATTAATACAATTAGCATATACATTAATCTATACAATTTTGAGGAATTCGCATGGGGCTGCCTTATCAGGCACTAACTACTAGTCCTATGCCACCTGGCTAATATCTCCAGTGTGCTGGAGATGTATTGTGTTCTGTTTGTAGTGGTACTGTGCTACCAATAGCATCATTTATAGTGCCACCTCACTTGAATGCTACAACACAGAAACTGCAACATCCACCCCAGACCAATTTATACTCCACCTGGGTTGTTATGGAGTTATGTGGGCAGGAGAAAAACACTTTCTCTGAATATCCATGTGTACGACGACTTCGGGTTAATTGATAATTTGATAAATTGATGTTTTCCCCGAAGTAAGGATGTATTGTTTGTTGTACCAGGTAAAGTGGTCCAAAGATATGCTGATGAATAAACAAGTCTTGTTTGGTGATTTCTTCGAAATGGAGGCCACGTTGCATGTGTACCGGCCGATGTCGGACCGCACCAAGTTAGCTCAGGTCCTGGAAGAATATTACATGAGGATGAACTACGGGAACACCAAGGTAAGGCAGGGTCAGGAGTGGCAAGGGCGGGGGCATTACATCAAGTACGTTAGGAGCCTAGTGTTTGGTGTCCAGGATTATTTATGAGTATATGGGATTCCTTATTGTGAAGCCTGAAAAGAGTCGGATATTTATACAGGCAAAGTTCTTAACGTCGGCGAATTGATTTTATTTTGTCATGCATGTATTATTTTTAGTTCTCCTGGCTGTAGGGCAATTGAGTTTATTTCTTGGTGCATTTTTGCTTCCATGTGTCTATCAACCATCCTCTGTTAAATGTGTCTATCAACCATCCTCTGTTAAATGTGTCTATCAACCATCCTCTGTTAAATGTTAGATAGCTTCCAATCAACTTTCGTTATATAAATTTGACCTTGTCCAACTTCGAAGGTCACAAATGTGGAGTATTTTTATTAATAACATTGAATAACATGTCAGCAATTCAGGTCCGATGGGCCTTTTGCTATATATTTTGTTGGCTGTCTCAGTCTGTCATTAATAGACATATGAATGAAATACCTGCACTTTTGAAATGAAATAATCTGTTGAAAAAACCCCACATCTGATTTTTATGAAATTTATTATGTTTTTTTAACATTGCATTACAAAATTTGGTTTTCAAGGTGATCTTAATTTTGCTATTTGTTTGTAGGCATATGTAAGTACTGTCATAGATGGGTTTTTTACAACACTATAGGGCGACACTTCACGTTTTTTAATTCTCTCATTGTCACTGTTTGTTTGTAGGTACTAGACTAAACATCACAATGCCCTCACATCTTATTAATGTAATATGCATTGGAATAACTCATTGGGTTCAAGGCAAGAGTGGATATCCCCGCCCCTGCCCCTCCTCCACCCCGCCCTTTTCACCACTTCTTGTACACTGTCACTGTTGGTAGTGGTTAAGACCGGAACAACCATCAATTCGTTTATGCTCTAAAGCTCGTTCCATTATCGTGATTCTCATGACGCACAAGTATCTATGTCAGGATCACTTCAAAATATAAGCAAAGGGATTTTAATTTTGGATGGAGCATCCCTAGGCCAACGAAATTCAGCAGTGTTTATATAAAAAGTGTGGTCGTCCCTAGGGTAGAAGGATGAAATCTAAAATGAGACATATAAGGATCAAACAAACTTAAAGAATATCTTAAATGAAAAACAACAAATGCACCTAGAATTTAGTTTTGCACAATTTGACTGGCTTTATTTTTTGTGTTAGGAGGGTTACATACATGTAGATTTGCATATCAAGGTTTGTAATGGCTCAGTTTGCCTATAATGATGTGATATTGGTAATGATGACAGAAAATATGATTATCACCAATATGTATTGTATTTCAGCCAACCTTCGAAGGGGATGTGATGGTACAAACAAAAGGGGCTTTTTGTTCAATGTTGGTTGTAGATGTTTTTGGGAATCTGACTTTGATGATACAGATTGCAGAGGTTGATCCATGATGAGGGGCTAGGTAGAATGTATTTCACAAAGTCTACGGGGCAAGGAAGGTTTTTATTAGGGCCCCGTATCGGAGCCCTGCAAATATGGAGGTGGAATGAAACAAGACTCACATCATAGTACATGTAAAATGTATATTTTGCTTCCTTGCGATTCTTTTTGAAGTCCAAATGTCAAACGTCAAGCTCAGCTATATGGGCAGATTGCTTCTTGATGATTATAGGGGATATATTGCCACAAGACGGGGCCCTTACTGACCTGTCAGTGTTCTAGTTCTTTCATGGAAAGGCTAGGACATTTGTTTATCTCTTGATTGGAGTTAAGAATTGTTCATTTCATAAAAAATCGTTTGATCTCATACATTTGGAAACAAGCAAAACAGCAAAAAATATGTTTAACTATTATTATATACCTAGTAGGGTTTTTGAACTCATTCACGCCTGAAGACACATTTGAACTCTTCCAATTTAAAGGTTGGAATAGTTCATTGTGAAAGTTCAGGGGTGAATGAGTTAAGCAAAACACTATAACTGACAAGGATTGTGTAACCTAGTTATGATCTTGGATCTGCCTCTGTCATACATTTCTTTTGCTATAAACAGACAACATTGAGGTAACGGGTCTTATATTTCTGAAGTTGCTTGATTTTGGTTCCGGCAGATAAAGCTTACTTTGTGGTCTTGCATCTTTCATCTGGTATCTGGCATCAACTGTTTTCTTAAAACGACTTTTATGAATAACCAAAAGGAATACAGGCATTAGCATGCAGGGAAGAATGGCTGCAATGTTGGTTAAAATTAATCATTTTGACCCACTTTCACAGGGGTCAGTCAAATGGGTAAAATACATGTAATTGACTTCTTCTTGATAATCAGGAGCCTGCGGGTATTGAAATTTGGCCTGTAGCATGCCAGGAAGAAATGCTATTAAGTTTATTTAAATAAATGACCTTGATACGCTATCAAACTAACAGGTATCACGTTAGTTTAAACCTATTTACAACTTGTATGAATAACTAAGAGGCAGAGGCTTGTAATATTTAACCTGCATTATGCTGAGTTAGGTGCTGTCACAAAAAGGAAATTGTTCAAATGAATGACCTTGACCCACTTTGAAGGGTCATGATTTTTGCCAGGAGCATAATCGAGTTAATATTTTTCAAATTCGTCCAAAGGAATAACTTTAACCCACTTTCAAGGTCACAGTGATCAAATGTTTTTATTTCTTTATACAACTTGTTTCTTCTAAATAAGCAGAAGGCAAAGTGTCATTATATTTAGCCTATTCCGTCTTTGCGTATTGCAGAGTTATCTTCTCTTGTCAGCAGGTATTGATTGTTACGTCATTGGTTTGTGTGGGAAATTTACGCCGTCTTCTCAAAAATTGATGACGTAACTCTCACAAACATATGACGTAACAATCAATACCTGCTCACAAGAGCAGATAACTCTGCATTACAAAAAGACGGAATAGCATGCTGGAACAGATAGCTATTGACTGTGTTCATATGAAATGCTTCAACCAATTTACAAGGTCACAGGGACTAAATGTGTTTAAAATCTTGACACAAATTCTTTTGACTTACAAAGAGACTTACTCGCAACCTTAAACAGAAACATGCTTTGATGAAGGGCCATCAGCTTAGTTAGAATGAATGACAAAGATCTTCAAAGAAAAAGATTTTTCTAAATTACCAAGAGCCCATGCCAAGTGTCATGATAAATGGCATATACCAGGCTCGGATGAAAGGCCGAGATAAATCTTCAGAAAGGATTCATACAGTTTAGAGTTATGAAGTTAAGTCTGTATCAATATTGTTTAGTGGTTGTTTGCTTGCTGCCAAGTTTCTTTAAATAAATTTGACCTTGACCAGTTTCAAAGGTCACAGATATGAGATGTATATGCCAATAGCATAGCATTGAAAAACAAATGAATGATACAGGGCCAGTCAGCCTCTTGTTAGTTAATAATTTTGGGGATGTAAATAATTTCAAATTTGTAATCTTTAGGAGCAAATTTATGGTGCTACATAAATAACTGAAAAACTTGAATGTGACTTTGAAAGAGAAATCAAATTTCAGCATAGATTATGATAATGGTATGAAATGTGATATTTCTTATATCGTTCATTTTAATGTTAATTCATTCACCCCCGAAGACACATTTAAACTCTTCCAAATCAATGGTTGGAATAGTTCATTATGAAACTTCAGGAGTGAATGAGTTAAAGAACATCGGGGAGGAAAAACAGCAAAAGCTCCTAGAAATTTCTTTCATACGATTTCACTGACTTCATTTGTTTCAAATGAAATGTTACATACATGTTGCTTTGAATATCATTGCCAAGGTTTTTAATGGATCAGATTTTGTGATAGAATTGTTAGCCTATAACGATGTGACAAACAATGAAGAAATCAAGGCTATGTATTGTATTTCAGTTACCTGTTCACAAGGATGTTGATAAGAAGGTTGATAAGAAGGATGTACTGGTACAAACAAGAGTTGCTTTTTGTTCTTCGTTTGTTATAGATTTGTTCAGGATTTTACTTATAATTAATACTGCAGAGGTTGATCCATAATGACGAGAAAAGAAATTTTCATTTCATCAAAAAAAAATGTTTGATCTCATAAATTTGGAAACAAGCAAAAGAGTTAAAAAATAAAGTTAAAATTGCATATGGCTTTAACTGGAACTTGATTTTTTTTTAAATTGGAGCGTAAGGCGAATACAGGACCTATAAGTCTATGTATAGTCTTCAATCTACCTCTGTAGTATGTTTCTTTTGCTATAAGCAGACAATATTCAAGTTATGGTTCTGAAGTTACTTGATTTTAGTAAATTGACGATAATTTATTTAATATTTATTTTAAGTCCTCAGGTCCAATAAAGAAATTGGTGACAACATGTATGTGATATAGAGGTTCCCCAACGAGTGGTGGTTGGTTATCCTGTTTATCTAACTCGAGTTAGTTAATCTTCAAATTGTATAAAGACATGAGGTTTACCGAGTGTCTTTTACAATTTGAAAGTTAACTAACGAGAGTTAGATATACGTGATAACTAATCATCACGAGTTTGAGGACCTGTTTCTCCCATTACGTTAGTATTGTATCCACATTTTACCCTTAGAAAATACATCATGTGGTTTTCCGATGGGGGAAACAATTGCCATGGAACATGACGTCACAATGGAAAATGACGTTAAAAAGCATTGTTACATGACGTCATAAATCAAAGATTGACCAATGTGTCCAGGGTGTTACCCACTAGTGGGTAACCAAAAATGTTTACCAACTCCTAGCAGGTTGATTACCCAATGGGTCATGAGTGAGGAAACCGACAGTGGTTGTGGGTTAAAATATAATTGCAAAGATATAAGCAATAACAACAATATATGATGAACGATAAGTGGCAAAAAAAGTATGTTTTGCAGTTGTTTCTTAGAACTTGACACGAGTGATAAGGTTAAAATATCTTTGGCTGCTCATAAAAAGGCTGAATTCACGAACATTGAGTCTGCTACATGAGCTGTGAAATAAAGTTTTGGCCCTATGTCTAAGCTTTTGTTCAGGTAACAAGGGGTTAACTCGTAAGTTTTGATAGAAATTGATGAGGTCATGTGATTAGTTTCTGACCTCCATGTATTAAGACTTTAACCAGTATAAATACTGCCCCTGGACAGCTGTATATGATATTTTACTAACTTTTTTCTTCAATTTAAACTGGGTACATAAACAAATGATTGCTTTTATATTCATAACCCCAAATTCCCTATTCCGTTTCATATTTCCGTTACTCAGTAAATTGGTTACAACCCATGTTTTATATCTCGTATTCAGATCGCATATACCTATAACAACAAGAAGAATTTAAAGATCCCCGTACCACTGCCAAAAACTGTAACTAAGTGTTGGAAACTGTTTTTCTGACATGATTATAGTTTTGATAAATCATTTCTGATAAGAAAACCATACCTTATGGGACTTTTATGACAAATAATAAAAGATGAAATAAACAAAATATAATCAACAGTGTTTAGAGTGTAAAAATTCAGCGGGGCTAGACAGGGATTCGAACCCCGGACTTCATTTTATCATACCATTCCTCTAACCAACTTAGCTTTATGATCAGTGGAAGTGTCCTTGCCCAATTGTGCAACATATATTTCCAAAGGGGAGCTGGTACTGTATGTACAGTAATCCACAGTGCAATGGGACAGGGATCCTTAAGGAAAATCTAATCCTATTTTAGAAAAGCCAGTCAACCATCTCATTCATATTCAACTGCACTGCTAAAACTATGGGGAAAATCCACATGTATTGTAATGCCCGAAGTTACACAAATTGTGATTTTAACAAATGCATCTTAAATAGGAACCAAACACATTTAGAGAGCTATTTTTTTTAACTCATTCACCCCTGAAGACACATTTGAACTCTTCCAATTCTAAGGTTGGAAAAGGCCAATATGGAATATCAGGGGTGAATGAGGTATAAGATTACACAAAATGTTTTCGAGACGTGAATAGTTTAGATGATCACCAAATTGTATCAAAGTGCTGTGTTTGAAGCTTTCAGAAAGACAGTCCGAGTATCTCCTTGATAATGTAAGTCAGCGGTGTCTGCATGTTTTTGTAAATTAACAGTGATAAAGAATTATCATAATGCTTTACCTAATACAAAAATTAAATAGTTTTGATATGAATGAAAAAAAAGGAATATGCTAATTCTGTTTCAACTTAACTCATTCATATAGGGTATAATATGCCCTATACAAATTATATGTACAAAAGTATAAGGGTTGAATCATAACTTTGGTTTGATGTTTGGTGTATATTCTTAAAATCCTGGGGATTAACCCCTCAGCGATATTCTCCCATGGGGGATATATTGTGTGAAAGGTTTTGCAGCAGTTTTGTGTTTTGAGTAAAATGTTACATGTACAATGCATTTCACTTTATGTGACTTGTCATTTGTCAGAGTACTATAGTAGGAACTTGTGAAGCTTAATATAAGTTGTTTTTTTGTTCAGTTTGTGTTTAGTGAGAGTTCATTCAAATAATATAAAACATAGGTCATCTCAAAGCAGATGACATGGAAAGCAAACTCTTTGTCTGGCTAATATGATGTGATATAACAGTTTGTGAAATAGATAGCAAACTTTGAATTTGAAAGGTAAAATTCCACACTATTACCGTACTTAATGGCCAGGTCTAAGGGGAGATAATTACACTTTGCGAATTTGAATGGTAAATTCCACACTATTACTTAGTGGCCAGGTCTAAGGGTAGATAATTACATTTTGCGAATTGAAAAGGTAAAATTCCACACTATTACTTACTGGCCAGGTATAAGGGGAGATAATTACACTTTGCGAATTTGAAAGGTAAAATTCACACTATTACTTATTGGCCTTGTCTAAGGGGAGATAATTACATTTTGCGAATTTGAATGGTAAATTCCACACTATTACTTAGCGGCCAGGTCTAAGGGGAGATAATTACATTTTGCGAATTTAAAAGGTAAAATTTCACGCTATTACTTATTGGCCTGGTCTAAGGGGAGATAATTACATTTTGCGAATTCGAATGGTAAATTCCACACTATTACTTAGCGGCCATGTCTAAGGGGAGATAATTACATTTTGCAGCATGCAAAGACAAATGTTACATAAATAATGTGAAATGAAGTGGAATGTGTTACATATGATGTCTTATCACAGCAATGATGCATAATAATTGCTTTCAATGGCATAAAATGATTTAGTACAAAATTTCAAGAAAATACACACCAAATAGAATAGTGCATGTGTAGGTATGTTTCTTTCTTGTATTTTTGTATTTCCATATTTTATTAGGTTGTATTTATCTAAAGGAAATCTAAGAATCTAGAAAAAAGTATTATTCTGCATTTTGATTTTTAATGATAACATACAAAAATACCTACCAAATTGTTTTGTGTTACCAAGACAACATATAGGTATAACTCTTATATTTTTGGGTTCATTGTTGATGGCAATGTCTACATAAAAAAATCCATGCAAAACTCTTGAAGGATTACTTTGATTTTAAAGAAACTACTTACAAATACAGTTAATATCGTAATATTGTTTGTTTTTGAATTTGATGTAAAATTCAGTATGGCTGCCAGTAGCCATCTTGGGTTTTGTACTGACATGTTTCCAGATTTTTATTTTTTTATTTTTTTTAAGATATTAATGGATTACCTTCCCAAGTCCAATTATACGAGTCTTGAAATAGATATAAATGAACCTCAGCCCCTATATAACAAAGTATATTTGACCATATGTGTTGTGCAGCTTAACATTTTTCCACTATCCCAAACTACCAACTTTCCAACAAGTGGAATTCTCCATAAAATATTTTTGTAAAAAAAAAAAAAAATTGTAACAGGGATACACCAGGGTGCTCCCGCATTAATATCATTGTAATCAATTCCGGTTTAGTTTAATTTTATGTTGCACTTATAAAATGTTTTAACCCATGTGTCTATAAGGAATTGTTTTTCAAAAGTAACATTTGCTGTGATTTTGCAGTTTAATATGATATAACTTAATCCAACATTTTCCAATAGTGATCATATTTAGTTTTATTTTGTATATATAAGAGTTGCATGTCTTTTGTTTTGTATCTTTTTCTTCTGAGTATGTTTTGTTTTATTTACTTTTGTTTACATGGGTAAGTGTATTGAGTATTTATATGCCCTGATGAATTTCTTAGTTGAAAAAAATCATAAATAAAGATAAACATATTAAGTTATTTAACTTTGCAGGGCTTTTTGAATTCATGCTCTTCTATATTGGATAACTGGTTTTTAATTTAAATGTATCTATTTTTTTTCAGCTTTTAAATTTCAAAGCATATTTTTTACTGTGTTTGAATTTTAAAGCTTCTCATCATTTTCTAGTTTCAAAGCATTATTTACTTTTTGGATTTTAATCTAAAAACATGTTTTTTAAATTTTTATGTAGGCGTCACAGATGGTATTCTTCAAGGATGCTGTAGAGCACATCACGCGGGCGGCTCGAGTCTTTAGACAGCCTGGTGGTCATATGATGTTGGTCAGTATAACTTAGGTAGAAGATACAGTACTATACATGTAGGCTTTTTTCATGCCATGGAAATTTTGCAAATTTGCCTTCACTAAATAAGTTTAGAAGGAATAGACCGTTATGTCTCTTTGTTTGGAAGCCTCACGATTAAACCCCTTGCTCTACTACTTACGATCTTTTTTTTAAGATGCCACATGTTTGCCTGTTTTCAGGTGGGATTGGACGGCACTGGGAAAGCCACTGTAGTACAATTAGCCGCTCACATCTCGAACTGTGAGCTCTTCAAGCTCACGCTTCAGCGAGGCTATAACTTCAGTGAATTTCGGGATGACCTCAAAAAGCTTTTCCTCAGTAGTGGGGTCAAGGGCAAGAAAAATGTGTTTTTACTCACAGACTCTGACATTGTGAAGGTAAGATTCATGTTATCTCTCACATCCATGTGTGTAAGATAGAGCTGTCCAGGGTAAGTAAGGGGTGTAAGATAGAGCTGTCCAGGGTAAGTAAGGGGTGTAAGAGAGAGCTGTCCAGGGTAAGAAAGGGGTGTAAGATAGAGATGTCCAGGGTAAGTAAGGGGTGTAAGATAGAGATGTCCAGGGTAAGTAAGGGGTGTAAGATAGAGCTGTCCAGGGTAAGTAAGGGGTGTAAGATAGAGCTTTCCAGGGTAAGTAAGGGGTGTAAGATAGAGATGTCCAGGGTAAGAAAGGGGTATAAGATAGAGCTGTCCAGGGTAAGTAAGGGGTGTAAGAGAGAGCTGTCCAGGGTAAGCAAGGGGTGTAAGATAGAGCTTACCAGGGTAAGTAAGGGGTGTAGATAGAGATGTCCAGGGGAAGTAAGGGGTGTAAGATAGAGCTGTTCAGTGTAAGTAAGGGGTGTAAGATAGAGCTGTCCAGGGAAAGAGAGGGGTGTAAGATAGAGCTGTCCAGTGTAAGTAAGGGGTGTAAGATAGAGATGTCCAGGGGAAGTAAGGGGTGTAAGATAGAGATGTCCAGGGTAAGTAAGGGGTGTAAGATAGAGCTGTCCAGGGTAAGAAAGGGGTGTAGAAATTTCTGTCTTACACCCCATTTCACGCGACGTGACATCACAATAGCTCAACAAAGATGTGATGTCACAAATTTGGAAAACACCGATGCTGCAATGGGAAAAAGGCAACGTGATGAAATTAAAACCTTTTACGATATATTTACCGCACAAGTTAGAAGGATGAGATTATTTTTTCTGCACAAACACTGTTTCCAAATATCGGGTATGCTAAATCTCGCTGACAAATTTGTTTTTATCAAAATAGCTCAGGGGGAAAATGGATATTTTCAAAATGGTAGTCAGTCCAAATGCATTTTCATGGTTTCTGTGCTTATTCTGGTTGTTTGAATGAGAGAAAAATACTCTTTCATGCCCAAGGGTGCAGGGTAGGAAAATTCCTCCCTGGAGATTTTCAAATTTGGCAAATTAACCCTTGGGTTTTACCAAATTTGAAAACCCCTCAGGTGGAATTCCCCTATACTACACCCCTGGACATGAAAGAGACTTATATTCTTACATCTGCATTAGATGGCACATCTACTTAATAAAAATATTAGTGTCCTTCATCCTCAGCTCAAATTCACAATAGAACTGTCATTTTGGGTACAGCTGAGGTACTTTTATCGTCTAACTAGGGTGGCATTTTCGGGTTCACTTCATCAATGTTGTCAGCCAAAATGAACTTTTTCCTAAAACAACTTCTTCTTTAGATCCATAAATAGTAGAGTGTGCTGTGGAGGAAGGCTATCAAGTTGATGACCTTAACCCACTTTCAGGGATTTGATGACCTTGACCCACTTTCAGGGATTTGATGACCTTGACCCACTTTCAGTTATTTGATGACCTTGACCCTCTTTCAGTGATTTGATGACCTTGACCCATTTTCAGTGATCAGATGACCTTGACCCTCTTTCGGTGATTTGATGACCTTGACCCACTTTCAGTGATTATAAGCTAAATGCTCTCTGTACTTGCCTCAAAAATGACTAAAATAACAACAGCAGTACAAATACAATCTTGTAACTATAATTTTATTTCTGTGCTAGGAATCATTCCTGGAAGACATTAACTGTATACTAAATTCTGGTGAAGTCCCGGACCTCTTTGACAATGAGGAACTGGACGGGATCACGATGGACCTTAAACAGACTGCTGCTGAGGCTGACATCCCGGACACCCGAGCCTCCGTCTACCAGTTCTTCATCCACCGGGTCCGTCAAAACCTTCATGTCGTACTGACGATGAGTCCGGCGGGCGGGAAGTTCCGTCAACGGTGCCGCATGAACCCCGCTCTGATCAACTGTTGTACCATCGACTGGTATGATGAATGGGAGGAAGAGGCTATGCTGAGTGTGGCCCAAGTTTTCTTCTCCAATGCTGAGTTTATTGCGAGTGAGAATTATGACCTGGATGTAAGTATTCTTGCTCCAAGATCATGCAACCATTTCTAAGTCGTTAGTCCAGACTTTGAATGCTTATAAGAGGCTGCTGGAAATCAGACTTTATTTGCTGAAATAATTAAAAATAAAAAAATAAAAAGAATAAAAGTAAAGATTTATTTTACTTGTAATTTTCCTGTATGTACCAAAATGTTATCTGTATTTATCTAAAGGTTTACCTGTATAATGTACCTAGTTGTTATCTATATGGAACAGATATGTATATGTTACCTGTACATTGCAGCTTTTGAAGCGTAGGGTGGGGAAAGTCTGTGTGGAGATTCACAAGAGTATCGGGGTAATGTCGACCAAGTACTGGGAGGAAATGCGACGCCATTACTACTCTACGCCGTCCAGCTACATGGAGTTTATAAGGCTTTACTCCAAAATGCTTCGTGAAAACAAGACTGAATTTGTCAACAATAAGTAAGCAGATTTGTTATATTTCTGGTGATTTAGCTACCTTGTCTTTCAAATCTCTTCTCTTCTACTGGTTTATTTATTATTTGAAAATAGAACTACCCCAGTTCAAGATAATACTTTATGTTATTGCCTTTTTGTGTCTCACAAGGAACCGTCTGGAGGTCGGACTATTGAAATTGTCGGAGGCAAACACATCCGTGGGGACTATGCAGGAGATACTTGTCTCTCTTGGACCACAGATTGAAGAGAAACAAAGGGTATGTAAGCAGCACATCACTCACCTTGGATTGTGTAGTTATACTGATGCATTGTCCACAAGTGTTCATAGGTGAATGGCTTAATGCCAAAGGGTCCCACCATTTCTTAAAACCCTACATAAGATATTGGAGATTTTTGTCTCGCCACAATGCAACAAAGTAGAGGAAGCGAAACTAAGGTGTTGCATTTAATTTAGTTTCACTGAAAGTATAAGTGCTATAGACCAACCAAACTTGAACCAATATATATGATTAGATGCATCTTAGGTAGTAGATCTCAACTCATACATGAAATGCTGGATGTGGCCTACCTTTCATGGTCCATTGACTTTGTCAGCATATATATAGCCATCAACAAGTTTTTGCGTTCAAGTTAGTTTCTTTGAAACTATAAGTGCTAGACCAACCAAACTTGACATGTGCATTGATGGTCAAAGCGGGGCACTGGCGAGACATATATCAAACTGAATGGCTTGTTATAACCAAAAGAAAAAATATTTTTTATGTGTAAACATTGTTATTTCTAGGACACGGAGGTGCTTCTGCAGCAGCTGGAGAAAGACAAGGTCGCTGCGGAACAAGTACGAGCCATCGTCAGGGAGGAGGAAGAGATCATGCAGAAGGAGGCCAAGATCGTACAGGACTACGCTGATGTAAGTAAAATAGGGAGCTATCTTTATGAGCTCCTATGTCAGGAAATATTTCCATCATCTTCGGTTGCTATATTTGCATTGCATGTACAATCTTGTTTTATAAAAAAAATTCTTTAAGCTATTCAACGTGACCTGTAAAGGCCCTTGCGACTCTTGTTTTGTATCAAATGGGAGACAATTCGACACTACTTGTTGAAAATCAGTGTAGTGTAGTTTTTGTATAGCAAAGATGTAGCGTGCAATCATTCTTAAGTATCTGGTTAACATTGTTGTAGGCAGGTGCCTTATGATGTAAGTGTTTGTAAGTTTAGACACGCTTGTTGTACTTCACTCTGTATTCAAAGGCAGTACATCACATAATGTATAGCGTTTTAAATTTGCGGGGTCAATATTTCGAGGTTTCGTATTCAGTACATATTCGCTGGGGTTGAATTTCGCCGTGCACCTGCATCCCATGTGTCGTGCAAAGTATTTTGAGTGTCATAATCTCAGGGTTTTAAACCACGAAATACAGGTAAACCGTTTGAAAACACTGATCCCGAGTGTCGTCATCTGCCAGTGACTTCACTCGAAAGAAAATCAAATGTGTATGTACTGTAATCAAGTAATCATCTACTGTGTACACATAAATATGTTGTGTCCACTTGTATGTAAGTGTTGTTTTTACATGGACTGCCCAGTTGTCCAGTTATAATCTGATTTGAGTTCATTTAAGCTGGCATAACAGCGTTGGGTTATAATTATTTTCAAAATGTTGTGATAAGGTCCGAAAAAGTGGTTAACAAAATTAGAAAGCAAATTCCTAGAAATAAAATGAAATAAGATATTATATGTAATGTTTTGTTTGCCCCTGCAGGAATGTCAGCGAGACCTTGCCTCTGCCCTGCCGGCCCTACAGAATGCGGTGGAGGCCTTAGAGACCTTGGACAAGGCCGATATTGCCGAGATCAGAGTCTACACCAACCCACCAATGCTTGTCATGACTGTCATGTCGGCCGTCTGTGTCCTCTTCCAGAAAAAGACAGACTGGGCCACCGCCAAACAGCTTCTTGGTGACCCGTCTTTCTTAAAAAAACTCACGCAATTTGACAAGTCAAGTGTGCCAGAAAAGGTGAAAATATACAACATTCACTTAGTTTAGTAAACAAGTTTTTTTTAGATTGATTGTTTGTCCTGTTGATTCATCAAACGTTATTTGGTAAGAAATGGATATCAAAATTGATAAATTTAACGTTTGTTCAACAATTGCATGTTCATGAATGTACAAAAAAACACCTTTTTTTTAATTGTGCTTTATTAGCTAAAGGAAACTTACTATCTCTTAATTAGTCTAGTAATCTGTTGTCATGAGTTTGGCTTGGAGCAAATGCACTTAGATAATTAACTGGAGTTATCCTCTTACATTCAAGAAAGAGAAAACCAATCTCTTATTTAGTATTCGGAAATATAATTTCATGAAGATTCTTCTTCTTGAAATCAATCTGAAAATGTGTGTTTAAATTACTGAAAAAGAGGACAGCTGAACGCTACAGGCCAAGTGGGCCTCTTGTTATTTGATACAGGGAATTTCTTTTGCGCTGCAGGTTAATTTTTGCCTTTTTCGTCCTCCTTTATTAGTGCGGATTTATCATTACAGCGAACATTAGTGAACACAAAAAATGCATAGTAATTAAATGTGAAGGGCGCAATTAAAACTGGGTTAATATGGATTTTAACGGGTGAGGGCGAAAGTTTGACAGGGTGAAAATATTCCGACAAACAGTACATGTATCATCCAGGCTCAGATTCGTAACAATATAACAATTTGTCCCCCTTCTAATTTGTAACACTCTTTCTGATTGGATATCATGCCGGGTTCTATATTTCTATAGAATATTGCCAAAACGGTGGGGCTATTTTGGTAGCAGTCAAGTACAACTCAAACTCACTAAGTGACTTATAATTTTCCAAAAGAAATAATAAATAAAAGATTGTCAGGGTGACAAATTTGTTATCTCTGGGTTAAACGGGGTCTACTGGCTCATAGACCCCTTTGGTCTTTATTGACCAGACAGGGTCTATGAGCCTGTAAACCCCTTCTAACCCAGAGATAACTAATAATGTATACTATTTAATTTAGCTTTCTCTCTACATATTTCTTTAAGCATGAAACAATTTAAAAAATAATTTACGACTGTATTTTTCCAGACTTTCCACAGGCTGAAGAAATACTCCAAACACCCAGACTTCAACCCAGAGGCTGTCGGTAATGTGGCGTTTGCTTGTAAATCGATCTGTACCTGGGTACTAGCCCTGGAACACTACAATGACGTCTACAAGGTAAGATAGAAATAAAGATAAAATTGACCGCAGTAAAATAGAATGCTGATTAAAACAGTTTATGGTATCTTCATTCTACTGTGAATTAGAAATAATGTATGTCTTTTCTTTTCCATAGATGGTGAAACCTAAACAGAAGAGGGTGTCAGAGGCCAAGGAGGCCCTACAGATGGCAGAGGAGAGTCTGGCCAACAAACAGGCCAGTCTCCGTAAGGTAAGATTACCCTGGCCAACAAAGTCGATAATACATTCTGAAGCAGAACTCTTCTGTGTAATTTTAACCAGTGCAGTTGGCATCCTTAGCCCTCAAGTGAACCACACTTGAGAAGATGAAGAGTATTATGAACAACATATGTATTATTAGCTCACCTGCCCGAAGGGCAAGTGAGCTTATGTCGTGGTGCGGCGTCCGTCGTCCGTCCGTCCTCGTTCGTCAACTTTTCCTTTAAACAACTTCTTCTGAAGAACAGACAGGCCTAGAGTCATGATATTTGGCTGAAAGCTTTGTTGGTAGAAGCCCTACAAAGTTTGAGAACGAAAATGACCTTGACCTACTTTAAAGGTCACAAGGGTCAAATATGTCAAAAACTTCAAACGACTTCTTCTGAAGAACTAAAAGGTATAGAATCTTCTTATTTGGCTGATGGCTTCCTAGGACGGAGCTTAACAAAGTTTGAGAATGAAAATGACTTTGACCTACTTTCAAGGTCACAGGGGTCAAATGTGTCAAACACTTCAAACGACTTCTTCTGAAGAACTGAAAGGTATAGAATCTTTATATTTGGCTGGTGGCTTCCTGGGATAGAGCCCAACAAAGTTTGAGGAAGAAAATTAGTTTGACCTACTTTCAAGGTCACAGGGGTCAAATATGTCAAAAACTTCAAACGACTTCTTCTGAAGAACTAAAAGGTATAGAATCTTCATATTTGGCTGATTGGTTCCTGGGATGGAGCCCAACAAAGTTTGAGAATGAAAATTACCTTGTTCTACTTTCAAGGTCACAGGGGTCAAATGTGTCAAAAGCTTCAAATGACTTCTTCTGAAGAACTGAGAGGTATAGAATCTTTATATTTGATTGATGGCTTCCTGGGATAGAGCCCGACAAAGTTTGAGGAAGAAAATGACCTTGACCTTCTTTCAAGGTCACAGGGGTCAAATGTGTCAGACACTTCAAACGACTTCTTCTGAACAACTGAAAGGTATAGAATCTTTATATTTGGCTTGTAGCTTCCTAGGATGGAGCCCAACAAAGTTTGAGAATGAAAATGACCTTTACCTACTTTTAAGGTCACATGAGGCAGATATGTCAAACACTTCAAATGACTTCTTCTGAAGAACTGGAAGTTATAGAACCTTAATATTCGGCTGGTTATTTCCAGGGAAAGAGCCCAACAAAGTTTGCGAATGAAAGTGACCTTGACCTACTTTCAAGGTCACAGAGGTCAACAACATTTTAATGGATTTGTTCTTAAGAACTAAAAGGAATGGATTCATAAGATTTGGCTGGTAGCTTTTGGAATAGAGCTTACCAATTTGAGAAGGAAAATGACATTGACCTACTTACAAGGTCACAGGGGTAAATATGTCAAGCAACTTATGAAGAATCAAAAAGCATAGAATCTTGTAATAATATTTTGCTGGTAGTTTTAACAGATGGAGCCAACAAAGTTTGCAAGGGAAATATTTTTAGTGCAATATAATATTTAATGAGAATATTTTGCTATGACTGCTTAAATATTCAGGTGAGCGATACAGGCCCTCTTGGGCCTCTTGTATAGAAATATGACCCATATTTTGTGATAGTAATAAAGATGATCTCCCTTTATGATAAGATTTATCTCCTTTTTGAGTGACGTTATTGATGAATCTTGTCTTCTTCTAGTTACAAGACCACCTGAACAGACTGGAACAACAGTACAAGGACAGCGTGGATCAGAGAGAGTCTCTCAAACAGCGCAAGGTCACCACGGCACTCCGACTCCAACGGGCCTCCATACTCATAGATGCACTCGTCGACGAAAAGGTCTGCTCAGTCATCATATATACAGCTGGTATCAAATTCCTTCATCAAAATTATGATACAATTTAAATAAGTGTTCTGTCAATGATTCCTGATCATTTTCTCCCATAAATATGAACCTTGAAACCTCTTGATGGTTATATACCGATATGTTATGTGAAATTATATATTTTTCATACTTGTGAATTCTTTCTCTTAATCATGTGCATGTATGGTAGAACTATCCAGGGCAAGAAGGGGTTGTGTGAAATGTGTTACGTCACAAAGGGACCACACGGACGTAATGTCACAAAGTCGGCAACAGTACAATGTTGCAATGCGGAATAGGCTGTTTTGATGAAATTAAAAATTGAAGTAATGTATTTACCATATAAGTGAGAAAGATACTACATGTATGTATTAAATTTTCTATGCAGACCTTTTTACACCTCTGGGCATGAAAGAGTCAATATTCTTATTTTAACTATATGCTGTATAGTTTTTTTTATCCTGATTCTAACAGTACAGATGTGTTCTTTTCTGAAAATACAGGATCGCTGGCAGGACTTAGTGGAGGAACTGAAATCCCGCCTCCACGGTCTGGTGGGAGATACCTTGGTGGCCGCATCGTCTGTCGCCTACATTGGGCCGTTCACTGCCAAGTACAGGAAAGATCTTATACACACATGGACTGACTACTGCCAGAAAAACGATATCCCTATCACCAAGGACTTCGAGCTCATCAAGAGTACAGTGGAACCGTACCAGGTACTGTAGGTGTCTGAATTGTCTGAAGTTTAGACACTTCAAACATTGTGAAAAACATCGAAATCAAAAACCTGTTCAACCGAAAGTTGTTTTTGGTGAACAGTAGGTAGAGCAAATTTCGATCGTCAAATGTTGTCTACTTTGAATTTATTTCACTGCTGTATAAGTAAGTGCGTTGATGGTCAAAGCGGGGCACATGTGAGACATATCAATCTGAATGGTTTGTTGTTTTATTGATATGGTTTTGTTCATACTTGATTTTTAAAAGGACCTAGTGGTCTGTCCAGCAATACAGTTCATAGACCCATTATAGCAGGCAGCCTTTATGGTGAAAAAGAATATATTATCCAGATCCCATAAAACAAGATGGCCGCCGTGTCTTCTGATTGTCTGAGACCTTTCCAGTTATAAGTTCTGTTCTGCTAGTCTGATATAGATCATAAATGTTGGTTATTGGTATTTGGTAGACTACATAATATGTGTATAACACTTTATTCCCAATGTTCCAAAATCCAAAGTGATTGATCTAGCTGGCTTCTGCTTGGCTATTATAGGTGATATGTACAGTCATGCTGGGGGCCTTGCTTACCTGGCAGTGTTTTACTTTGTTTCTAAATTTTTGTGTTGTCTTGATTGTCTAGGTGATTAAATGGCAGAATGAAGGTTTACCAAGAGACAACCACTCCACAGAGAATGCCCTCATCATCAAAAGAGCCCAGAAATGGCCGCTGTTCATTGACCCTCAGGGGCAAGCCTTCAAGTAAGTTCATAGACCCATAATAGCAGACTGTCCAGCAATACAGTTCATAGACCCATAATAGCAGACTGTTCAGCAATACAGTTCATAGGCCCATAATATCAGACAATCCAGCAATACAGTTCATAGACCCATAATAGCAGACTGTCCAGCAATACAGTTCATAGACCCATAATAGTAGATTGTCCAGCAATACAGTTCATAGACCCATAATAGCAGACAATCCAGCAATACAGTTCATAGATCCATCATAGCAGACTGCCCAGTAATACAGTTCATAAACCCATAATAGCAGACTGTCCAGCAGTACAGTTCATAGACCCATAATAGCAGACTGTCTAGCAATACAGTTCATAGACCCATAATAGCAGACTGTCCAACAGTACATAGTCAAAGGTTGGCGAATGAGTGTAATCATGTCTTTTTGTCAGAGAAATAAAACTATTGTTAATTTACAAATTTCTCAGTTTTTAGTAGAAGTGATGTTCTTGTATAATCTGAAAATGGAAAACACACAACTAAAAGATAGTTGAGCTGACCTAACTGATGTTCTTGTCTGTTCTGTTCTAAAAGCTATATCCGGGAGATGGAGGGCACACAGCTAAAGATAGTTGCAGCTTCGGACCACAACTTCATGAAGACCTTGGAGATTGCCATTAGTGTGGGAAAACCTATGCTGCTTAAGGTAAGTTTGCTTTCTTTACGACTTTCTGTTGAAAGGACATATATAAGTTTGAAAATTGAAAGGTAAGCAAAATTCATGCAAATTTAATGAGGCTGCTTATTATATAATGATAGTTCCGGAGTGATATCTTTTGAAAGAAGGTAAGACTTCAATGAAACTAGTATAAACTTTCTACCTGAGTCTGTCCCTCTAGCTTCATCCTGGACCAGGTCTACATATATATAATGACACTGCTGTGATTTGATTAGCTGACGGAATTTCGTCAAAATTCTGTTATTGTACCAAGGGTCTATTGAATTAGGAAAGATAAATTGATTAAGTAAATGAATAATTATCATGTCATTAGAACAACTCAAAGATGATGAACTTTCGTTTTATTTCCTGAACAGGATGTATCGGAGACCTTGGATCCGGCTCTGCGACCTGTCCTTCTGCATGAGACATTCCAGCGAGGCGGCCATCTTGTCATCAAGCTCGGAGACACAGAGATTGAATACAATGAATCCTTTAAGTAAGTTACAAGTCAAATATCTACAAATAAGATAATTTCCTATCTTTCACATTTATCATATTCCTACAATAAGCCCAGGGGGCCAACACATAATCTCTAACTCAAAGTAGGGGGAGGGTCTTATAGCCGGACAACACATAATCTCTAACTCAAAGTAGGGAGTGGGGCTTAAAGCAGGACAACACATAATCTCTAACTCAAAGTAGGGGAGGGTTTTATAGCCGGACAACACATACTCTCTAACTCAAAGTAGGGAGTGGGGCTTAAAGCAGGACAACACATAATCTCTAACTCAAAGTAGGGGAGGGGCTTATAGCCAGACAACACATAATCTCTAACTCAAAGTAGGGGGAGGGTCTTATAGCCAGACAACACATAATCTCTAACTCAAAGTAGGGGGAGGGGCTTAAAGATCGACAACACATAATCTCTAACTCAAAGTAGGGGGAGGGGCTTATAGATCGACAACACATAATCTCTAACTCAAAGTAGGGGAGGGCTTTGAGCCGGACAACACATAATCTCTAACTCAAAGTAGGTGGAGGGGCTTATTACAGGACAACACATAATCTCTAACTCAAAGTAGGTGGAGGGGCTTATTACAGGACAATGAAACAGAATTTGTTTGCATTATTACTGAACAGTAAATAACTATAAAAGGTATGGGTGGGCTTATCACCGGACAAATATGGTAAGGATTTTGAAGTAATGTATTTATTAAATTAACGCCCCTATCCAAAGGAACCAACAGATTGATGCTGTAGGAGTATATGGTTGATTTTGGCCCTTTGTGAATCTTCTCCTTTGCCAATGTCTTATGTCAGAATTAAAAACAGATATATCAATAGGACTATTAGACTGAAATTAAAACAAAAACTAAGCAGGTAACATTTTAAAATGATTTGCAGTGACACTATACAATTCAACTCTATGAGTTTCTCTGACGTTGTAGACTGTACATGACGTCGTCTATGGCCAACCCTCACTACCTACCATCGGTGTACATACAAGTCAACATCATCAACTTCACTGTCACATTCGAGGGCCTTCAGGAACAGCTCCTGTCTGCCGTCGTCAAACACGTGAGTTAATGGAAATAAATCAAAATCTTCAACCTTCTGATTATTATATTTATTTTGCTCAGTAAGGCATCTGATATGGCCACTGTGGTCTCAAGTTTGTGCAATAATTACAACCTCTCGTCTAGTTCAGATAACAAAAGAAGCATGCAAGCAATAAAGTAAGAGTCGTTCTCAAGATTACTGCCAAGCATGCAGGTACTCATTTGTATGGCTGTGTTGACTGCAGCAATTTCATTTCAAATCAATTTAATTGTATCAGAAATACAAATGGATTAGACACGGGCAAAAAATGAAACAATCAGGTCTGTAAGTATATAACAGGTAGTTATCTCTAGTGGTATTATTAATTTTGAAATAAGCTGTCAGACATTTTACCACATAATTCACTGTCGCAACTCTGTTGATATGACCTTTCACACAAATAATTTTTACCATATTTCTGTTTTACAGGAGAAGCCAAGACTCGAGAACCAGCGTACCGAGCTGTTAGATAGTATCTCTAGCGACCTGCAGCTCCTAAGGGACGTGGAGGACAAGACACTGGGACTTCTACAGAAACCAGAAGGTAAGGATCATCTCCTACAGGTATTGTCATGGTAACCAAGGCACTGGGACTCCTACAGAAACCAGAAGGTAAGGATCATCTCCTACAGGTATTGTCATGGTAACCAAGGCACTGTGACTCCTTCAGAAACTGGATGGTAAGGATTTTTATATAAAATTAAAGAACATTACATCTACAATGCGTATATGACAGGGCCAACAGGGTAGGAGAAAAAGAATCATTTACAGGTGTCGTGGTTAAAATTATAATACATTATGAGATATATAGTATCTTTAACCGTCTTAGGGGTGAGATAAGGGGACCTAAACCTGAGCTGGTAGATTCTGAAGTTGTCATACACATGGGAATCCCTCCCTGAGAGTTAAGATCCCCATTTCACCCCATGGGTGAACTCGTACAGAAACCAGAAGGTAAGATTAATAGAATCCATCCCTGATGTGAGGTATGGATAAGGTTATCCAAACCCAAAGGATCAAGTATTGAGCTAGAGACCTGAGGCTTGTGTAAGCGATCTAGACCTGTGGGTCGGATAGAATTTTCCAGCATCGCCGGAAATGCGGATATCTCGGTCTAGTATGCAAGAATATCTCCTACAGGTATCATGAAACTTTAAAAGTTTTATAAGACTGTATCTGATTGTGTATCTTATTGACAAACTTCATCATTATTGAAATTGTTACAAAAATTGGATTGGGCTTCATAATGATCAAAATCAGATTATAGTTATATAACTAGTGACCATTGACAATGTACCAGACGGTGTAGACAGATGTGTTTGTTGTTGCCTAGGTAACCTGCTGGATGACCAGGACTTGGTGAACACACTACAGAAAAGTAAAGGCATGTCTATAGAGATTTATAAACGTATCAAGCAGTCGGAGGAGAACGAGACGAAGCTAAATCAGGCACGAAAACGCTACCTGCCCGTAAGTCCTTGTGGGTTTTACTTCTTGCATGTTAATCATCTTTAGTTTCACATTTCAATTCTTTTAACGGTCATCGCCTCTGTAGAGGTTTTGGTGAACTGTTATAGTATATATTCTGATAGATATAACATTTCATATAACTGATAACTGATACAAATTTCACTTGTAAGATATTATATACCATAAAACTTGGAATGTTTCGCCCCAGTTAACTATCGCCATTTTTGTCCTCCGAAATGAGGAAAACTTATCATGTCAAACAAAGTGTGAAGGGCGAAATTAGAGCTGGGCGAATAATGATGTTACCAGTGCAAGGCGAAGGTTTGACGGGGCGAAATTTTCCCCATGTACAGTATAAGTATATAAATAATTATGTTGTTTGTCATGCATCCAAATATTTGCAAATAAGCACAGTTGCAGAAGTTAATATTCACAACAAAAATTTGGTTAACATTATGTTGGGAAAACTCCTCTGTTTCTCATTATTTTGTATTGTCTGCTGTCTTGTTTAGGTTGCCACTAGAGGAGCTACCATTTACTTCGTCTTGGCTAACCTGGCTGGTATTGATGTCATGTACCAGTTCTCTCTGGACTGGTTCCAGGACATGTTCATCAACTGTATCAACGGTTCAGGCAACACGCCAGCTCACATTCCCTCGGACATGAACCGCCGTAAGTCGTCACTCCACCTGAGTGGATCAATACGACCAAGCAGTCGTCTAGGTGCCAGTCCCACTCCAAGAGGCAGCATTGACCTCAGTCTGAAAGACAACGAGCAGACACTTAATCCAGCGGAGCTCAAAAAACACATGTTGGACATGATCAACAGGTCAGTAGGAGTAATGCCCCTTTGTTGATTCTTCACTGGTGAAATGTGTTTGCCTTTCTTAAATTTCACGCTGATTTTGATAAAATTATGCAAAAAGCTTCCATGGCTAAAGACATACCAAAATTATGAAATTACCGTATATGGTTCCCACATAAAGGCCTTAGGGGCTAGCTCAAAGTCAAATATCTCTAACTCAAAGTAGGGGGAGGGGCTTATAGCCGACAACACATTCTAGAATATTTGTTTACAGCTAAAAAGGTTGTAAGGTGCTTAATCAGGATTGTGAAGCTCATTACCCCTGGATCACCTATTCCCCAACGTGGAGGATCAGGATAGACTTAAGTTTATGTTAAAAAAGAAACCACTTTTTTGGGCTTATTTTGTTTATATTCAGTAGGTCATCATGGGACAGCAGTTTGATGGTGTGAAAATGAAAAACCAAACCCCCTACCTACAAATAATAGTCTCATCAAAGTAACAAGACGTACAAAGGACCCAGTTTATGCTTACTCAGGCTCTGTTACCTTGTCTAGATCATTCATGTGTTGGTTTATATATGTAATGGAACTAGACTAGATAAACAGCGACCAGGTAGCTCAACTAGTAGAGTGTCTGTCTGGAGTTCTGAGGGTTCTGGGTTCAAACCCCTGTCTTTCTGTGCATTTTTCCATTTCCTGTTACAGTGGTGCCTGTGACTAACCTTTGTTTCAAGCATTGGGTGTCAAGGCAAGGGGATACCCGAACCTGGGTTATGAGTAGTTGTGTCTACAGGGGCAAAGACTTCATCAGCAACTAGGTAACTTAATTGGTAGCGTGTCCGTCTAGAGTTTGGATGGTCCCGGGTTCAAATCCATGACGTTGCATTTCTCTTTCTCCTGTTACTTATTTGTATTAAAGTTTCGTTTTCTTTATGTATCTGTGTTTTCAGGTTGACGTCCAATATTTATCGTGTGGTGTCTGTGGCGCTATTCTCCAACCACCAGCTGATTTTCTCTTTCTTAATGTGCTCTGGTATAATGCGTTCCAACGCTAAGTACCAAGACATTACCACTATTGGCAAGATTGAGGAATTTGAATGGCAGACGTTTCTCCACGGCAACATCATGACGAACATGATCGAGGATAAGCAACTGGAGGGCCATGATGGTGGGTGTTTAGTTTTTAAAATATTTTACTTTCCAAATTGTTCATTTTTCTAGAATTTTAAATTGATACAGAGCAAATGCATTTCTAAATAAACTGATTCTTGTCCATCAAGTATGAGAAAATTGACCGATTTGAAATCTTGTCTGACTGGCTTTCACTGTCACCAACAATGATCGTTGACAGGTTTGACAGCCATGGAGAGGCTAGAAGCCCAGTCCAACCCAGACAAGGTGAAGATCCCTCCCAAATGGATCATCGATACAACTTGGCGACAAGTTGAGCACCTTGACGTCAGCATGGCCGTGTTCAAGAACTTATGTCGCAGCATCATGACGCACAAGGCCCAGTGGGAGCTATTCCACTTGAACAGTAACCCCTACAAATTAATGCAGAAACCCTTCGACATGGCAGACGTCAAAGGTATGTATAAAATTTGTAGTCTATTGATTAAGCTGTTCTCGTTAACTTAAAATACAAAACCTTTTAAAATGATGTATACGTCTTGTAGGGAGCTAATATATCAATGCAGAGGAAAGTTATTTAATATTTTTTTATATTCAAACTGCATTTATGTTGAGTATATATATGTTTAGAAAAAGTTAACATCCATGGTTTTTGTGGAGAAGTAAGATAAATGGGGCAAGCTTTATTGCAGGCACCCACCCTATTCCTAAGAAATTGGTCAGAGTAGGGGAGGGGGGCTTCTTATTTACTGTAATACAGGTGAGGGCTTATTTGTTGACTAACACAGTTCACGTCTTTGTCTACAAGCAGATGAAATATCAATGCTGAACTTACCAGAGTGGAAAAAATATAGATTTACAGGTTGTAAGGATTCTTGATTTGAACGGAAACAACTGATGTGAGGATTTGTGCATTTCTTAACTGGCAAAAGAAAATACTAAAAAGAATCCCACCTTTATTCTTGCGCAATTCTTCTTTTGAGTTTTGATTACTCTTGTACCCAAAATTAGTGAATTCTATTAAGGAATCCATCAACTTGGTAACACTGATCTTCACTGAACTTACCGCTAGTGGACATTGCCTATAAATCTCCCGTGTACTATTCAGCATGGTACATATGAAATTTTCAGTTCATTTGATGAACTCACGTCGGGTCCTTGCAATGAAGGCTGTAGAAGAACAATGGTCACAATCATATGCAAAAATATATAGCCTTGCAGTAAGTGCTTCAGCCCTTTAGACCCTCACACTTAAGACCATGTGACTTTACAGTAAGTGTTTCTGCCCTTTATATCCTCCAACGTAAGACCATGTGACTTTATAGTAAGTGTTTCTGCCCTTTATATCCTCCAACAGAAAACCATGTGACTTTACAGTAAGTGTTTCTGCCCTTTAGATCTTCCGACTGAAGACCATGTGACTTTACAGTAATTGCTTCTGCCCTTTAGATCTTCCGACTGAAGACCATGTGACTTTATAGTAAGTGTTTCTTCCCTTTATATCCTCCAACTGAAGACCATGTGACTTTAAAGAAAGCGTTTCTGCCCTTTATATCCTCCAACTGAAGACTGTGTGACTTTATAGTAAGTGTTTCTGCCCTTTATATACTCCAACTGACGACCATGTGACTTTACAGTAAGTGATTCTGCCCTTTATATCCTCCAACTGAAGACTGTGTGACTTTATAGTAAGTGTTTCTGCCCTTTATATACTCCAACTGACGACCATGTGACTTTACAGTAAGTGATTCTGCCCTTTATATCCTCCAACTGAAGACTGTGTGACTTTATAGTAAGTGTTTCTGCCCTTTATATACTCCAACTGAAGCCCATGTGACTTTACAGTAAGTGTTTCTGCCCTTAATATACTCCAACTGAAGACCATGTGACTTTACAGTAACTGTTTCTGCCCTTTATATCCTCCAACGTAAGACCATGTGGCTTTATAGTAAGTGTTTCTGCCCTTTATATACTCCAACTGACGACCATGTGACTTTACAGTAAGTGATTCTGCCCTTTATATCCTCCAACTGAAGACGATGTGACTTTAAAGTAAGTGTTTCTGCCCTTTATATCCTCCAACTGAAGACTGTGTGACTTTATAGTAAGTGTTTCTGCCCTTTATATCCTCCAACTGAAAACCATGTGACTTTATAGTAAGTGTTTCTGCCCTTTATATCCTCCAACTGAAAACCATGTGACTTTATAGTAAGTGTTTCTGCCCTTTATATCCTCCAACGTAAGACCATGTGACTTTATAGTAAGTGTTTCTGCCCTTTATATCCTCCAACGTAAGACCATGTGACTTTATAGTAAGTGTTTCTTCCCTTTATATCCTCCAACTGAAGACCATGTGACTTAACAGTAATTGTTTCTGCCCTTTAGATCTTCCGACTGAAGACCGAGTGACTTTACAGTAAGTGTTTCTGCCCTTAATATACTCCAACTGAAGACCATGTGACTTTATAGTAAGTGTTTCTTCCCTTTATATCCTCCAACTGAAGACCATGTGACTTAACAGTAATTGTTTCTGCCCTTTAGATCTTCCGACTGAAGACCATGTGACTTTACAGTAATTGCTTCTGCCCTTTAGATCTTCCGACTGAAGACCGAGTGACTTTACAGTAAGTGTTTCTGCCCTTAATATACTCCAACTGAAGACCATGTGACTTTACAGTTAGTGTTTCTGCCCTTTATATCCTCCAACTGAAAACCATGTGACTTTATAGTAAGTGTTTCTGCCCTTTATATCCTCCAACAGAAAACCATGTGACTTTACAGTAAGTGTTTGTGCCCTTTAGATCCTCCAACTGAAAACTATGTGACTTTACAGTAATTGTTTCTGCCCTTTAGAACCTCCGACTGAAGACCATGTGACTTTGCAGTAATTCTTTCTGCCCTTTAGATCCTCCGACTGAAGACCATGTGACTTTACAGTAATTGCTTCTGCCCTTTAGATCTTCCGACTGAAGACCATGTGACTTTATAGTAAGTGTTTCTTCCCTTTATATCCTCCAACTGAAGACCATGTGACTTAACAGTAATTGTTTCTGCCCTTTAGATCTTCCGACTGAAGACCATGTGACTTTACAGTAATTGTTTCTGCCCTTTAGAACCTCCGACTGAAGACCATGTGACTTTACAGTAATTCTTTCTGCCCTTTAGATCCTCCGACTGAAGACCATGTGACTTTACAGTAATTGTTAATGCCTTTTAGATTCCTGGACATATGACATTGTGGCTTTATATTAATTTTTTCTCTCATTTAGATCCTCCAACTGATAGCCCTGATGGGTTGGTGATGGACTGGGAAAATCTCTCCGGTTTCCAGAAACTTCTGCTCATAAAAGTCCTGCGTCCAGAGACTCTCATCTCATCAGTATCCGCGTTTATCCGAGACCAGATGGATAGCAGTTACCTGTCCACTGGGACCTTTGACCTCAAGGAAATCTACGAGGAGTCCTCTGCAAAAACTCCTCTTATCTTCATCCTTTCACCAGGTAAAGGAAGGGAAATCAAACACCCCCCTAGTCATCCTCTTGTCACAGTAATGAATTATCTAGTCACTTGTTTCATGGCTAGAGGGATTTCCCTTTAGACCAATAGTCAGAATACTGGACTCAAAATCTGTAGTCCGCCTCAGTTACCTGTTCACCAAGTAACGGCTTGGAGCTTATAAACACCAGTCCTCTTCATTGTGACAGGGGTTGGGGTTAGAAGATGTGTATGTGAGCTCAATACTGTTTATGAATGACATTTTTTGTTCCCACTATGTTGGGGGGGGGGGAGGAGGGGACGAAAAGTGTTACCCATGTCCATTGCGTCCCAGCACAGTAATTATTACACAATGTCTGTAACTGAGGAATTTCCCTTTAGACCAATAGTTTTTCTCTGGGAACTCCTGCTGTCCTCCACCACCTAAACCTGGCACGTCCTTAAATGACTATATATAGCTGTTAATAGGACGTAAAACACAAACAAACCAAGCCAATCCATTTGTCCAGTTGGCAATGTAAAGAAATCAAAGTACTGGAAGTACTGAAGGAGACGTTAATAATGAAATGTAAAAGGTGAAATTTGAAATAAAGCAATTATAGATGCCACCACAATTATTGATACACATTCAAGAGCAAGTACTTATTTTTAAACTTAGAACTATTAACCATCAAAGTTACCCACTTATCAAACACTGGAACTTCAGATAATTTTCAACTGGAATGTCGCCAGGATGGTTGACTTATACCCCCGCTCTCCCATTCAGACTTATTTCCACTCTGGCCCAATACTTGTTGATAAATATAAAAAGGGGAAAATAGCAGATCAAACAGTAATCAAAGTGACATTTATTTTCATTTGCTTCGTAATTTGTAGTTTCAGCCAGATGTAAGTAACATGTAGTTATGGACATTTTGTGTTTACACCATTTCTTATGACTTTTATGTCCCCCAAACGAAGTTTGAGGAACATATTGTTTTTGGTCCGTTTCTTATTATTAACATTATAATTGTTGTTATTATTATTATGTCCCCCAAAAGAAGTTTGAGGGACATATTGTTTTTGGTCCATTTCTTCTTATTATTGTTGTTGTTATTATTATTATTCTTTCAATAGCTTCCGCCACGCACTTGTCTGATTCAACCGCATAGGTTTCGTTGCCGTAGCAACCACCCGGAGGCTTCTGATTGGTCGCAATTTTGATATTTTTCAATTTTTATGAAAATTGGTATATAGGGGTATTAGGGGACTGAGAATTCAACCGCATAGGTTTCGTGACCATAGCAACCACACACAGGCTTCTGATTGGTCAAAATTTAGATATTGTTCGTTTTTTATGAAAATTGGTATACAGGGGTATTAGGGGACTGCAAATTCAACCACATAGGGTTCGTTACCATAGCAACCACACAGAGACTTCTTGATTGGTCGAAATTTAGAAATTGTTCTGATGCATCTATGCCACTATGGGTGCAGTTTGGGGGACATCTGTAATGGTCCCCCATTACAATTAGTACTTGTTATTATTATTCTTCTTTCAATAGCTTCTGCAGCGAACTTGTCCGAACATTTTCTCAGAGATGACTGGACAGAACTTAATGAAACTTTGCAAACATATAGAGGAACATGAGGAGGTGTGCATATGGGGGTTTATATTCCAATAGGACAACAGTAATGGGCATATGTAGTTGCATTCAAGTCTTTATTATCTATTTCAAACTCTGTACTTTCGCTCGAAAGAAATTACTGACCTCACGTCCGATTGGTAACGGCAGGCGTTATAAACACCTCCGTAAAAAGGGAGGGAGTTCTTTAATAATGGCAGTAAGTGAGGTGTTAAAAAATAATTGATAGCCGTTAATCCATATTGGCCCAATGTTAATTTCGTCTTTCACATGTAATAATTATTATGGTTTGCAGTATACTAATACTTGTTTTCATGATAACATTTCCCTCGTTACAGAGAGTAAAAATGGAAGACAAGTTCAACTGTAGCAAAAATGACGGCATAGAGATTTTGAGATTAGTCTTTGAATTATCTGATTTTCGTCTCACAGCAGTGATTTATTCTATAATCAGAGAATACCAGCTATCCAGTTGAAAACAATATTGACTTCAATAATTTGACACTGACCTTTTCCACTTTCTAGGCTGTGATCCTGCGGCGCAGCTGCTGCGTTTCGCTAAGGAGCTGAGGGGAAGTATCCTCCACCTGGACATGATCTCCCTGGGGCGGGGCCAGGGTCCTAAGGCTGAGGAGCTCATCAACAAGGCTCAGATCCTCAAAGGACGCTGGGTGTTCCTTCAGAACTGCCATCTTGCCGCGTCCTGGATGCCTAACCTACAGGCCATTGTAGAAAGGTACTGTTGGTAGAATTGAACTAATTTCTACCTTTTTATGTTAGGCAGTTACCACTTTCTAAAAGGAAACAAATTCAAAGAAGAGCGATTCAGAATTCTGAAATACCAGTTCTATGGTGGGTTAAGAGTTCTTTACTGGAAGTTTTTTTTTTTTCAAAATTCAAAATACCTGATTCCTACACCTTCCCAGCATTCAATGCCCCTCATTATATATAAAGAGCACTATCATAATTACATATCCAAAGCTTTGTTCCTAGAAAGAATAAAAAAAATTCATTGAGGCCTCAGTAAGTATTTCAGTGGACGCCATATGTTTTTTTTTATTGTTTTAAGTAAATTTGCAAGTAACTGAAAGAGCTGCATTTAAAATACTGAGAATTATGCTTGTGGTGTGTCATTTAAAATGCCTGATTTTATCTGTATCCGTATTTCAGCTTGTTTTTGCCTTGTGTGATATGCCTACAGTATATAATTATGTGCTACAGATGCTTTTAAGTGTTTTGCCTGTTTGCAGTGTGTGTGATAGATTATTCAATCATAAAATATTATGTAGAAAAACTTAAAACTTTGCCTGTACATCATCAAATATTGGGTTTCAAATATGCCCATTCACATATTGTTTTCAAACTTTGCAAACATTTCACTACAGTTCAATCTCCATTAAAACTGAGTTTTGTCATTTTTATAAATGCAAGTGTAGGACAAAGTGGATCTCCCAGCAAACATTTTTTTTTAGTTCACATAAGAATCATGTGAACTACCGGTATATTTACTGCTGTCCATTTTTCCATTCCTGTGTCATCCGTCATACTTTCTACTTTTTCAACTTTGAAGTCAAATTCTACTGAGCTGATAATTTAGCTGAAACTGAGTGGGAATGATAATTTTGCAGCTTATATAAAATCCAAAATGGCTGCCGTAAAGGCCATCTTGAAAACATATTTTGAACTTGAATTTAAGTTTTTAAATTTAATGGAAATAATTTGATTGTATTGTATAATACAGATGCATGGACTAACATTAAGCTAATTTCACCAAATAAATGTAAGTAGGTGCACCACAGCAGTTTTACTTACCCCCATACCCTAAGCTTTATTAATAATCATCAACATTTTAGGCTGCAGCTTGCAGCTAGAAGAATGATAAAAATGGTCTGAGATGAAATCCCAAAGGGTATGCCAGCTTATGCCATGGTGTGTCAGCTGTCGTCTGTCGGTCAATTGTCCCTTTTTCCATTGTCCATCAACTTTTCGTTTATAAACTCAGTGTGCCCATCCTGGAGGCAATGGGAGGGGGACTAGTCCCTGAGTTGTTACGAGGTTCATGAAAATACGCATAGATCACCAGTATGAGGAGACAGACACAATCATGCTACCAGGATTTGTCCATGTTCAGGCTTGCCCTTGACTACTTAGTCCTAGGGCCATTAAATGGAAAACAATGGAGAAAGTATTTCTACAAAATTTGCTATGAAGCATCTTTGAAATTAGAAAATCAAATGTTATATAAAAGAATAGTGTTGTCAACAATGATACTGAGAGGCAGAGAACAAAATGGGAAAACTTTATAGTATAGCTATGAGAATATTTAACTCTTAATTGCTTTAATATCCAAGTGAGTAATACAGGCCCTCTGTGCCTCTTGGTTGTACAGAGTAAAAACTTTGAAAGGCCCACCAGTCAACTTCCGACTTGGTTTGTAATAATTTGTTTTCAAACAATTTTTTACCTGAATGTTTTACCTATGTAATAGGTATGTGATTGTCTACATAGCTCGTTACCTGAATGTTTTACCTATATAATAGGTATGTGATTGTCTACATAGCTCGTTACCTGAATGTTTTACCTATGTAATAAGTATGTGATTGTCTACATAGCTCGTTACCTGAATGTTTTACCTATGTAATAGGTATGTGATTGTCTACATAGCTCGTTACCTGAATGTTTTACCTATGTAATAGGTATGTGATTGTCTACATAGCTCGTTACCTGAATGTTTTACCTATGTAATAGGTATGTGATTGTCTACATAGCTCGTTACCTGAATGTTTTACCTATGTAATAGGTATGTGATTGTCTACATAGCTCGTTACCTGAATGTTTTACCTATGTAATAGGTATGTGATTGTCTACATAGCTCGTTACCTGAATGTTTTACCTATGTAATAGGTATGTGATTGTCTACATAGCTCGTTACCTGAATGTTTTACCTATGTAATAGGTATGTGATTGTCTACATAGCTCGTTACCTGAATGTTTTACCTATGTAATAGGTATGTGATTGTCTACATAGCTCGTTACCTGAATGTTTTACCTATGTAATAGGTATGTGATTGTCTACATAGCTCGTTACCTGAATGTTTTACCTATGTAATAGGTATGTGATTGTCTACATAGCTCGTTACCTGAATGTTTTACCTATGTAATAGGTATGTGATTGTCTACATAGCTCGTTACCTGAATGTTTTACCTATGTAATAGGTATGTGATTGTCTACATAGCTCATTACCTGAATGTTTTATCTCTATGTCTCCAATGTCACTCTTTAGATTGGTAGGACGAACTTACTTTTACCGAAGGTAAGTATTAGAATAGAAATGGACACGGACAGGAAGAAGACACTTTAGGATGCATGCTGGGTAGCATTGGGTTCCATCTTGGAAATTTTCTATATTAAGTTTCTTTGATGATATTATTAGCAGTAGCTATAACAAATCCGGTAATATTCGTTATTTGTCATTGGTTTTCAGATTTCCAGCTTAACTAAATCAGGAATGAAAGTCTCTTTCATTTACCTTTATATATATATGGTAGTCTCTGAATTAATATTTTCAATTACTGCGCCATGAAAGCATTAATGATTATGTTTTATACAAGTATTTCACAGTGACAGGATGTCAGAATTTTAGTCTACCTCAGACGAGGTATATGTTACAGTATGTCTGAAGTCAACCAGGTAACTCTATACACTTGCAAGTCAAAGAATAAACATGTGAATCTGTTTATGTACATATATATATTTTGATAATTTCTTTCCTTTTTTGTTTTAATAAAGATTTTTTTCCAAAAATATTCAATATATTTTATATTAAATTAAGAGCAAAATAACTCTTTATGTTATTTATCATTTCTTGAGAAAATCTGTCAAAAACTTGTATTTAACACATTCACCCCTGAAAACACATTTGAACTCTTCCAATTAAAAGGTTGGAATAATTCATTATGAAATGTCAGGGGTCAATGAGTTAAAGGAATCATTACAAAGTATACATACTGAAAAATGTCATGGACTTTTGGTAGAAAACCCTGATATTTGACCATTAGTTCCAGGATTTTGATTTATGAGTGATCACATGTATGCAAATGTTAGAAACTTGAAACATAAAGATATTAACTTGTTTGACATTATTATTCAAATATAGACTTGCATTAACGTTCTTTTGTTGGAAAAGTCAATTACGACTTTCCCACATGATAAGTTAGTCTTTGTGAGTGTACCTATGAGCATTTATCAATAGTCTGGTAAGTTGTAATTTACGTAGTGGGTCATGGTGTAAATGATTTGATACAATTAGTTTATCTTTATCTCTATCATAGACCAATGGCAATGGGTCCTGAATTATCTTTATTCAGAAAAGTTGTTATATAATGATCTTCACCGTTTGCCCAATTCTATAGATATTTTTCGCAATTAAAATGTAAATATCCAACAATTAACGATAGGAATACTCCACTGATAGGAATACTCCACTGATTTTATGCAGTAGTAAAGGAACAACTACATAGAAAAAAAGACATTTATCAGTAGTTTGTTTTTATGAATATTGATGTTTTAGTTGCCAAAATATTTGAGGAAGATGTGTGTGGCAGTCACTGTTACGTAGGATTACAGCATGAATAGGATTGGGTTTTAGTCTTAGTATCAGAATTATCTGCTTTGATTAACGTTGCAAACATTCTATGCAGAAGGTGGTATGGGAATTTTTATAATTATTACATATGCAAATAGTATTGCTTTGCAAGCAATTAACAGAACAATTCAAGCTTTTAATGCTGATGCTGCATTTTTGTTTTGCCCCCCTCCCCCCTCCCCACTAACTTTTTTTTCTCTCTCTATCAATATGCCAGGTATTTGTTAACCATGTTGTCACCCTGGTAAAATACTAGCAGCTCCCTACCGACTCAGCTAGGAAGAATTTCTCTTTAGCCCATTCAGTAGAGTGTAAGACTAGTAAGCCAGCTAGAGGTCCCGGGTTCAACTCCTAGCGGAGGCAATGAAATAATAATGACCACTGTTACGATGTAGATTTTTTTTGATTTTTTTATATATAACAAGCATGCAAGCAACATAAGCATGTCATAAAAAGCCGCTGAATATATTGATTTAATATTTCTGAATAGCCAATTATTACCAAATATTTGTTTTGTATACACATATATGTTCATATGCTGTAGACATTGATTCAAGAATCTTATATCAACATGAGGGTCTTATTTAAAAAAATACTTGAATAGTAAATCATCCTGATAAATGTTGCATTAATTTCATGGTAAACAAAATCTGTTAATAGTACCTTTCACCATAGTCCCAATGTAGCTGTGACTTCTAAATGTTTGTTGTATGCCATTTTATAAGGCTATTTAACTCATGTGAATGTGAAGACCCCCTGGGCCTTTTGTTTTGTAACTCATCAACCTTGGTAACATGAGTCATAAATGTGTCCTTTTACTACAGTTTTAACAGGTTTTGCAGTTAATTAAAGGAAGCTTCATGTCAAGCAAAAATAAAATGTCTTCTTCCTTTTTGATAGGTTTAATCAACCCAATGATGATGTGGACCAACAGTTCCGCCTCTGGCTCAGTTCCAAACCTGACCCCTGCTTCCCGATCTCCATCCTGCAGACCGGCATGAAGGTACTGTAGTTCATTACTCTGAAAATCTTGTCAAGATACCATTTGTAGAAAAAAACAATCATGCCCTTTGTCCCTCCAAAACAATCCTCTTTCCTCAGGAGAACAGACTCTCTACACATCTCTCTGATTCCTTGTCATATGGCTCATAACTTCATTTTGTTGGTAAAAGGAAAATGAATTTCGATGTTATTTTTGCAAGATGCTTTAGTTAATAACAACCAATAGCTCGTCTAAACATCCAATAGCTCATCTAAACATCCAATAGCTCATCTAAACATCCAATAGCTCATCTGAACATCCATTAGCTCATCTAAACATCCAAAAGCTCAGCTCATCTAAACATCCGATATCTCATTTAAACATCCGATATAACATCCGATATCTCATCTAAACATCCGATATCTCATCTAAACATCCAATAGCTCATCTGAACATTCAATAGCTCATCTAAACATCCGATATCTCATCTTAACATCCAATATCTCATCTAAACAACCAATAGCTCATCTGAACATCCAATAGCTCATCTAAACATCCAATCGCTCATCTAAACATCTGATAGCTCATCTGAACATCCAATCGCTCATCTAAAAATCCAATCGCTCATCTAAACATCCTAAACATCCGATAGCTCATCTGAACATCCAATAGCTAATCTAAACATCCAATAGCTCATCTAAAAATCCAATAGCTCATCTTAACATCTAATAGCTCATCTTAACATCCAATAGCTCATCTAAAAATCCAATAGCTCATCTTAACATCTAATAGCTCATCTTAACATCCAATAGCTCATCTAAAGATCCAATAGCTCATCTGAACATCCAATAGCTCATCTAAGTTGCCTGCCTTATTTTGACCAATCACTTGTCAGCTAAGTTGACTCTTGTTAAACAATAGCCTATATGCTCTGCACAGATGACTGTGGAGCCTCCGCAGGGCCTGAAGGCCAACATGCTGCGAGCCTTCGGGAGTGGAGGGACTGGAGTGGTCACAGAAAAGATGTACGAGAACCCGGAGCTCGGACCTGCCTGGAAAAAACTACTCTTCGGCCTCTGTCTCTTCAACAGTGTCTTACATGAACGAAAAAAATATGGCCGTCTTGGCTGGAATATTGCATACGAATTCAACGACTCCGATTTAGATGTAAGTATTTGTCAAAACATATATAATGAATTCAATGACTAAAATTTGAAAAAAAAGATAAAAAAAATAATAATAATAATTTAAAACAATTAATAAACAAGTTATTTCAACTTATATTTCTTGTTGGCACGGAGGGGGGAGGGGGGTGGGGGGGTCTTAATGGGGGAGAAAACCAGAGAACCCAGAGAAAATCCATGTGGTCGGGCAGGTGAAAGGCAAGTTGGCTATCCGCTGTGCCATGTGACCACCCAAATTTAGACTTGAACACTTTTTTTACAAATATTTGTCATAAAGCCTGCATATATTAAACAGTAGAATGTTGGTTTACTGATCAAAGTGTCATAGGTTTGAATCCTGCTGGCAGCAGTTACTCATTTAGTACTTAAGATGTATTCTTCTACACACTTTACATACATTGTTGCAGTTTACCAAGCTGTACAGATATGTGCCAGCATTCTGGGAAGTAATCCTGTTGAAAACTCTTTTCAGAAGAGTGTCATTACCTGTCTTGTGTAAGCAAGCTTGTCAAAATCAAGCCTGGTGTCGACTTTTGCTTTAGAACTTATTACAGGGTTGATGATAAAAAAAAGAATAGAAAGATTATGAAAAAAATACAACATTTTACAGTAGATTTTCAAAAGTCAAACAGTAACCATGTAGGTAAATTGTATATTTCTATTATTCCAGGTATCTATGCTGACTCTTCAAAACCTTCTGCGCGATCATGATGACGACAATATCCCATGGCAGGCACTCTCCTACCTGACAGGGGAGGTAATTTACGGGGGTCGGGTGACAGATTGGTGGGATAGACGTTGTTTGGATGCACTACTGGGTCGATTTTTCTGCAAGGATGCTTTAGATGAGACCTACAGTTATTCACCAGATCGGGTAAGCTTGGTAACTCGTGTATGATCACCTTTCAACTTTTAACCTTTAACCTTTAACCTGGTCATTGCCTGTGTTTCCAATAGATGTTGTGTTAATTCCTCTTCAAATTATTTGTTGTTTATTAACCTTGGTCAATGTCTGTGTTTCAAATAGTATCTGCAAATTATTCTTTGAGCATTTCGTTTATCCAAACTTCGAAAAGTTCCAATTTTTATGGAGCCTTCAATTGTCCGGAAGGATAAATTTTCCATAAGGTTTTGATCATCCTAAAGGATTTTTCAAGCTTGTTTAGCAGTACTTTGGTCAGTATTTTGTTTTATAAATATGGATATCCATGTGTTTCCCAGAAAACAATTTTGTTTTTGATGGTTTTGAAGATCAGAATAGGCTATCTACTGCTTGAAAATTAAATCAGGGACTAAGGCTATTTATTGGATTAATAATAGTAATTCATAATTCAACAGACATTGAAATAAATATTGAAAAATATAAACATTTTAAAATCCATAAAATTGTGGCATCGAAGAAGCAAATATTTATATTGTGAATTTGTGTGCTATAAAAGCCTGTTCTTGTCACTGTGTGTTGCCTTGAGCTGTTAATAGCTTGCATGATCATGTAAAACGTCCTTTCAACATCAGATTTATTGCTTGTAGCACGTCTTTTCATAATCGGTTTATTTTCAATGGATTATGTATGAAGATAGGGTCAGAAGATCACATATAATTAAGGGAATGAAATGGCCAATTTATCAGTGTTGTTTTTAGCTCACCTGGTCCGAAGGACCAAGGTGAGCTTATGCCATACCATGGCGTCCGTCGTCCATCGGTCCGATGAATTGATCCTGGGGTCTGGCCACAACCCTAGGGACCTAGTTTCTGAGTCAAAGCTTGGAAACAGTTGAGATCCCCACCCCATAACCATACATAAAATTGCTCGGCATGAAGAATCTAATACAGATATGCTACAAGGATTGGCCTTGGGGTCTGGCATATTCCCTTGATCTCATACGGAGAATATTTTGCCATGATTGCTTTGGTATCCAGGTGAGCGATACAGGCCCCACTGGGCCTCTTGTTTATTCATAAATTGAAACCTGCTTTCAAAAAGTGTTTTTATAAGCATATATTAATGATTGGATTATACATATTATGGAATTATTATTTCAAATTTAAATGGTTTGCTTTCTTAATTCCAACTCTTTATCAACAAGTCTTAAGCGCTTTGTTCTAAGAGGAAAATACTGTCAGTTGAAGCATGGTTTAGCAGGAGAGGATGCCTGATTGCATTAACTCATTCACCCCTGAAATTTCATAATGAACTATTCCAACCTTTGTATTGGAAGTGTTAAAATGTGTCTTTAGGGGTGAATGAGTTAAGAGTGTTGTAGTAGTGTGAACCCTAACAGAGGTTGCTAGGCATCATGTCACTAGGTGTGTGCATGTAATGATGGTGTGTGCTTTGCGTGACATAACATATAGCAACTCTTTTTAGAGAAATTGTTTCACAGGCGGCCAATAACTTCACTTAGCTACATTTGATAGCAGTAATTAGACCCTGGTACCACAGGAGGGGAGTATAGGTTTAAACTCTGTCCATATGTTATGTCCGTCTGCCGTTTAGTTTGTCAGTCCATCATTTCCTTCAGGTTATATCTCTGACAATTTCCAAATTTTATTTGTGAGCGCCTCTTGTCTGAGTGTAGAGAACTAAAATCTGGTCTTGTGGAGTAAATCATTTATGTTTCCCATTCAATAAAATACATTGTAAATAACGTTTATATTTCAAAAGTGTAGCCCGATATTCTCATTATGTGTTAGCTGAGAGAACCACAGCTCAAAGGCTGAATCAAATTTTTTGATTTTGAAATTTTATATATCCAACCAGCAGTAAAAAAAGAAAAAAAAAGTTTTGTTACTCTTGTGAAATACAAAATCTATTGTTAAAGAATGGATTGACATTATCAGTAAATTTTCCATCGTAATTCTTCCTATATGTGTCAGACAGCATCGTATCACAGTGTGATGTTGTCACACGTCCCACCTTTCCGTATCGTCTGTTGTTGTACTGTTATGTGGCGGTTTGTTGTCCAGGTCCTGTACGAGGTAAGCTAACGTTACATGTTACTTGCATGTCTATAACTACAGGGAGGGCTCACACAAGTCCTCCCCGTCCTCCTCATCCTCCCCGTCCTCCTCGTCCTCCTCGTAGTGTTCGACTGCTCTGTCTGGGTAGGGTAGGTATTCCTCGTGTCAGTATCAGACCAAAGCTGCCTAAATTTTATAGCCTTTTAGCCTTTATCAGTTCTTACCCATGATCATAGAAATAGACATATAGAGAACAAAGATTCCTTGCATTCTGTAGCGAAGAAGAAACCATGCTAGATTTGCAAATTTAAACTGTTACTGGTTCATTTTCAAAGTGAATTAAGCAATCTGTCATTTTTTTCCATAAAACCTAGGGAACCCTTCCCTTTTTGTCTCTGGTGTAATGCCTATCAGATACATAGGTTTCCACTCAATGTTGTTAGACTTGTCCCTGTAATAGTCTGTGTTCTGATCCATGTAATACACTAGAGTGAGCCTTTCACAATCGATAGAGGGGAGGTAATCTGGTAGTTTCCCCTTATGTACTATATTCCAATGGTAGGTAACTGGTAGTTTCCCTTATAACTCCTGTCTGATAAAGGGAGGTAATCTGGTAGTTTCCCTTAGGAACTGTCTGATAAGGGAAGGTAATCTGTTAGGTTCCCTTGGGTACTGTCTGATAAAGGGAGGTAATCTGTTAGTTTCCCTTAGGTACTGTCTGATAAAGGGAGGTAATCTGTTAGTTTCCCTTAGGTACTGTCTGATAAAGGAAGGTAATCTGTTAGGTTCCCTTGGGTACTGTCTGATAAAGGGAGGTAATCTGGAAGGTTCCCTTGGGTACTGTCTGATAAGGGGAGGTAATCTGGTAGTTTCCCTTAGGTACTGTCTGATAAAGGGAGGTAATCTGTTAGTTTCCCTGAGGTACTCTCTGATAAAGGGAGGTAATCTGGAAGGTTCCCTTGGGTACTGTCTGATAAGTGGAGGTAATCTGGTAGTTTCCCTTAGGTAATGTCTGATAAGGGGAGGTAATCTGGTATTTTCCCTTAGGTACTGTCTGATAAAGGGAGGTAATCTAGTAGTTTCCCTTAGGTAAAGTCTGATAAGGGGAGGTAATCTTGTAGTTTCCCTTTGGTACTGTGTGATAAGGGCAGGTAATCTTGTAGTTTCCCTTGAGTACTGTCTGATTAAGGGAGATAGTCTGTTAGCTTCCCCGAGGTACTGTCTAATAAAGGGAGGTAATCAGTTTGTAAATCTTAGGTACTGTCTGATAAGGGGAGGTAATCTGGTAGTTTCCCTTAGGTAATGTCTGATAAGGGGAGGTAATCTGGTATTTTCCCTTAGGAACTGTCTGATAAGGGGAGATAATCTGGTAGTTTTCCTTAGGTACTGTCTGATAAAGGGAGGGAATCTGTTAGTTTCCCTGAGGTACTCTCTGAAAAAGGGAGGTAATCTGGAAGGTTCCCTTGGGTACTGTCTGATAAGGAGAGGTAATCTGGTAGTTTGCCTTAGGTACTGTCAGATAAGGGGGGTAATCTGGTAGTTTCCCTTAGGAACTGTCTGATAAGGGGAGGTAATCTGGTAGTTTGCCTTAGGTACTGTCTGATAAGGGGGGTAATCTGGTAGTTTCCCTTAGGAACTGTCTGATAAAAGGAGGTAATCTGGTAGGTTCCCTTGGGTACTGTCTGATAAAGGGAGGTAATCTGGTAGTTTCCCTTAGGTAATGTCTGATAAGGGGAGGTAATCTGGTAGTTTCCCTTTGGTACTGTGTGATAAGGGGAGGTAATTTTTGTAGTATCCCTTAAGTACTGTCTGATTAAGGGAGATAGTCTGTTAGCTTCCCTTAGGTACTGTCTAATAAAGGGAGGTAATCAGTTTGTTAATCTTAGGTACTGTCTGATAAGGGGAGGTAATGTGGTAGTTTCCCTTAGGTACTGTCTGATAAGGGGAGGTAATCTGTTAGTTTCCCTTAGGTACTGTCTGATAAGAGGGGGGGGGGGGGGTAATCTGGTAATTTCCCTTAGGAACTGTCTGATAAGGGGATGTAATCTGGTAGTTTCCCTTTGGTTCTGTGTGATAAAGGGAGGTAATCTGGTATTTTCCCTTAGGTACTGTCTGATAAGAGGAGGTAATCTGGTAGTTTCCCTTAGGTACTGTCTGATAAAGGGAGGTAATCTGGTAGGTTCTGTTTATCTGCCATGCCCAGGTGGAGTAGTAAACACTGCAAGTCTACACCAAGCATGCTACTTTGAGTCATTTATACAATTATAGCCTCTTTTTAATGCATGGTCCTCATACAGGCAATATTATTTACATATATTTATATACTTCAATATGTTCTTCTACACAAATTTATATACAATATATGCTTAGTTATTTGTTTATACAACATGCAATAATTCAGACTTGTTTGGAATTATAATCATGTGGTAGTAATTCAGTCTTATACATATTTAGACCCTTCGTTATCCTTAGGACCTGATAACAAGAGGCCTGAAGGTAATTTAAAGATATGGACTGTCTTCAGGCCCTCTAGGCCTCTTGTTATACAAGGTATGATTTGAAATCTGTCACATACAATCAATGCTATGGTATCCATAATCATTTTTATACGATAGAAAAACCGATGATAGATGTACAGATGATATATACAATACACATAAGGTTTATGATCAAAACCAGACTTTCTTGGAGGTGTATACTACAACCATTTTGTTAGCCATTTCAAGTTGATCACATTGGGCAGATGGTTATTATCCACTGCATCAATAAACAGTAGATAGGAATTTGCATGCAAGTATATACAAGAATTTATTAGACCTTTCTCATATTGGGGTAGACCTAGCACGCATCGTGGAGACAGAAGCCTAAACAAGGAAATACAGGGGTCATTTCAAAAATATATTTTATATGGAAAGTAGCATATAAGGTATGTCAGAGTGTGTACACACATGAACGTGACTACCTGTGAGAGAACAGGTAACATCATAATTATGGAGACACATTTACAAAACATTTCCGCAACGCCTGATACAGAATTATGTGTTGCCAGCAGGGGGACAGAAATACAGATGAAATGAAAAATATTTTTGAGATGGTCCCTGGATTTGCTAGTCTCGTTGTCGGTCTCAGGTTCTGTGCTAGGTCTGCCTCAAAATGAGAAATGTCTGTTACATATATACATATACATATTAAATGATTCTGAATGCCTGCACTGCCACTATCACTAAGGTGCTAAGAACATCTGTATTCCTCTTTTTCTTGATCAGAGTATTGCTTCGTCCATGCTTTGTTTCTTTGTGAGCTTGTTTTACAGAATGACCTGCTGCCACATCCCTTGTGTTTCAGTCACCAAGTTAAGGCTATGCTTTTCTTAATTTGCAGTACCGATATATTGTAGACCTGTTGTAAGATCTACATTTTATTTGTTGAAGCTGAGGGCCTAACAAAGCAAAACGATTTAATATTGCTATTTTCTCTAGAGCACATTTTTAAATGCTTAAAAGTATGATATTATTGTTGACAACTTTTTAACCCTCCTCAAATGACTTCTTCTCAAGACCCAGAAGGTCTTTATAGCCGTGATGATTGGTTTGTAGCTCGCTGGCTTGGACTGCTACAAAATGTTTAAAAAGAATTTTGTATTCCAGGTCATAGGGTTAAATTTATCAAAACTCAATTATATTTGGCCTACATTGCTTGGGAGAAGATTGTCACGTTTAAAAATTAGAAAATTAACCCACATTTAAGACCACATGGGTCATATGTATAAAAAAAATAAAAAAATCTATAACCTCTAATAAAAAATAATTGCAGTATTAATTTTTGTCTGTATATAGAATACACGCTAAACTCTATTCTGATATCATTATCATTGGTCCTCAGATCTATCACCCAGTTAAGGATTCTTACACCTTCCCCGACGTTCTAAACTACCTGGAGAATCTACCTAACTACGATTCACCGGAGCTGTTTGGGATGACGGAGAATGCTGAGAAAGCGTGTCGAGAAATACAGGCAGTACAGATGATCCAGACCATTATTACAATACAGCCACGAATATCGCTGGAACTCATGGGGTAATGAGCCTTAATGTTTGAATAATTTCATATTTGTAAACAAATATTCTGAAAAGTCTTCAGCAAATTACTATGATTTAGTGAAATATAAATCTTTCATCATCATGCAAATAATTTTAATTCAAATACACGTATTATGTAACTAAAATTATTTCAAGATAATCATAATCTGATGCATTAATATCACATTTCCGTCGGCTTGACAGAGCCGAGAAGAGTAATGATGAAATAGTGCTGGAGATTGCGAAGGACATCACAGAGACCTTGCCACAGATGGTTGAGGATTTTGAGGATTCGTCGGCACCAATACACACGCAGCAAGTACCACACCCGACTTTGAAGAGTATCCTCTACAAGGAGGCGCCAGATCTCAAGGACAAGGAGAAAAGACGAAGTATGATTCTCCTTCAAACATACAATTCTGATGAGGCATTACTGTAAAGGCTTTTTGGTGGGGTTCTAATGTTTGTGGTTACGATTTTTCTGCGAAAAGTACAACCAATGACATTAGTAGGAATTTAATCTAACCATACCAAAACACTATGTGCCATTGTCACCACACCAGAAATCTGCGAAAAACAGATTCCATGAAATTGAACACTTGAGCAAATCCCGAAATAAGCAAAAAATTAGGGACTGTCAAAAAGATGACTTGAACCGTTGTAAAAAAAAGGGTTGTAACGATTTATGGCACCGTATTGTATCGTGATACTTTCTTGTGTATTGTTGCAAATTGTTTTGTCTGCCTGTGTTGTGATACACTCAGGGTACTGAAATTATCAATCATTTTTTTTTCTTCTATTAAACTCTAAGAGTTTACTAATTGTTTTGGAATGATTCATTAAAGATTTGGTCCACTGTACCAAAAAGTACTAAAAATCATACAAAAATATATTTGGACAGTATTTACTATTTAAGTCTATGAAAACAAATGTAAAATCCTGCACTCAGTCATAATAAAGTTGACCTTTTGAGAAGAGTGTGTATCGTGATAAGTATGGTATTGTAAGCATCATACCATGATATGTATCATATCGTAAGGTATGCGGATCGTTGCAGCCCTAATAAAAATTGTAAGTTTTACGGTAGAATCAGTATTATTCATTTCTGTATAATTGTTATGTTTGTATGTGCTAACCAACCCATGTACATGTTAATATTGATAAGTAAACATTGTTTGTATGTGCTAACAAACCCATGTACATGTTAATATTGATAGGTAAACAAATCAGATAAATTGTTGTTTCTTATGTCCACAGTTATACAGGATGCTATTGACGCAGTGGTGGGAAACTCGGCCCTGATGACCGTCCTCCGACAGGAAGTGGACCGATTCAATAACCTGCTCACCATCGTACATACCTCCTTACGATCACTCCTTCTGGCAGTAAAGGGAGAAATCATTATGTCAGAAATCTTAGAGGAAGCTTACTATGCTCTTCTGAACCAAAAAGTTCCGAAACGCTGGGTGGTGAGTAACACGTTTTGTGAACACGAAACCTAACTTTTTCAAGATGTTTATAGGCTTTAGTACTATTTCCTTGATACTGCAGAAATGTAAGGTGACCTTTGAGTGAGAGAGGTCATCAAAGATAAGAGATAACTTAACCATTTCACCACTGTAGACCATAATGGACTGTGCCAAATCAATGAGTCTTCTTAGGTTACATGGGGTTGAAAGTGTAAAGGTTGGAGTTCAATAAAGATTTGAGGTTACCAAAGATTGCGGGTCGCTGAAGAATGGAGTCACTAAAAATTGGGGTTCATTTAAGATCGATAGCTACCAAAGACACAGTAGGCAGAGGATCATCAAAGATTAGGGGTCAACTAAGATTGGGGGTCACCAAGGGTTGGGTTCATTGGAGGTCAACAAAATTAGAGAGTCAATAAAAGTTTGGGAGGGAGTTAATGATTTTCCACATCCATGCGCGAGTTATACTCTAGAAACTGTTATAGCAAGCTTTGTCCTTACTCTCAGGTAATTAACCCATTCACCCCTGAAGACACATTTGAACTCTTCCAATTCAAAGGTTGGAATAGTTCATTATGAAATTTCAGGGGTGAATGGATAGTTAGCAGTAGCCACAGGTAATTGTTGGTGCCTAATCTACATGTTGAGTAATCAAGAAGTACAATTTCAATTAACATTTTTAGAGTGACCATTTCATAGATGATAAAAATACATTGTAATATAACTGCTTGAGTTCAATCGTCAAACACAAAAAAACAAATGTCTGCCATTCTGTGTTCAGGAAGCTGCCTATGAATCGTGTAAAGCTCTGGGACCGTGGATATACGACTTGAAAATGCGTGTGCAGTTCTTCTCCAGTTGGGGCGAACTCATCTCTAACAACGTGGAGAAGTTGATCAAGAATGCATTACTGGTGTCCAAGTCTGTGACCCCTGCCGACTCACTGGACCAAGCAACTATGAGGAGTGTCCCTAGGGCATTCTGGCTCTCCGGCTTCTTCTTCCCTCAGGGTCAGTACAACCATCTCTCATTCTCTGTTACCCTATCAGTCTAGCACTTTTGGACTTAAGTTAACATGTATATAACAAGATCAAATTTCTAGTGAGGACCTAATTAGAGACTTAATTAGAACACTCAAAACACCTGGAGCTAAATGTTGGAACCTAATTTAATAATGTATAACAAATGTGGTGTGTAATGTTGTGAAATCTTCAAAAATAAAAAAATTGATAAATATTCACATAAAACAAAGTTCTTAACCCACATTCAAGGTCACATATGCCATTTGTATCAACTTGAAATGCCAATTTTGAACCAAGAGACATGGAATGGGAAAAAAAAGATATTTCAACCTGTTGGTTGCTAAGATTAAATGTTGGTTGCTAAGAATAAATGCTGTCCAAATGTTGACCACATTTAATGGCCTAGAAATGTGTCATTTTCTTGTTTAGTTCAGATAACAACAGGTGCACGATACAAGTCCCATGGGCCTCTTGTTAGAGGCTTAAAAACACAGTAAAAATCTTACTAGTTTTGAAAATGTCTCATCACTTGTTGCGCTCACTGTTGTTCAATGTGAAAAGAAACCTGTCAAAGTTTAACATGTAGTTATTTTTGTTTTTTAAGGATTCCTGACCGGTGTACAGCAGAATCACGCCCGAAAACTGGGAATTTCTGTCGACTCTTTGGTGTTCAACTTCAAAGTCCATCAAACACTGGAGGATACCGAGGAAAAACTGAGTGACATCTCACACAAACTTTCTATCAAAGACACAGCCTTTAAGGTAAAGGTCAAATTATCAGTCAATGACAGCCTTCAAAGTAAAGGTCAAATAATCAGTCAATGACAGCCTTGAAGGTAAAGGTCAAGTTATCAGCCAATGACAGTTTTCAAGGAGAGGTCAATGTCAAATTAAAGAATAAAGACATCGCCTTTGAGGCAAGATCAAGGTCAAATCATCCTCAAGGTGAATTTTTACCTGACATAGCACTTATAAAAGGTGTCCAGTTTTATTAGCTCACCTGCCTGAAAGGCAAGTGAGCTTATGTTATGATGCGGCATCCGTCGTCCGTCCGTCCATCCGTCCCTCGTCCGTCGTCCGTCCGTCTGGCGTCAACTTTTTGCTTTAAACAACTTCTTCTCAATAACAAAAAGGCCTAGGTAGATGATATTTGGCCAGTAGCATGCTGGGATCAAGGGCTACCAAGTTTGTTCAAATAAATGACCTTGACCCACTTTCAAGGTCACTGGTGTCAGATGTCTTTAAAATCTTCAAGCGACTTCTTCTCAACAACCAAATGTTCCAGGGTACTGATATTGGGCCTGTAGCATGCTGGGATAAAGGACTATCAAGTTTATTCAAATGAATGACCTTGACCAACTTTCGAGGTCACAGGGGTCAAATGTTGTAAAATCTTCAAGCGACTTCTTCTCAATAACCAAATGGCCCAGGGTACTGATATTGGGCCTGTAACATGCTGGGATGAAGGGCTACCAAGTTTGTTCAAATGAAGGACCTTGACCCACTTTCAAGGTCACTGGTGTCAGATGTCTTTGAAATCTTCAAACAACTTCTTCTCAATAACCAAATGGCCCAGGGGACTGATATTGGGCCTGTAGCATGCTGGGATAAAGGACTATCAAGTTTATTCAAATGAATGACCTTGACCAACTTTCAAGGTCATTGGGGTCAGATGTCTTTAAAATCTTCAAACAACTTCTTCTCAATAACCAAATGGCCCAGGGTACTGATATTGGGCCTGTAGCAGGCTGTGATGAAGGACTATCAAGTTTGTTCAACTGAATAAACTTGACCAACTTTCAAGGTCACAGGGTCAAATGTCGTAAAATCTTCAAGCGACTTCTTTTCAACAACCAAATGTTCCAGGGTACTGATATTGGGCCTGTAGCAGGCTGGGATGAAGGACTATCAAGTTTGTTCAACTGAATAAACTTGACCAACTTTCAAGGTCACAGGGTCAAATGTCGTAAAATCTTTAAGCGACTTCTTTTCAATAAGCAAAAGGGTCAGGGTACTGAAATTGGGCCTGTAGCATGCTGGGATGAAGTGCTACCAAGTTTGTTCAAATGAATGACCTTGACCAACTTTCAAGGTCACAGGGGTCAAATATGTTAAAATCTTCAAACAACTTCTTCTCAATAACCAAAAGGCCCAGGGTACTGATATTGGGCCTGTAGCATGCTGGGATGAAGGACTACCATGTTAGTTCAAATGAATGACCTTGATCCATTTTCAACCCAATGTCCTTGTTCAACTATCAAGGTCAGAGGCGTCATATGTTTAAATCTTTTAATAGGTTCTTATGAAATTTTAAGATTACAAGTGTTAGATTAATAACAGGTGAGCGATGCAGGCCCATCGGGCCTCTTGTTGAATGACATGAACAGTTTGACTTTTATACAAAATGGAATATTTACATGCTATTTTTTGAATTTTGATCATGACCATAATTGACAGTGGTATCTATATAAATTTTAATTTTCAGGGTCCGTCTCCCCCTGAAGACGGTGTACTCATTTTCGGGCTCTACTTGGACGGTGCACGATGGGACCCACAAGACAAGTGTCTGCAAGATTCAAGATCTGGTGATCGATTTTGCAGACTTCCAGAAATCCACTTCGTTCCGACGCAGGTATACAGAACAAATCGTCTTTATCTTATATCAGGATACCCAGCAAAGTTAGCTTGTTAACCCTTTCACCACTGTAGACCATAATGGACTCATCGAGATCAATGCATGGTAGAGTCTACTAAAGTTACATAGGGGTGAAAGGGTTAAATCTGACTGAGATCTTAACAATGCATACCTTGATTATTCAGAGAAATATTGGCACCAATATACTTCATTAATCGGTTTAATTAGACATTTTGATTTTTACACATTTTGAATCTATCTGGTTGGGGACATTTTTACATAAGCAATGTTGCTGTATCAATGATTTCAATAATTTTGCATTAAAAAATCACTTTACAGCAATCTATTACTGTTGATATCTTTACGATTTATCTTGGTAGAGGGCTGATAATGTAAAGTCATTTATTTTCACCAAAGCCGTGTAGTTGACCCATTGTGATCCTTTTTTGTTGCCATTTTGCATTTGCAGTTTAAGCTGATACACTAAGGGGGAAATTAGGCCTGTTTTTTATAGATGTATACTGAATGACCAAATTTCTCTTGCAGACATCCCAGGGAACTCCTAGCACAGAAAGGTCCGAGAGTCCTTTAGTGGACAACAGCAACATGTACGAGTGTCCGTTGTATAGAACATCGTCCAGAGCAGGAACACTTTCATCGACCGGTCACTCCACAAACTTTGTGACAGCGGTCACTATCCCCTCGGACCATCCACCAAATTTCTGGGTGATGAGGGGCGTGGCTATGTTATGTCAGCTGGACGATTAACGGAATGTGTTAATTTTGACCGAATTATCCAACACACGGAAGTGAACAGCTCTGCTCAATTTCAGAATCAGCTGCATTTCTACATAGTGCTTGTGCATAATGAAATAAACTTGATATCTGCAGATATATACAATATATGTATATAAGGGTTGATTTTTACAATCTATTTATGATTACTCAAGATAAATATATTGACAGGAATACATCCATGGTCAGATTGTTTTCTTTAACCTAAAAATTCACATATAAGCTTAAGCCAAAACAACCATTGTTAGACTTTAAAATGTAACTACGGATTGTGTAGGTCAGATGTGCAACCGTAATTCTATTTTTATAAACTCAAAGTAGAGTATTGTATTTAAATTAGTCTTGATTTTGACTACAGGACAATATTGTATTTGATAAACTGTCATGTCACAGGCATTGTCAGAGCCAATCATTACCCAGACACAATATGGAATTGATGTATATATGTGAATTAAGACAATGAATAATAATATAGATATATTTAGATTTCATGGTCGGCATTTCTATGTAAAAAATGTGTAATATGTGCATTCCGTCCCCCCCAAAAAATGGTGCAAATGAAAAAGTTTTCACAAGATTCTATATATTCAATAAATGGGTAAATTGACAATAAAAGATGAAATATTTTGCACCACTTCAGGTGTAGAATACTGGTACAGTATTGTGTGATGTCATAGATTGTCCATCAATTAGTGACATCACAATAATTATGTTTTGTCAATTTACATATTTTAGTATAATTTATAACTTGCATTTCACTGTTTTCTATATACATATGTATAAATGTATAAATGTTTCACATTCTATTTAACGGGACAGACTGTACCTGGACTAAATATCTGTAAATAGTTGTATCTTACTTGAGAATAAACAGTTTCTGTTACTGCATGTCTATGGTTCACAGTGCTAAAGGATAACCCATAAATGCATGTAATTGGGTCCAACAAATTTAATATTTCTTTAGACAGATACAGCATGTCACAAACAAGACCACATTGATTATTGCTAGTCTGATAGACCTGTCTTAAAAAAACAGTTCACATTTTACAATAAGCTTAAAGCTGTGTTATAACACTTTTATAGATTAATATTATATTTCAGCCTTAACGAGCCATGCCAAAGGGGAATAACTCCCTTGTGTGAGCATTCAAAGGTTAATAACTCCCTTGTGTGAACATTCCAAGGGGGGTAACTCTCTTATGTGAACATTCCAAGGGGGAAAACTCCCTTGTGTGAACATTCCAAGGGGAATAACTCCCTTTTTTTGAACATTCCAAGATTCTTTGTGATATTTCACTAGTCTTCAAAGACTTATAGGTTAATATTTATGTATTTAATTGTTATTTTTGCTGTTGATATGTAAATATATATATAGTAACATAGATTTTTATTTTTGACAGAGGAAATGATTTATCATACATTTGTCTGTTTGATCTGTGATAAAACTTTTTGAGAATTTACAAGAAATAAATTTTATTTCAAGTCATACTTTTTCATTTGTTTTTTGCTTTGTTTAATATTTATTTGCCTTCAAACAATCCGGAAGTGGGGACAATGATAATGCATTTTTGTTTTTTCATAAAAATGATTGCAATATTAGTGTAAATTTTTTTGTTTAAAGCCTGGGCTTTAAATCTTGGGTACAAAATCTTCAGATGGTGATGGGCTGTTTAAATGTACTCTTAAGTATTTTTTGTTTTACCCCCTACAATGAAGTTAGGGGAGTAAACTACTAAACTACTGGATGGATTCCAATGAAATTTGCTGATAACAATCCTTGAAGGTTGGAGATGTGCGTAAAGTACTTTAAATTGGGTTATCTCCCCCTTTCACGAAGTTATGGCCCTTGGTTCATAAACCTTCTCTAGACCATGACATTGTATAGAAAATGCAAGAACTTTTTTATTTTTATTCAATTCCTTCCAAATTAGGTATGGTAATACAAGAAGCAATAATGTTTAACATATACAAAAAAAAATTGGTCAAGTTTCAACTCCACGTTTAGAAATGTCAAATGTCAGGAATGAATTACGTTACAAAATGGCTAAATATCTTGGGAACTGAAAGTATTTTGTATACACATATAAATAAAAATGTTGTAGGCATTAATGCAATCAACTCTACTGACAGCTTCCAAGGTCATGGGGTCAGAGCTCAAAGGTCACGAATGAATTACTTTACCAAAATGGCTAACTATCTCGGAAACAGCAGGTATTTTGTAAACAGATATGCAGGCTATATTATGACAAACTTCCAAGGTCATGCGGTACAAGATCAAAGGTCACAGATGCATTATGTTATTGAAATGAATAATTATGGTAGAAATGGAAGGTATTTTGTATACACATACCTTGGAGTAAATGTAGCATTGATGCAAGCTACATTGTGACAAAATTCCGAGGTCAAAGGTCACAGTAGTGGTGTTTATCATCTGAGGTTAGACTTGTTCATGTCCCTTGATCTTTCTATATATTTTTCCCCTTGTTTATTTAGCCCCCACAGGGTCAACAAGCAGCTTGAATGTGGGGGGTATTAGTTAGCCCATAGGCAACAGTTCTGGTTCTTGTAGCCTTTTACTCATGAAGCAAACTACTACTGGATTGATTCATTCTGTTTAACATCCTATTACAATTTTACATGTGACAGCTAAGGTCATTAGGACGTGTACTGGATTGATCTTTCTCAAATTTCATAGATTTAAATAAAATTTATCTTATCTTATCTAATTTTATCTTAGACAGTTTTAGCTGCGGGAACCGTAGCTTCTATGTCCGATTTTTTTTTTTTTTTTTTTTTTTTTATTGTTATCGGACCGATAACAATAAAAAAAAATTAAAAAAAATCGGACATAGATAGTTTCTGCTTCATCCTTAGTTGTGCATGTTCAATTTTGAAACTGATTGAGAGAGAAAAAAGAAAGTTACCAGGTGGCTATCTTGGATTTTGCTAGTTATTGTTTTTCTCATGAATTACTGGATACATATCTTTCTCAAATTTAAAAGTAAGTTCCCCATGTTCCTTAATTGTGGATGTTGAATTCTGAGACTGATCAGAAGTTTAAGATGTTTGTCAGGCAGCCATCTTGGATTGTGACAGTTAGTTATTGCTATTTCTTATAAAGTACTGAAGATCGAGATCTTGCTTGGTCCTTCGTTGAGCATGTTCAATTATGAGACTTATTGGAACAACTGTTAGCATATCTAATTCAGATTGGTCAATATCTGTGCTAAAACTTCCTAAACTGCTTGATCTTAGTACTAATTAGGTCACCCAAGACAAAGTTTCATGTGACCTATTGCGATTGCCTTTTCTCCCTTGTCGTCCGTCGTGCGTCTGTAAACAATTTACATTTTCGACTTCTTCTCCAAAACGCCTGACCCAATTTCAATGAAATTTTGCAGAAACCTTCCATGGCCAAAGAATTGTGAATTATATGGTCCCCATCCCCCAGGGGCCTGAGGGACGGGGCCAAAAAGGGTCAAATTGACTAAAATTTCAAAAATCTTCTTCTCAAGATCCAGATATGTTAGAATCAAATACTCTTCTATAGATGGAAGGGTCTTAAGGTGCTTTACCAAAATAAGTGAATTTCATGACCCTGGGGTCTCACGTTTCCCCCTGGGGAGGGGGTAAATTTTACTATAGTTTATATAGAAAAATCACATTTTGGACTAACATTTGTTTAATTTACATTGGAAATAATTCAATTTGGGTTAGCATTATCAGTATTGGATAGCAGTTTGATTGTATGCACATATCAGCCCTGACTGACCCCCAGGGGCTGATGGGTTGGGCCAAAAAGGGTTGAATTGACTGAAATTTCAAAAATCTTCTCCTGAAGACCCATGCAGATATGGTAGGTTTCCAAAACTCTTCATAGATGGAAGGGTCTTAAGGTGCTTTACCAAAATTGTGAATTTTATGACCCTAGGCTCTCACGTTTACCCCTGGGGAAGTGGGGGGGGGCAAAATTTATTATGGCAAATGATACTTTGAATATTACATGTTGATAAATTGATTGGAATTATGACCCTGAGTTGACAGTTTGAAACTTTGGAAAATTTTGAACGAGCCCTACCACCAGTAAGTGTGCTAAAATTTCTTCATTTTATTTGTTTAGAATCAGAGGTGCTAGTTTCAAATACTTTTCAGTCTTAAATCTGTATGCTAGATATTGAATAAGTATGTTTTATTGTTTTTTGTCACTTTGAATAATACTTCTGTTCATGTTTTAAAAACAAAAATCAACTCTCTGTACAAATTGTACTTATAATTCTGTGAATGTCGCACAATCTGTAGTTTAGACATTGTATTTATAATCCTGTGATTGTCACACAATCTAAAGTTTTGACATTTTTCTTATAATCCTGTGAATGTCACACAATCTGTAGTCTAGACATTTTACTTATAATCCTGTGAATCTCACACAATCTGTAGTCTAGACATTTTACTTATAATCCTGTGAATGTCTCACAATCTGTAGTCTAGACATTTTACTTTTATTCCTGTGAATGTCACACAATCTGTAGTCTAGACATTTTGCTTTTATTCCTATGAATGTCACACAATCTGTAGTCTAGACATTTTACTTATAATCCTGGGAATGTCACACAATCTGTAGTCTAGACATTTTGCTTTTATTCCTATGAATGTCACACAATCTGTAGTCTAAACATTTTAATTATAATCCTGTGAATGTCTCACAATCTGTAGTCTAGACATTTTACTTATAATCCTGTGAATGTCACACAATCTGTAGTCTAGACATTTTACTTATAATCCTGGGAATGTCACACAATCTGTAGTCTAGACATTTT